TAGATCCTTCATATGAGTGAGATCATATATGGTACTTGACTTTCTATGTTTGGCTTATTTCACTTAACATAATCACTTCCATCCATGTTGTTGCAAATTAAAAAGACTTCATTCCTAAGTGAATCGTATTCCATTGTGCATATGTACTGCATTTTTTTTCTTCATTCCATCAGTTAGACACAGGTTGTTTCCATTTCTTGTCTATTGTGAGTCCTCCTACAAGTTTGTTTTTTTTTCCACTGTGTATGATATGTCAAAATGCATTCTACTGCTGCTGCTTGGAGATCTTTTCAAGTTTCCAAATTAGTGTATGTAGCTGTACCAAATACTTAAATTTCTCTGTTGGTATACTGCTGTGGTTTCGATGACTGTCCCCCATGTGTTAAAAGCTGGATCCCCAACTTGTGCTATAGAGAGGGTTGGAACCTTTAAGAGGTGGGCCCTAGTGGGAAATAGTCCATTCATTGGGACATGCTCTTGAAGGGGATGTTTAGATCCCAGCCCTCCTCTTCTTTGCTTTCTGGCCGCCATGAGGTAAGCAGCTACCTTAGTTATATCCTCCTGCCATGATGTGCTATTTGGCCCAAAAGCAGTGTGGCCAACCAGCCATGGACTGAAATCTCTAAAACTGTGAGCAAGAATAAACCTTTCCTCCTTTAAGTTGATTATCTCAGGTATTTTGTCACAGTAACAAAGCCAACCAACACCCAACATTGGTACCAAGAAGTGGGAGTTGGTATGACTAAACCTGAGAATAACGGAGGAATCTTTGGATTTGGTTTGTGGGGAGTCTGGAGAACTCAAAGGCCTGTATGCAGAACTCAAAGGCCAATTCTGGTGAGGATTAAGACCAGAATGCTGATTAGTAAAGGTTTCTCAGGAGGTTGCAGGTGAAAATAAGGACTCTGCAGGGAATTGGACAGGCCATACCTTTTTACACCATGGTAAAGAATTTGACTACATTTTAACCATCCCTGAGACTTGGTGGGAAGCTGAACTTAAAGGTGATGGACCAGTTTACCTGGTGAAGGAAATTTCAAGGCAGCTCAACATTCAGATAGCAGTTCAGGTTTTATTGCTTCCTTTTTAGCTAAATTTACTGTGAAAATCAGAAGTGAATAGGGAAAATTTGGAAAACTTGAGTTTGGCTCTCCAAAAAAGAAACATGTTTCAAGGTGCTGCCAAGGAGGGTGCAGTTGCCAAAGAGATCTGCGTCATTGAAAAGAAGCCATGTGAGAGCTGGGCATGGTGGCACATGCCTGCAGTCCTAGTAACTTGGGAAGCCAAGGCAGGAAGATCACAAGTTTGAGGCCAGCCTCAGCAAATTAGCAAAACCCTGTTTCAAAAAAAAAAAAAAAGGTCTGGGATGTAGTTCAGTGGTAAAGTGTCCATGAATTCTATTCCCATTACCAAAAACTACAACAAAACTAGGCAGTGGCCACCACTTAATTCCAGGCTTCATCAGAGATGATGCAACCCTGGCTGTCTGCATAGTGAAGTTCATAGTAGCTACATATCCATCTGAGTGGGTGCCAGGGAAGCCATCCATGGAGAGATGTCACACCAGTGGCAATCTGGGAAGTCATTGAAGGGAGTGTAGGGTAGTGACAGGAACATTGAGAGGTGATAAATGGAAAAGGGTCACAGTCCATCCCTTTGGTTATTAAGCTTCCATATGTGCCCTTCTGCACATTTCAAAACTTTGCAACAATGAGATAGTCCGACATTTCTTCCTGACTTATATTTTCTTACAAATCAACTTCACTCCCCTTTCTCAAAATAAGAAGATGCCCAGTACTGACAATCATTTTCATTGTTGGTTACATTAATGACTCCTCCAATTCTGTCACTGTTTCATCAAATATTCTGTAACCTAAAATCTAAATTGTAAATTTAATCTCCCAAAACTTGTATATAAAATTAAAATGAAAGAAGAAAATGAAAATGGTTAGAACATACAAATAAATAAAAGAGGAAAATGGAAAATCCTCAAAGCTATTGCGGTCCCTGTTTTTTTAAACCTGTGACCTCCTTTCTCTACCTCTTTGGTATTTCTTTTGCCCTTGGCCAGAACCTCAGCTGGTTAGGATTCTTTACCTGGTAAAGACCTAAATATTAGAGCCAAAGTTTCTGATTCTTCAAATTGTTCTACCTATTTTGGTTGTTATAGTTTTCATTAATCTTTACTATTGACATGGAACTGCTTAGACACCCAGGGTATCCTCTGTGTTGCAAATATAGTCCTTTTTGCCTCCTTTGTGTACTAGCAATACAATCTCCTATTGGCAATCAGGATTGATCCTTCCAGCCAGTAGAGATACACCTTTTTCTGCCTATTTGTTTAGGAACATAAGGAAGTCCAGGTGGCAGTCTCATCTTACGTAAGTGGAACCATTGTTGTGTCCCTGGTTGAAGCATCCCTTGAGGACTAAAACCTCCAATTTTTAGCATTCTCCAGATGCTGGGATAAGAAGTATAATCATGAAGGAACTCACTATTACTCTGTGATTCTTGGACCCATATACGCTGGTTCAAAGCATGTGCTACACTTTCAGGGTGGTGTCCCCAACTGCTGTCATAAATGAGTAGTGGGTGAACCATTTGACCTTATAATTAGGTCAGCTACTTCTTGGTGTTGGGCCATGTTGATTTTATGGACATGAGCTCACTGCAGCATATTTTTTGCTGTGAAATTTATTTCTTGCTTAGAAGCAATGCTATGGAAAAATGTCATATAAGACCTTCAGTAAGTATATGGATTGGAGGTGCTGCTGGCAGAAGCATTATGGGAAGGAAGGTAATACATATACAGAATATGGATTCATTCTAATGAAGGTGAATCTCTGGTCCTCTCATGATGAGAGAAGTCCAGTATCATCAACCTGCTACCAGGTAGATAATGATTAACCATGGGGTTGGCATTATATTGCAGTTTCATTAGTAGTCTCAGCTCTGGACAGAATAGACACTTGGCAGTAGTGATGTTGGCCTTGGAAAAGGGGAAGTCTGTGTTGCTAAGCCCACATATGAGCTCCATACTACTGTGGGATGTTCAGAGTCCCATTGAGAAAGCAGGGAGTAGCTGGAAAGTGATGCTGATACTCTCAGGGCATATTATTTTGTCAACTTGATTAATAAGAGCCTCCTCTGCTATAGATTCCCTTTGGTGAGTATTAACTTAAGACCCAAATATGATCATAGTCTGTGTTCAACCAAAGGCTTCGTCCCGAGCCCATAGTGCTCAACCAAATCCACATATTCCATCTTTGTGGGCCTATCCTCTGAGAACACCCCACTCCTGGTACCAGTTCTGTTTCAACCTTTGGACAATAAGGAGACAGAAATCACATAGTAATTCAAACATGGAATGTTTAACATAAATAATCATTAACTATACCCAAGGATCAGCATAATGGGGGATTGTCTGATAAGTAATAAATTCTAAAAAATATAGGAATTGCAAATTTAGGAGCAGTGACTACCTTCCAAGGCTCAGATCCAGACTTCATTAGAGACTACCTAGACAAGGCTTACAAGAGAACAGAGAATTTCTCTGAGGTGACAAAGTCACCCAAGGAGGTGCTGGAGGGATCCCTTCAGAAGAGGTTCTGTGCCAGAGGCACTCTACCCTGAAGCGCATGCAATGCTAGAATCAGACATGGTACAAGCCACATGTATTGTGAGAACTTGATGCTGCTAAAGCCATACACACTGAAAGGATCTGCTTAGAGGAGCACACCAGAACCTTGAAGAGAAACCCTTCTTCTTCCTACAGATTTGCTCCAATACTCTCTCCTGACAGAGTTTAACATTTGCCAGTTGACAAAGAGGAAACATTTACAAGGTCCAGATAAGTTATCGCAGAACAGAAAATGAATCTGAGCTGACTTATAACAAATTGATAACTTGGATGGTATCTTATGCTGAAGCTTGAGTTTAGATATCAAAGTTATCAATCTTCCTCTTCTTGTTTTTTATATTCTGTTTCTGAAATAAGCTTGTGTGTGTGCATTTAAATATTTAATCCATTTTGGCAAAAGATGATAACTTAATTTGCTTTGAATACACTCAACCTTCTCCATAATTAGAAAAGACTCATATGTCATGTATGTGTTAGAGTTCCGTTGCCATAACAAATATCCTAGATAATTAACTTAAAAAGAAAATGGTTTACTTTGGATCACAATTTTGCAGTTTTCATTCCATGGTCAATAGGTCCCACTAGTTTTAGGCCTATAGTGAGGTAATATTTCATGATTGGAATATGCGGCAGAGGAAGCTGCTTACCTCACAATGCCTTGGAAACAGAAGAGAGAGGAATGACTTCCAGTATCTCCTCTGAGGGCATGCCCTCAGTGACATAACTTCCTGCCACTATGCCTCACTTGGTAAAAATGTTTCACCACCTCCCAATAACACTATGGGCTCGGGACCAGGCCTTTAACACATGGGTCTTTGGGGACATTTAGGATCCAAACTATTGAAATATATATTTTTGGTCTAATAACTAGTAGTAAATAACAATACAAAAATTTATGTATGTAAATATGTTTCTTAGGTCTGTTCTATTTATTTATTTATTGCTTTACTCAGATTTTGAAAAAGAACAACAAAAAAGACAGATTAAGACTTTACTAAGTCTGAGAACTTTGACATTTGTAGGAAGAATAAAAGACTGAAGAGGGATTGTGTTCTTAAGTGAAACGAATAAGATGGTGCTTTCAAGTTTATTTGGATGCAGCTCTATTCAAATACAGTGGTTTCACCTAGTAAAACATAGCCCAGCAGCAGGACCTCTGTCTTGGCTATCCCGCCTACCTGGTAACTCTCAAAGTCACATTGAGAGGCTACGGTTGGCCAACAGCAAGGGAGAGCTTATAGGAATGTAAATCAGTGCAAACTATCTTCCAAGATAGTAGATAAGAAAAATGAGATAAAAGGCTTAATGGGGGTAAGAGTCATTTTTATTCATTCAAATGCTCATAGAAATAAAATTTGGGAAAAGATGTGATTACCAATCAGATCCAAATGGGATTCTGGATGGAGCTGTTTGGACTTGAAAAGCTGTAATTTGGACATCTCCTGTCACATTGGGTAGGAAAACCTTATCAGTCCTCTTTTTGTGTTTAATGGGTACCTGTAATATTAAGCACATAGTATTGTTTTTTTTTTTTTTAATGATGGTGAATATTGCTTGGTATAGTGTAATAAAAGATCACTGTTGTTAATGAGACTAAAATCTTTGGTTCAGTCTGGGCTATGCCTTCAGTGTGCCTTCTCATACCTACTTTGCCACTTGTTATATGGGAACTGGTCGAGAATGAATCCATCAGTGGAAAGCCATTTCCAGCTAAGGACAAAAAGACTTATCTGTCTAAAGCAAACCACAAATTCCTTAATATTTTGTTACTTATGTTAGTGCCAAGGTATTTTTTAGAAAATCATTTGTGTCCCTACATTTCAGCCACTTCCTCTTCAGTCAGTATTTATCTGGCCTGACTCAGAGGCCTTGTTTAAGAAGCCAGACCTTAAGTTAGGTCTGAAATGGTTCCAACTAACTTTGTGCCTACCCTGGCCTTCAGGATTTTTACTTGGGGTCCCTTTATTGAACACAAGCTAATGGGACCACAATATACTTCATTATAGGGTTTATTTATTTATTAGGGCAATGGCCGATGAATAATTAACCCTGACCATCACCCACCTAAATCTCTCAAATATTCACTCTCTCCACTTAGGCACTTAGTCAGCTACATGGCAGCCTTTTCTTTTCTTTTTTTTTTTTTTTTACCATTTATTTATTTATTTCATACATGACAATAGTGGAATGCATTACATTCATAATTATCCATTCACAGCACAATTTTTCATAACTCTGTTATGTTCACACCAAATTATGCCATTATACATGAGCTCTCCTATTGACTTTTTTTGCATTACAATTCTTAATACACCTTCATACCACAATTTATCATATCTCTGTTTGTATATAAGGTATGTTGACACCAAAATCACATCTTCATACATGTATTTTGTATAATGATGAACACCTCCTTCCACCCCCTCCCTTTCCCTCCCACCCCTATTCCCTATCTAGAGGTAATCTTCCTCCCTTGCTCTCCCTCCCTACCCCACCTTGAGTCACCCCACTTATATCAAAGTAAACATTCAGCATTTATTTTTTTGGGATTGGCAGCCTTTTCAATCACAAGAGCTGTGATCACCAACACGCCCAAAGTATGCAGAGTCTTCAGGAGTGAAATAGAGACTAACTGAATCTTGAAAGGCCCTGTGGTTGCACATACACAAACTGAACTTTGCTTCCTTTTAGAAAAGGCTTTCACAGCCAGGTGCAGTGGCACACACCTTTAATTCCAGCGGGTCACCAAAAAGGAAAGAAAAGGCTTTTGCAAAATGAATAGACATAAAGTTTGCCCTCATGTATCCATCAGCACTACATCCATAGATTCAACTGTGGATCAAAAAAATATTTGAAAAAAATTGCATCCCTTTTGAACATGAACAGACATTTTTGTCATTATTCCATAAACAATACAGTGTAACAAGTATTTCCATAGTGTTTACATTGTGTTAGGTATTATAGTAATCTAGAGGTGATTTGAGGTACATAGGTAAATGTATGTAGGTTGTATGAAAATACTATGCCTTTTTGGGTGCCTTATGTTTATTTCCACTGTTCATTCAAAAAAAGATGTTTAAAAGTGCCATAAGAAAGTTGAAGTAGTAAGACAACTTCTAGCTTCAGAAAGTAATTAAGTTCAATATCAGAAAATATTTTTAAGAATTTTTTTTAATTAGGGACTTCAACATCCATGGATTTGGGTGTCCATGGGAGTCCTGGAACCAATCTCCATGGGTACTGAAGGTGACTGCACAAAGATTGGTGAGCCAAGCATTGGTAACCATTAACCACAAGGCTCTGACTTGGTTAAGGTGTCAGCTAGTTTGGTCCCAACCTATTTCTCCAATTTCTTTTCTTTTTTCTTTTTTTTAATTGTTGATGGACTTTTGCTTTATTTATTTTTATGTGGTACTGAGGATCGAACCCAATGCCTGATGCGTGCTAGGCAAGTGCTCTGCCACTGAGCCACAACCCCAGCCCTCTCCCCTTTCTTAAGTTTAGAAATATTGCAGCAAACTTTTGGACTAATAACTAGACCATCAGTTGAAGAATTACCCAATTTAAACAACTTCTGAGAATGACATAATTTTCTTTGAAGAAATGATTACATCTTTTCTTCTTATTTTTTCTGAAAATAAGGGGAAGAATTCTTAAATGTGTTGATTAGATATGCAAATCTCAGCGCTGGGGCTCTGAAAGATATTGGAGCAAAAAATATACTAAAGAAGTGTAGAGAAGGTAGTAAAAGAGGATGTAAATGTTGTTTTATATCAAGTAAAAGCTAAAATATTTTTTAAAATTCTTTTTTTATTTTTTATTTTTGGTACCAGGGATTGAACTCAAGGGCACTTAACCACTGAGCCAAATCCCCAGTCCTTTTTTGTATTTTTTTAATTTAGAGACAAGGTCTTGCTGAGTTGCTTAGGGCCTCACTAAGTTGCTGAGGCTGGCTTTGAACTAACAATCCTCCTGACTCAGCCTCCTTCTGGGATTACAGGTGTGTGCCACTGAGCCCAGCTCTCATGTGTTTTAAAATGACTTCTGAAATTCTTTATTTCTGCTCTATTAGGAAAATCAACTAAGAGAGCCAATGCTGCTAATTAATTATTATGGATGGTTTAAAAAATAAAATCAGAGATAGAATATAACAAATTGTTGAAACTCATTTTCACACCCAATGATTGACTTTGTAATTGAGAAAATACCATTGGACTTAATGATTTCAACATTAGAATTGTTTTATCCAGATCCAAATTACCTAGATAAAATCTTTGTGTACAATTTTTCTAATGTAAGTTTGAAAACTTAAACCTAAAACCATGACATCAGATTTAAATTTTTCATTGTTTCATACATGTAAGTGAACTTATCATTACTTACAGTCTTGGGTCTTTGAATTCTTCTTGTTATTTTATTGCCCATAAGATTAGTCTTTAAAAAATGTTGGTGGGAGTATCTGGATAATGTAGAAGCAGAACTTAGGGAGCAGTGAGCCTGGGATATAAGGCCTATAAAGTTCAAAATGTTATAAATTAGATCTTTGGTTGCTATAGGCCCAGATTTAATTATAAAATTTTAGAGCTTAAAATGGGGATGTAATCCAACTTTATCCATTTTGAGTGACGATGTCAAAATTTGGATGGAGTTTTTTGCCTGAGGGTCACATGATCACGTAAAAGAGGTGAATGACAGGAGACGTGGAAGCCTAAGTAGCTAGACTGCGAGCTGTTCAAACTAACTGACAAAGGCAATGAACTGGATTTGCAGGGTGAGGAAGAATAGCTCACAAATTTCTGACTCAAGCAACTGGATATTCGGCAATACCATTTGCTGAGATGGTGCCTCCTCTACCCCAAAAGGAGTCAGGCCTGCAGGAGGAGAGGAAGATGGATTTCATTTGACCTACTGAACTTGTGAGCTGGAGACACCTGAATGCAGACATCCAGGAGTCACTGGATATATGGGTCTAGAGCTTGGAGGGGAGTTTCGAGCTGCAGGTGTGGACTTGGCCAACAGTGATTAAGCCGTGGGAACACAGGCAATTATCATCCAGAAACAATGTGAGGAGAAGAGGCCAGACAGAGCCCTGGATAACTCTGATGTTTAGAGGTTGGATACAGGAGAAGGAATTGGAAAAGGAGACTTAGAAGCAGCAGCCAGAGGAAGAGAAAGAAACCACAAGCCCAGAGCCTTGGAAATAAAGGGAAACAGAAACTTAGGAGAAGGGTGTGGTCATGCGTGGCAGGAAGTGAGGATGGTGTCCATCCATTGTGCTTGGAGACATGGAAGTCTTGTTGATCCTGGCAAAAGCCACTTCAATGAAGAGGTGGAGACAAAAATCAGATTGTTGGTAGTGTGACAGAGAACTGAGTGATCCCCAAGTGCCATTCTCCCCTTTCTTCTTTAGTAATAAAACTCCAAATGTTTTGTTGCACACACAGAATCTTAGAGTAAAAGCTACATTTCTCAGTCTCCTTTGTGTGGTCTTCTAGATAAGTGCTGGCTATGGAGACATAAGCAGAAGTGTCCTATGTGACTTCTAGGAACTTTCCTAGAAGGCACACTAAGGGAGAAGTGGTAGTTCACTAGGACACATTAACCCAAAGGGAATTTTAAAAGATGCTTGGCTAAGCTGGAAGCATCAGAGTGGAAAGGAGAGAAACAAAAATTCCAGAGACTGTGGTGGGCACAGTGTAAGACAGGGAGCTGCTCAGGGTCAGTGGCCAAAACAGGACCCTGAGTGCACTTGATGCTTTGTTTTTAGCTGGGGCAGAAGTGACAGTGGCCAGGCAGGGGACACCAGCGCCCATGGTGAGGGCTGGGTGGCAGGGATAGAGGCAGAGAGTGGGGCCCTGTGGGCTTTACCAGCAAGCCCAGTTCTTCTCTGAGTAAACCCACTGTAACTTGATCTTTGACTTTGTCTAATCCTGAAAGACGGTTTTCCCAGCTATTCACATTGGCAAATAGCCAAAAGGAAACACAGATAAAGGACAAACACATGTATGAAACTGTAGTAACCAACATTTGCATGATTACCATCTTGAGACTATTCTAAGTGTCAGGTATGCATTATTCCATTTAATTCTCAGAACAAGTTTGAGGTAAGAATTCCCATTTTACTGAGAGGCTAATTAACCTATCTAAGGTCACACCACCAGTAGTGACAGCATTCTAGCTATCTTCTCCAAAGCCCACACACTCATGTGGCCATGCTACAGAACAGGAAGGAAGGGGCTTGGCTGGTCCTAAGGATAGAACAACAAGGGTTAATGACATTTGGTCATATTCGTGATAGATCTAGAAGAGTACTTACACTGTATTTAGTCCTCCTCTAATGGAAGAGAAAGCTAGGTTAGCATCGTCCTGGGGTCCGCTGTTCCATTCTGCCTGCTGCTTGTGCTGCCCAGAGAGCTATTTTGGGGAGGGTACTGGGGTCTGAACTCAGGGGCACTCAACCACTAAGCCACATCCCCAGCCCTATTTTGTATTTTTTATTTAGAGACAGGGTTTCACTGAGTTGCTAAGTGCCTCGCTAAGTTGCTGAGACTGGCTTTGAACTCGCAATCCTCCTGACTCAGCCTCCTGAGCTGCTGAGCTTACAGGCATGCACCACCACGCCTGGCCATAGAGCTATTTTGATTGCCATTTTCACTGGACTCCTCGAGCTCTCAGCACCCAAGAAGCATAATGGACTTCATGAATAATATCTGAGAAATGCGGTCATTGGTGTCCCAACTCATTAGGATGCTTTAAAATCCAGTGAAGTACTCAATATTCTTTAAGTGGCATATTCTCCCAGGACCAGTTGTTATCGATTGAAACCTTTTAGATGTCAGTACTCCAAGGTGGAGTAAATTAGAAAATTCTGACAATAAATGAGAATTAAGATCCATTCATCCATGTGTTGTTCATTCATCCAACAGATATCATGGAGGACCCATGATGACCCATTGATCATAGCCACTGTGTTGTTATTGCTAGTCACTGAGGCCCTCCTGCAGTTCAGACCCCTGAGTCTGGATGACTCATCCAGCTGGGGAGGGCTTGCTTACCGCCTGGGGAGCTCCTCTGGATGGACAGCTGCTCAGTGTCAGGAAGCTGACTCTGTAACTCCTCTATGCGCTGGAAAGCATCCAGCTTCACACTGCGCTCCTGGGCAAGTCGGCTTCTCGTCTGAGGGTAAAGGGTTTGGGAAGCAGAGAGGCTTTGTGGTGTTCTCTTTAGTTCCCTCAGTTCACAGTGGGGTCTGAAGGGTCCCAGGCTCCCTGATGAAGTGCAACCAGGTCTTATCAAAGTCCTGTATAGGCTGAACTCAGCTTTCTAAGAATCAAGAGCTTCAAGGAAGACCAAGAACTCAACTAAAGAGGAACAAAAACAACCCTGGAATCCCTTGAAGGAAGCTAGGCACTTACATTTTTTTGTTTATTTCACCAGCTAGGTAGAGGAATAGGAAGTGAGGGCCCAGTTCATACAAGACCTTGGAGACCAAGCAATGACATCTGCACCAAGGACCCTTAAAAACCCTGGATGGTTTGAAACGAGAAAAGAATTGTTCTCCCTCAATCTCAGCTGGGCATCTGCTGGGAGAGCATGTCTCCTGGGTCTGAGAGAAGGTCCATCCCCAGGGCTAACCTTTACATTTTCTTGGGTAGCTGTCCCCTCGCATGGCTGACTCATAGTCCCCCAGCTAAGAGGAGCTAAGGCCAAAGTACACCTCATCTGCATAGATCATAAGGATTTTTTTCCTTTTACATGAATCATATCCTGATTGTTTTTAATTATTAAAAAATAATACATGCTGTAGTGGGTTGAATACGGTTCTCAAAATTCACATCCACCTGGAACCTCAGAATGTGACTGTATTTGGAAATAGAGTCTTTGTAGGCAGATGTAATGAAGTTAGTATAAGGTCATACTGGAGTTAGACCTTAAGTTATCCCTACATCCAGTGACTATTGTCCTCACAAGAAAATGACAGGGTAAGGATATGGACACACAGAGGAACACATAAAGAAGAAAGACATGGGATGCTGGTGCAGAAACTGGAGTGGTATAACTACAAACCCCAGAATGCTGAGAATTGCCAGCTGTCACCAGGAACTGAGAGAGAGAGAGAGACATGGAACAGAGACTTTCTCAGAGCCTCCTAACAGAACAAATGTTGCCAACACCTCGATTTTAGATTTCCGGCTGCCTGAACTGTGATAAAATTAATTTCTATTGTTTTAAGCCATCCAGATTGTGGTAAACCATCCCGTTTGTGGTAATTTATTATGACAACCCTGGGAAACTAAGACACATGCTAATCTAAAAAATTCAGCCACACGTGTTTTAAATCCTACTCCTGCTGTTCCGACCCAATGAGGAGGCCCCTGCACGCTCGCAGCTGTCTGAAAACGGGGAGGGGGCTGGCCTTGTGTGCATCGATACTCTCGACTGGAATTTAAATTTCAGTAGATTATCAGAGCTGCAGAGTTAGGGAAACTTCCTCATATAAACTAGGTCCAATGTATTCCTTCAATGTATTCCAGATATTTATGGAGGATCCACAATGGGAAACATGTCAAGATTTCTTGAGCCAGGCCAGGGTTAAATAAATCTGAGAAGTAAATATAGTATCTCATTGCACTGAGAGGCCACACACTTCTCCCAAAGCCACACAGCTGGAGGACTGGGGGTATAAACCAGGCAGTCTGACCTGTGTTCTTTCTAACTGACCTCTCCATGCACAGAACACAGGAAGGGACACTGATGCTCTCTGAGGTCAGGTAGCCATTATCTTCCCACAAAGGTGGAGGCTAGAGATGTGGTAAAGAACCCACAAATGGCCACGAGGGCTCTTGCAGGTCAAGAATTGCTCTTTGCGGTGGGGAAGCCCAGGGGTCCGTGAGCTGTCAGAAGAGCTAGAGGAGTAGTTTAAAAAGGACAAATGGTTTTGACATACATATAGTGAAAATATGTATTTATTGAAACCTCAAAATATCTGTTCTGACTACCTCTAGAACCTCTGCCATTAAATAATTAACAATTAACTCTAGAATTTTGGCAAATGGAATCTATGAATCTATTTTTGAGGTAGCTTTTAGAAAAGCATAATATGGCATGCCAATTTTTCTTATAGGTTCAGACATTTATTTATTTATTTTGGCACTGGAGAATTGAACCCAGGGTCACTCACATCTGAGCTATATCTCTAGTCCTTTTTATTTTTTATTTTGAGTCAGGGTCTCACTAAGTTGCTTAGGCTGGCCTCAACCTTGCCATCCTCCTGCCTCAGCCTGCCTAGTTGCTGAGATTACAGGCATGTACTACCACAGCTGGCTTATAGGTTCAGTCATTTTAGTATTCTTTCCAAGAAATAAATGTGAAATTCTAATTTTTTTTATTCTGAAACTGCTCATTTCCTTTCTTCGTTTCTACACAATTTCTTTAGCAACCCTTGAATTCAGTTTCAACCATAGACTTTTCCTTATTGATCTTTTGAGCACCTGAAATCCTTGACCAATAATTTAATTTTCCCATTACTTTTCTGACTCCTACTGTCTCTGGTGGATGATTAAGGGCTTTGATCACCCCGTGGGTATATGTGAAACACCTTTCCTGTAAGGTACCATTTCTTTGTCCTCTTCTATTGAATTACATCCTGTGGTCTGCTTTGTCAGAACTTGAATTAATCTACATCTACATTATAATAAACCTCCTCATCTTTTTTCCCTGCGGGATATATTTAATAAAAAATACAATTGTGTCTGCAAGCCATTTTTGCCTTTCATTTTTGTGTCTGCATTTCTAGAAGCACTTGAATAAAATCCTTTTATAATAGCTTCCATAATACTTGCTGCTTTTCCAGGTTACTTCTCAGAATTTTCCAAAGGATGCCAAGTTCAAAGGCTAGAGTTGGGTAGAATGTGCTTTTTAGGTGGTCAGTGGGTGCCGAGATGCTGAGCCTTGGGGCAGTTAGGCCCTCTCTGCTCATCCAAGCAATTATCCCAGTGTAGTTTAGATATGACCATTTCCTCTATGTGCCTAGAAGTGGCAAAGGTGGCTGCTATGGAGGGCAGGAGAGAGGTATGGAAAGGGAGGGGAGTGAGCTGGCTCTTGGGGTGCCCAGATTGGCTTTCACGGGAGCTCACCTGTCGGAGGTCTCGCTCCATCTTTCTCCGCTGAAGCTGGCCCAGTTTTGAAGCCCTCTCAGCCTCTTCGGTGAGGAGCTGCAGTTGCTGTTCTTTGTGGCCCACTTCTTCCAAGAGCTTCTCCATGCTGGATGTTTTTATGACATCTAGCTGCTGCCGGGTGAGAGCTTCCTGGGTCACTCTGTGTTCTAGCTCCTTCAACAGCTGGGCCTGTGGCAGGAAGGGCCAAGCCAGAAGGCAGCAGAGGTGGGGCATGGCAACAATCATCCCCGCTACCAGGGCCCAGGGCAGGTCTACGTGGTGCTCTGGGTGACATAGCCCAGGCAGCAGCAAGGGCACCAGAATCTAGCCTGACTCTGAGGCAACAGTCAGGGAAACAGAACAAACAAGCACGTAACATAATAAGCCAGGTAAGTGATAATGCCACCATCTGGCAATAACAGATCAAGTAACTTGGTCTTCTGAGAGCAACATTTGATGATAATGTGTATGTTAATTAGCTCATTAACCAAATAATCATATCTATCATAAACTATATTTTCATTGCCATGGAGCCTTTATCATGGGGGAATAGCAGAGGGCTGGTTTAACTGCACAGACAGGAGCAGGTGTGGGATACAAGCAACTAGCTGGGAAGGGAAATTCTGATTTTGAAGGAAGGAAAAGAATAGTGATCATCTGGTTCTGTTCCAAAGCTTTTCAAATCAGCAGCACTTTAAGTACTAGGTGGTCATTCTTAGTTGTAACATTAGCAATGATTATTCATATTGGTATGGCCACTTTACAGCTAACCAAGTAACTCACTGAGGCACAATCACAGAGGAAGTAGAGTCCAAAATGCACAAGTCATACTTCAGGTTTTAAATATGCCCAACTTTCTCAGGCTGTTATTTATAGTCAACTGTTCTGACTCTAAACCTAAGAAAAATGTGGGGTGCCAGTTTTTTCTTAGGAGTTCAGTCATATCTCAGTGTATTTTTCATGATATAAATGGGTGTCAACCTCGTGTCTCTGTGCTTCATTCATACTCAGAAGGTTGACACAGTTAGGGAAAGTTTAGAGCTTATACTGCATGCTCCTTTGTTTTGGGGCCAGTCACCATGGAGAAGCAGCCACTCCTGAAATGAAAACTTTGGATGTATCATCAGAAAGGACCCAAGACTTTCCACTTGGGGGCTAATACTGAAGCTTGGACAAAACCCCCAGACTTGGGTTGCTGTGTATGAAGAGTGTACACAGACCACAAAAAGCCATGTTCAAGGCAGAGCATAGGTCCAAAGACACCCTTTGGTAAAATGATCCTCAGAGAAAAACACACACACACACACACACACACACAATGATCTTGCTTATGAAAAATATTTTATCATTATAACTAAAGGTTAGTAAGAAAAAAGTCTCTTGGCTACTGCCCTTGGTTTCTAGACTGGAGAGGAGACAGGAAGCTATCTTTTTCTGTCTGGGCCATCTGCTCAGCTTCACCCTATGGAGCTCTGGTGGTTGCTACCGACAGCCACAGTGCCAGTTGTAGTGGCCACACTCAGCTTTGCAGAGAACGTTCCAGGAGAGGGAGGAGGAGGGTCTGAAGCTCAGATACCTGGTCATCCTGCCGCTTCCGCATCCTGGCATTGTCAGCCTGAGCACTGGCCAGGGCCTGCCTGAGAGCTAGCAACTGTTGGCGAAATAAACCTGCTTCCCGCTCTGCTATTAGCTTGATGCGCAAACATTCTTTTTTACTTCGAATAGATTCCTGTAAACATCCCAAACACAGTAAGATAAGGAATAAGTTTCCATATTTTTTGTTTCACAAGTAGTGCCCAAACCATCCATCCTTTAAAATTTCCAGTAGAATGGAGTTCTTGCTGGACACTGCTTCCGTGATTGTAATTAAGAATAGTTCGAGAGCCGGGCGGGGTAGTGCACACCTTTAATCCCAGAGGCTCGGGAAGCTGAGACAGGAGAATTGTGAGTTCAAAGCCAGCTTCAGCAATGGCAAGGTGCTAAGCAAATCAGTGAGATCCTGTCTCTAAGTAAAATACAAAATAGGGTTGAGGATGTGATTCAGTGGATCAAGTGCCCCTGATTTCAATTCCTGGTGGAAGGAAGGAAGGAAGGAAGGAGGGAGGGAGGCAGGGAGGGAAGGAAGGAAGGAAGGAAGGAAGGAAGGAAGGAGCAACAGATCAGAGTAAATAGACTTCTTTCAGGAACAGTCAGTGGAAGTTTCCAAACCGCTATCTATCAACATGTGCTTTGGCTTCAATTTGCTTTGAAGCAAATTTTCCATCTACCGATACTTCATTTTCCTCAGATGCATCAAGCCCAAAGACACACAGTATTTTGACAATGAGCTTTGAGCCCTTGGTAAGATCTCTCCTTCATCTTTTCACTTTCTTTGTGCTCAATTCTCTATCTGTTCTCCCTGGCCAGTTGCTTCTTTTCTGTTTCCCCCAAAGGCTCTGACGTTGTGGCCAACTGTCAGATTTTTCAGCGTGGCTGTCCCTGCCACATGACACCAGTACATCAGCTGCAGTGAGGCAGGCTGAGGAGGCCCCCTGGGGCTGCGGAGCCTCCCTCCCCAGCACTCACCTTCTCTGCCCTGCTCAGCTGGCCCCGGAAGTGTGTCTGCTGCACAGCCTGCCTCCAGAGGCCTAGGCTCCTCACTTTGCACACCAGGGCAGCCAGGCTGCGGTTGTCCTGCTCCAAGGCCAAAAGCTGCTCCTATCAAGAAAGCTCAGTTTCAGAAAACCCTGCCCCCAACCCTTTTCCCAGGAAGAGCATCAATCCTAACATCAAAAACATGATACAATTGTGCAGTGAACCCTGGTCCCCTTGAAATGACTACCAAAATGCTTTCTCAGGGAAACCAGACTGGAAAGCAAGCAGGGTGAAGGGTGTGGCAGATGCTAGGAAGAAGCACTGATATCCCACTACTAAGTGAACTCATGTACCTTGGCTGCGTTTTCTTTTATTCCTTCATCAGGCCTGGCAGAGCCCCATTTCTTCCTTAGCTCCTTCATATTGGTGATCCCTTCTGTTCTCACTTCACTGATGAGCTCACACACTTTCTGGGTCAAATTAAGCCAATTCTCATTCAGCTTCTCCTACAAATTATAGACTCATGTCAAGAGAGTATAATGGGTTTGGGAGGCATGAAGGACAGTGGAGAAAGAACTATTTTGCCTTCTGAAACCTAACTTTTGGAAATGATTCCACATTCAAAGATCCTCCACCCAGATTATTTTTCCAATGTGGATTCTATGGAAGTCACAACAGTGGCCCCTTAAGTGTTAATCTTTCATCCACAGGGCTTCATCATTTGGACACCTTCATGTCCTAGAGTGTGCCTTGCTTGTCAAAATCAAGGCAACTTGAGTCAGGAGGACAGTGGGTAGAACAGCGAGAGGTCAGAGGCAGAAATCCTACCGACAGAATCGCCCCCTGGGAAGGGTTACTTGGAACAATTGAATTTTGCTGTGAGGTTGACTCAGAGCAGAATCTGACCAGAAAAGACACTACAGATGACCCATCACTGAGGAACTCCATTAAATATGGATAAGTGGAGGAAGGAATCAGGCTGGCTGCCTTCCTATTTAGGTTCTGGCAGAAGCCTCATTATAAAAACGTTCTTTTCTAAATGGCTTATGGCTAATGGCTTATGATGAAACAGCTCGATCAATGCTAAATATAACTGCAGCCTTAGGGTTGTGGACTGAACTGTGTCTCCTCGAAAATTCACACATTGAACCCTAACGCTCTTTGTGACAGTGTCTGGGGATCTGAGATCTTCAGGAGGGAAGTAAGGTTAAACTGAGGTCATAAGGGTGGTTCCCTATTTCAGTAAGACTGTGGTCTGTCAGAAGAGGAAGACAGAAAGATAACTTTCCCTTTTTCTCTGCCATCTAAAGGCACGGGAAGAAGACGGCCAAATGCAAACCAGAAAGGGAGTCCTCACAGAAGCCACTCTGATTTTGGGCTTCTAGAACCGTGAGAAAATAAATTTCTGTTGTTTAAGTTACCCAGTCTATGGCACTTTGTGATAGCAGCCTGAGCAGACTAAGATACCTAGACTCCTTCTGACCCACATCTTCAAAGAAGCAGTCAGGAAGATATGCCAGCTGAGAGATATAGCAGGAAATCTGGCTGCTGGTCACATGGCAGAAACCTCACCATCCTCTTGGGACCCTGGAGGAGAACAGGGATTCCCTACTTTGGGGGGTTTCATGGAACTACTTTAGCTTGAGAAGAAAAGATTCCACTTCTTAATCTTGAAATCTGGTAAAAACTAACAGGATCTGAAGAATTATTTCTCGATGATCAAATACCTGAATGATTACTTTGCAAATTTCAGCCTTCACTGTCTACTCATTCCTCTCCTGCAGCACTAGAACCAGCTCATTTGGGTTTTGATCCTCTTATATTTGTAAGTATTTGTACTTTGCAAATTAGAGGAAATCTCTAACCCTCTCTGGAATGACTAGGCTAAGGCAGAGCACCGCAGGATCTCCTGTTAGGACCCTTCTGGAACGCTTAGAGAGAGAGGGAGGCAAGGACCCACATGGGGGCTGGCTCTGGAATTCATCCAATAGTAGAGATGGGGGCAGGGCCAGAGGAAGCTATGGATTTCAGGGTTGTATGGTTGTATTTGTTGGGCAGCTGGATCAGGCTTTCTGATAGTCCATTGTGGGCTGCGTATCTATCTTACAGCTGCTCAGACATAAGAAAGTGACTGGTTTCTGTAGTGCTGGGAGCACATGGGTATACCATTACTCCTTTTCTGGATGCTTCTTCATTGATAGGTCAGCAGCTCCCTGACACTGGATGTAAGAGAAAGGAAGGTGGGAATATTGAGGATTGGAAAAAAAATCTGAAGCCAGTTCACATCCCTCATCTGCCCATGAGCTCTCAAGAGGTACTAGCTGCTTCTTCCATTGAAGTCTGGCTGGGCCCAGGGGACTGTGCTCCCCCATTTGGGGAGTTACTCTCCACAGAAACAACAATGGTAGACACTGGTAAGGATTTGAACCAGAATATCCTCCTCTTTTCAACTGCAACAAGATGGCGACTGGCAGTAGAGTAAGAAAAAATAAACATCTAACTTATCTAAAATTCAGTGTCCATCAGGGGAGAATAATGACAACCCATTGCTAACTTTCTCTCTGCAGCAAAAACTTACAGCGGGAAAATTCTTGGCCCCAAGAATGTCTTATTACCGTTAAGTCCATTCTGCCATTGACTCCTTGGTGTATAGCCACAGGGCTGCCCAGAAGACCGACATAGGATACTTACTTTTCTGTGTAAACAGGTCATAAACAAAGCTTGGACCAATGCTTCATATTCTTCTTGGACTTCTTCTTTAATTTGCTTTTTGAGATTTATGTTCTCCTCTTCCAAATCTGTGAGTTGGGCTCTCAGAGCAGTGATTTCCATGATCATATCATGACTGAGCTCTGCAACCTAGCAGCAGAAACACACACACAAACACACACACACACACACACACACACACACACACAATTTATGGAAAACAATTTAGGAATTCCAAAGTTCTACTATAAAAAAGTTCTTTATAGATTACTGTAGAATTTGTACTTCTCTTTTGAATCTAAGGAAGAAAGTGAATATCCTGCTGTGTAAATATGGACAGAAGAATCTCATCTTGATTCAAAGGTCTCACCATGGTGCCAGACACATAGGACTTGCTCGGTAAATGGTTGCTGAATAAATGGCCCCAAAGAACTGCTATTTGAGAAATTTTCAATTAGAGAAAATACCTGACCTATCTTGACCTTCATCTCCAAATTGGCCTTTCCTTGATCCCTCAGCCCAAATACTTCTTCGTTTTGGGGATGCACTTTAACTGTCCTCAAAGGAAAACAAACACCCCCCTCCTATGCCAAATAACAAGACTCCCAAAACAACAAAGTAACAAAAATAATTAAAAACTCAAGAAAAAATAAAACACCCTTAAAACTCATTGCTTACAAAAAGTAAAAACACATTCCTTGGGTGTTTCTGCAGGCACCTTCATTGATGGGACTTTCACAAGCAACTCATGCAAATGACGCTCAGAAATCTCACTTCTGGCAAACTCTGAGAGTGTAGATGTGAGAATGGAGAAGAGAATCTTTTTAAGAACTGACCTACCTGACCAGCATGGTCTTCAGGTGGCACTTGACTTCTTTGTAACACCTCTAGTTCCTGAGAAGAAAGCAGTGCACAACCAAACACCACATATTTACCCTCCTCACCACAGCTTGGTTCAGGAGGACACATTTCCGACGCCTCCTATTTGTGTTTATGGAGCCTCATTTTGAGACCCTCAGCCTCATCCTGGAGCTGGGACTGTGCTTGCCACACCATTAGACTTTAGGATTTATAACACAGCATCAAGAGACAACATCCTCTCTCCACACTGGTACAGGGAACCCAACCATGGGCATAGGCCCAAATGGATGGGAATAGGCCCAAATGGGACAATTCCAAGATTTATTATTTGATATTTTTGTGCTTCATTTTTTTTTTTTTTTTTTGGCTAGTCTTAGATCTTTTCCTCTTTTTCTCAGATACAAACTAGAATTATACTGAGGCTCTGATGCAATCTATTTCTAAACAGTGTGCTATTTAGGACAGGAGAAGTGACTCTTCGATCCCACCAATGGGATTTCACAATTATTATTATTATTATTTTTTTTTTTGCAGAGCTGGGGGTTGAACCCAGGGCTTTATGCATGTTAGGCAAGCACTCTGCCATTGAGCTATACCCCCAGCCACCAATGGGATTTCATTTTAAGAAAGTGGCATCAGTGAGATTGACCATGATATGCATGCCGAAGACAGTTTTTTCAAGAATCCTGGCTTCTCTGCTAGACCAGGAATAGCCTTGTGTTTGCTGAGCCAGGAAAGGTCAGCTATGCACCTTCCAGCTCATGGCTTAGTCACCTCCTGCATTCCCCACTGGACACTCTCAAAGCACACAATTCAGTATTGCTGGGGCCATCACCTATGCAGTGGAGAATATCAGAACCCAAGAAAATAAGTTGACAAATTTGGAGTGTTCCTTTCCCCCTCAATTCTGGCATAAGAACTGGTCCCCTCCCCATCCCTGCTCAGTTTTACTTTCTCGTTTGAATTACTCTGGGCCTCCTGCCCATAGCCCTTCCCTTAACTGGTTCTCCTCTCTCTGGGTACCTACCTGCTCCTTCTGGCAGAGCTTCTGCCTAGTGTGCTGCAACACATGCTCATAACACATGGAGTAGGTCTCAAAGTTGCTGCGTTCTCTTGCCATCACATCACAACCCAAGGAAAGGAGGCAGGCCTCAAGGTGGTCTTTCCTGAAGGTGATCTGAAAAAACAGGAGCATTATTCCCAGCAGCTCCAGCAGGGTGGAGCAGCCTCACTATGCCAGGGCTGGAGGCACACATTGCCTTGGCTTGGAGAAGGACTTGCATACCCAATCCGTACCAAAACTCCAGGCTGGCAAACCTCTCTCAACTCTGAACATGTGCAGTGCCCGGGACAAGACGACAAATGGAGACTGCCTATCATGTGTCTAAGTATTTCAAGTTTATAAATCAAATTAATACACTATTAAAATGCAATGTTTAATTCTCCTACCTTGAAAGATTAGACCTTCAAAATGGTCTGAAAGTCTAGGTTTGAATTTATTATTCATGGACTACTTTGAGTTCTATGCTGAAGGGTGGGGAACTGGGGACAGTTGGTCTCCAACCCAGAATTTACAGTATGACCCCATTCTCTTCCCACCTTGTGAGGGCCTTCACAGTCCTACTGACTGGACACTGCAGCCTGCAGGTTCAAACTCCACCCACACCCCTACTCAGCTGCCTCTTGGCCACCCCCCAGGCCAGGGGTGTGCACACTAGTGGTCCACTCTTTCTCTGGAGAGGAGTCCCATGTAGACCCCAGACTCAGGGAATTCCGGAATCCCAGGTTCCTACAATACAGTCTAGAAGGAAGGCCAGGGCTCTGTGTGGACATGTCCCTGTGGCCCAGAGGATTTATTACCTAGTAGGGAAGAGCAGGGCTATAGGAGGCAAGAAGGGGCCTTGTGAAGCACAGGGCATGTGACAGGGGCCCCTGCAGCTCTGTTCTAAGGACCCACATGGCTCACTTTCTCAGCAATTCCATTCATCCTCTTTCTCCAGGAGACTGGGCATACTCTTTAAGAGGTGGCCATTAAAGAATAGAGAAGTCTACCCCTCCAAGGCAGAAATGGGAGTGAATGGAGAGAAATGGGAGTCAATTTATGAAACACAGATCAGATGACCCAGTCAGGACCCACACATCCATTCAGGTGTGGGTGTATGTCCTGCTGTGTGTATCAGTGTGTGTGTGTGTGTGAGTGTGTGTGTGTGTGTGTGTTTTGGAGGTCTTATGTCACTAATTCCAAGAGCCAGCTGGCACTTGAGCTTGATCTGTGATTCTGCCAAGGTGTGGCCAGCTCTTGGCTCCCTGGCAGACTGCTGTAGGTTGTCCTTGGAGACTGCACTCGTCCCCTGGCTCTGATTCACTTGTCTCTGGAAGTCCAAGATACTGTCCCATCAGTGCAACCTCAGCGCCAAACTGACCTTCAGAGAAAGTTCACAGTGGAATTTGCCAAGGCAAGTTATTGAAGCAAACTAGCAGAGGTGGCAAATAGTAAGAAGTCGTAGCATGGAGGAGGGAGTGGGGAGGGCGGCTCCTCCTGCTGCTGTGAGAGCGGGGGCACTTCTACCACTCTTAAGGAGATCAGGCTGGCAGTGTCTATGACAAGAGTGTGATGTGTTTGGGCTCTTTGACCCAGTGACTCCTCTTTTACAAATTTATCTTTAGGGAATAATAAAAGTTGTATACAGAATGTATGCAGACATATTTTTTTAAAAAAAAATATTTTTTCCAATAGAAAAAAAAATGGAAAACAATCTAAAGTGCCTAACAAGGGAATTAAGCAGAATCCATTTGGTTTATCTACCCAAGGAAACACTGACCAGCCTCCAAAAATGGACACACATTTACTGACAAGGGTTTAAAACATATGGTTAAGTGAAAAGAACATGCTAGGAAATGAGTCATGTAGAATAATCCTACTATATAAAAACTTAAAAAGTGCATGAACAGAAAATAGGTTGGAAATAAAGTTTGGAAGGAAACATGCCAAAATAATAATAGAGGTTATTAATGAGTCTATTTTCTAAAAAATTATATTTCTATTTTCTAATATAATCTATAATACATATTGTATATTTCTAATATAATATAATCATAATATGTAATTAAGTAATGATATACAAATGCACAAAAATAACATAAATATACTAATTAAGAGTTATGCTTTTAAAAAGTCATCCATCAAATCAGCTTGACAGAATGGAATCCAACGTGGACAATGGAATCAGGACATGTCTGCCTGTGTGGAATTGAATGAGCAGCCAGGCAGCCTTGGGCAGGAGCCCTGCCTCCCCTGACTCACTCTCCAGGGTCTTCCTTAAGGGGCCTTTCAGTGGGAGATGAGAAGGCAGGTCACCCTGCCCCTGTTCTGGTCCCACTCAGGTCCTGGAAGGTGAGCAGCAGGACAGCTGTAGTTCAGCAGCTGACACAAGGCAAAGGGAATGTCAGGTTCTTTGCCTAGACCCTGCCTTCTCTGTGGTGAAAGGGCCAGGCTACGTGGGCTTAGTAATGACAAAGGAAACTCTTCCGGGGCTGACTGATGAAAACTTGAAGCCATGAGAAGTCATGAGACTGCACAGTGGGCCAGTAAGGTGTGGCCAGTGATCTCATCCAGGCCCAGCACTCAGAGCCAGCCACAGTGACTCACTCCTTACTGTCCTGAGCATCACCGCCTGCATGTGGATGTTCCAACAAGGCCTCTGACAGCACTTTAGCAAGGCAATCGCTTCTCATACTAATGCCGCCATAGCCCCTGCAGAACAGTATTGCAGAACTGAACCCCATGGCCCTCTGTTACCCAGCAAGGATGAGGAGCCCTATGGTGACACTGAGGAGTTGGGAATGGCCAGGACTCTTCTGCTTGAGCATTCCCAGAGGCCAGAGGAGTTTTGTTGTTTCTCTTGGTGGCTTTGCTGAGGCCTCTGGAGAGGGGCTGAAGGATCAGATTAAGGGCCAGCCCAGAGGGCGTGAGTCTGGGAGCAGGGAAAGAGAGTAACTGCTCAGGTAGAGCTTCTTCAGAGAGCCGTGGAAAGAGGGGTGTCCAGGTGGTGCACATAGGATGCTGTGACTGACAGGCGAGGGAGAGATACAGGCAGACTCCTGGGGTCCTGGCTGTTCCCATTCTTCAGGGGAACTTCAGTCTGTGCACTCGACCTTCCAGAGATAGAATTTGATGCTCCTTGAACAGTAATTGCTGGAATACAGCCGTCATGGCTTCTGATGGCACATTCCTACAGCTCTCAGAGTCACTCTACAACCTACCGCTGCCTTCCTGGGTCACTGTAAATGTCACTGCGGCTTGAATGTAGTGTGAACAGGCTTCATCAGCCCACTTCCTTTCTGGGCAGCAGAAGAGCCACAGTCAGCCCTTTGGCCTGGTTCTGCCCAGTGAGCAGCCCTGCTCTCCTTGGGGCTGAGTCTTTCACCACCATTTAAACCTGAACTGTACCAGGCATGTGTTACACGCCTGTAATCCCAGCGGCTCGGAAGGCTAAGGCAAGAAGACCACAAGTTCAAAGCCAGTCTCAGCAACTTAGAGAATCTCTAAGCAACTTAGGGAGGCTCTGTCTCTAAAAAAATATAAAAGGGGCTGAGGATGTGGCTCAGTGGTTAAGCACCTTTGGGTTTAATCCCTGGTACCTAAATAAAGAAAAATAAAAATAAAATAAACCTGAACTATAATGGATGGTGCTGGCCAGAAGAGCACTGGCTTGCCCCACAGATTCTTCCAGGGAGCCAGCCTATGGGGAAGCATGTCAGGTGCTCGACCTTATGGGGAAAAAGTCTGGTCTTATATCCTGCTGGGAGCATATGGTTCAAAAAACACCTCTTCCAGGAAGTCTTCCCTGACTTCTCTAAGCTCATGTGGCAACCTGAGAGGGCTCTAGCAAAGCATTTACTCCTTTTCCAGACATCACTGGTTCACCTAACTGTTGTCATAAGGGCAGGGATTATACTTCTCGCCTTTATGTCTCTAAAAAAGTGCCTAGAAAAATAGAAATCTCTGGCATATAAATGGAAATGGTTCTGAAATCCACAAAATAGGTTTCTATAGTTCTGATTTGAAAAATGTCTGGTTTCTTGCTGGGCGAAGTGGTAGACGTCTAAAATTCCACTGGGAAGACTGAGGCAGGAGGATCACAAGTTCAAGGCCAGCTTGGCAACTTAGTGAGAACCTGTCTCAAAAAAAGAGCTGGAGATGTATGGTAGAGCGCCCCTGGGTTCAACTTCCAGTACCAGAATAAAAATAAATAAATAAAAGGCAGTTTCTTGCTTTATTGTATTTGGTATAAAATTCGGACAAGAAAAGCTGGTTTTCTAGAATTTGGAGAAGGAAACAAAGATCACAAGAAGCCAACATGGGTTCAAGAAAAAGTGGTCAGATTAACACTATTTTCTCAGGAAACACAGTAACCATGGTGTATCTGGGTTCAGCAGGACATCTGAGAGGGAAAACTGGGAGAACGTGGGCTGTATAAAGTGCAGCTGGATGGGCTTCTGGCTACTGAGAGCCTGTGTCCAAGGAGGACCAGGCTACCCAGGACCTAGAGTGGGCAGTATGGAGCCAGGGGCCTGTCCTGGAATCTACTGCTATTAATTATTTGAATGAGGATACCAGATTTCAGGCTGGTATAAAATTAGGAGAGCGTAGTGGATGACAAAAATCCATATTTTCAAAACTCTCAAGAGGTCCAAAGAGTGAACCAAACTGAACAAGAACGAGGCTGATAACATGGCGGCATCAGGAAGTCTGAGTGCAATGTGTGGGCTTCAGATGACAGCTTAATGCGTCAGCTGTGACGTGGCTGCTGAAACCCAACACACTCCGAGGCATTAATCCAAGCAAAATATCCAGGACAAGGTCACTGCTGGCCAGAAAGCCATGAATTTAAAGAAGACTGATCAAGATGGCAAGGGTATTCCTAGAAAACCACAGAAGGAACTGGGAACAGCTTCGTCTGAAGGAGAGCAGACAGGCGAAGGTCCTTAAGGCAAGCTCTTGCCATCTGTGCTCTGCCCGGAGGCATCCAGGTGAAGGGGGAGCCCAGAGACTGCTCCATTTTCCAGTCCATGTTTCCTGGCACGGAGCTGCCCCATCAGGAGGAAAGGGTAATGATTTGTAATCCAACACCCAGGGGGACACCTGTTTTGATTTGTCCTTCCAAAGTTGCCCCTTGCTGTAACTGTCTTCACACATGCTAACAATGGCTTCACTGAACTGGCCCCAGACATTTAAAGGTTCATTGTCGGGGGTCAGAACCATGATCTGTGGCATCTCAGAAAAGAGAATCCGTGGCGGAGATGTGGGGTTGTGGAGCCTGCAGACCAAATCCAGCTCAGGAGGCGCTGACTAAAGCAAGAGCTGCCTATGGTTGGGGGGAAGTTTTAAGAGAGACTGAGCTCCTTGTCACTGCAGATGATCTAAAAGAGTCTGGATGCTGGAGGGACCCAAGCATCCTGAGGGCCCATGCTTCCTAGACACTGGCAGACCAACAGCAACCTCTTCCAGAGTTTCTCGAGTTTCAGTTGTACCTGCTATGGGTTCACCCTGCCTAGCCATGCCCATATTTCTTCCCTACAAGATTTTATCCTGGGTGCTAAGCATACAGAGGAGCATGCAGGGAGCAGAAATTGAACCACAAAATTGTCGAGGTTGTTTAATTGGTGCATTAAAATCATACATAATAGTATGTTGTTTGCTTTTATTGTGGTAAAATATTTATTAGGTAATATTTGTCATTTTAACTATCTTCAAGTGTACAGTTCAGTGACATGTTGTTGGGAAACTGTCACTACCAGCCATCTCTGGAAATCTTTTCATCTTGTAGAACTAAAACTTTGTGCTAATGGTACAATCACTCCTCTCCTCCTCTCCCTAGCCTCTGGCAACCACCATTCCATTTTTTGAATCTATGAATTTGACTTCTCTAGTTACCTTAAAAAAATGGAGTCAGACAGTATTTTCCTTTCATTTCACTTAGTATACGTCCTCAATGTGTCTATGTTGTAGCATGGATCTGCATTTCCTTCCTTTTTAAGGCGAGCCACATTTTTAATGCAAACATTTTTCTGAGCATGCCCTGCCCTCTCCATCTGTGTACCCCCTCATCACAGGGTATGGTCCCATGTTTGTGTATAATAGAAAGCTGAAAAACTACATGTCAACAATCAACATCTGAGGAAGAATGTATCTCCGACCAAGCTTGTGAATGCTTTACTTCATAATTAAGAACTGAAGTGTTTATTATAAAATGATGAAGAACATTTTCAAAAACTTAGAAAAATGTGTTTCAAGAAAGCATTGTTTAAAAATTGAGCACATTTTGCCAAAACAGATTTTTAAAGTGATTGAATATTGGTGATTCATATCTACCCAAAACATTTATTAATCATCCTAAAAATTTTATGTCCAAACATCCACGTTTACTCTCGTATTCTGCTTTTTCAGGGGATTTTCTTGATTTAGCTAAGCACTTCCTGCCAAGAGTAAATATGTTTTGAAATTCCAAGGATAGTGTGTGTGTATTAAATACATATTCCTGTTAAGTATAATAATATAGAGTGGTATGGACCTACATATTTTTCTGGCAGGATGTTCACACAAAAATTACTGGTGCCACTTCCCTTTGTGGAGAAGGAACCAGGTGGTGGATGGGATGGGGATGTCGCTCAGTGGCAGAGTGCCCAGCATGTGTGAAGCCCTGGGTTTGATCTCTGGCACTGACAAAAAAGAAGGAGGAGGAGGAGGAGGAGGAGGAGGAGGAGGAGGAGAGTAGAATAGTAGAAGAATGAAGATGTTACCTTTCTGTGCTGTTGGGTTTTTTTTTTTTCATATTGTAGATTTTAAAAATGTTTTCTAATTAGTATTTTATAGGCTCTTTTGGTTTTCCTCTAAAATTTTCTGTACTAACAGATCAACAGCAGGAATGAGGCTAAACATAAAAGTCAACGCATTCACAAACTCCAAAGTTGCTTTAATCACCTAACTAAATTCAAAATCAGCCAATATATTTTTTCTGTCTACTCAGGATCTTTATAGACATCAGACTATTTCCAATATTCATATTGCAACAAATTATTACAATTTGGGATTCAGATTCAGTTTTCATATCATCATTCTTCAGGAGTAAAGGAAACATTAGGAGCTGTGTTAAATGATGAAGTGTTTCTTTGGGTTTATACTAAAAAAAAAAAAGAATGACTAATTTTCAATACATACCTCTGGTCCACTGTCCTGGTAATTCTCCATTAATTTCTGTATAAATTTCTCAACTATTTGTGGTCTTGCAACTGAAAAATTTTCTTTCATGACTTGATGTTTCCAAAGATCTAGGACGGAAAACATGTCAACACTGGTATCGCAAAACACCAAGCGTCATTAACAGCTATGAAATGGCAGCTCTCTGAGACCACCATGGGCACAACAAGCTGTCATTTCCACATGCACTAAAACCTGGGTGAGGCAGCAGAGGGGAGGTGGTAGTCAAGGACCCAGAACTCTCTGGAACATAGAATAAGGAAGATCTCTGGCAAGATTCCTAATGAAAAGATTTAGAAAAGCATTTCTGGAGTCCAGTAAACAAGGTTCTGTTACCATAACTAAAAAGCCTGAGTGAACCATTACTATTGATTCTATAAGATGCCTATTTTCACTAATATCCTGTATGTGTATGAGCAATATTTCTAGTCTAACACAGCTATCAGAAACAAATGAGCGACATGGCTGAGACATGTGCAACGAGGCATGTACTGTTGTCAGGGTAACATTGTTTATGGCAGCAAAAGCTTGGAAACTCCACAGGTGTCCCTCATTCAGGATCTGGTTACTTAAAATATGATATGTCCTTTTGATAGAGTAGTATGCAGCTATTGAAAAAAGAAAGTCTCCCTATACTTATGAGCAAAAAAATAAATAAATAAAAAACAACCATAGATTAAGTTACAATAGCAAAGTGCAGAACAGTAGATATAAAATGATATCTTTAAAAAAAATTTTTTTGTACTTGTAGATGAACAGCATCCCTTTATTTATTTATTTATTTATTTATTTTTATGTGGTGCTAAGGATTGAACCCAGTGCCTCACATGTGCTAGGTAAGCGCTGTACCACTGAGCTGCAGTCCCAGCCCCTAAAATGTCATCTTTAATAAAAAGATATAATAAACACAATTAGAAGGATATGGCCTCAAGACTATTCAGGGTCATTGCTCCAGAAACTTCCCGGTCTTTTTCCTATGTCATCAGTTCTCCTCTCTGGCCTGGATCATTCACAATGGCACACGCATTTCTCCCATTAAAATAATAAAAATCCTTCTCTTGAAACTGCCCCCCACCTTACTCCATCAGCTGTGGCCTCATTTCTTTGTATCCTTTTATAGCAAAATTCCCAGAAAGAGATGTCTACACTGAAACTGTCCTTGGCTTGTCTCAAATTCCTTCTTAAACCCCTTCACCTGGTTTTCATTTCCACCAGACTGCTGAAACCGATTTTGTCATGAGTGCCAACCATTTCCTCTGGTTAAAGACAGTGGTTTTACTTCCCTACCAGCAGCATTTCACCCGATGTGTTAACTTCCTAACTGAGAAAGTTCCTTCACTAGGCATTGGGACGTTACTCTGGCTGGTTTCCCTTGTACTTCGATGTCTGCTCCTTCTAGGTTTCTTTCCCTGGTTCTCCTTCTCCCCTCCCAGCTCGGAGTGTCCCAGGGCTCAGGCCTTGGTTCAGCTCCTCATTTCCTCACATACCCACTTTCTTGGCTAGCTCATCTTGACTCGCAGCTCAATCTTACTCACATAGTGACAATTCTCAAAGTTAGACCCAATACCCACTGAGCCTCTCTTCTTGCAGTCTAAAAGGCATTTAAAACCTAACTTATGAACAAATTCCCAGTTTTTCCTCCCTAACTTATTTCATCAAAAGCCGATTTTGTCTCAGCTCAAGGAAATTCTATTTTCCCATCACTCAGGTCAAAAAATCTTAGAGTCATAATGAACTCATCTCCTTCTCCCATCCCCAATAGTACCCAATCTGTTAGTGCCTCCTTCAAAATCTACCCAGAGTCTGACCACTTACCCTTCCCTCTATTCCCAACTCTGAGTCACCATCTCCTCTTGTTGGATTATTGCCACAGCCTCCAAACCAACCTCTCCCTTCTTTCATCCTTTCTTCCTTCATAGTTCTACCCTCAATATAGCAGCCAGAGAGAATCGGGTAAAATATAAACCAGATCACGTCTCTCAAAAGCAAAATAAGTGCTAAAGTCCTTACGAGGCTCTGCATGACCCGTCCTCCTTGCCCCATCCCTCTCTGACTTCATCTCCTGCTCTCTTCCCTCACACCCCCTCCTCCAGTCACACTTGGGGTTGCTGTTCCCACATTAGCAGGACATGCTTTACTTAGGGTTTTCGATTAAGTTGTGCCTTCTGTCTGGGATGCTCTTCACTTGAACACCCTCTTACTAACTCAGAGAGGTCTACTCTGATCCAATGCCCCCCCCCCCCAAGCCTTTTCAAAACCATCCTCCATACTCCATTATTTTAAAAAAAAATTGTGGTTTATTGCTTGCTGTCTCTCCTATTCTTGATTATAAACTCCACAAGAGTAAGGATTTTTTGCTTATGAAAGTAAGGATGTATCCCTACATCAGCTCCTAATATATGGTAGCCTAGAACATAGGAGGTGCTCAGTAAATCATGATCAAATGAAAGAATGAATTAACATGTGCATAAAGAAGTACATGAGATTTATAAAAATAATGAAAGTGGTTATGGATATAGGTGGCAGAATGGTCACAAGGGGATCAGTGGTGGCAAGGAGAATTCTATCTATTTTTATGTTGTTTGTGTTTTGAACCCTGTGGATATGTATATTACCTACTAAAAATAAAATCAAAATAAAAAATAATGGTATCATTAGAACAATGTAAGACTATCCACCTTCTTAACTTCCATATGGAAGAGCAAGAGCACACGTGTGTGTTAATTACCTTGGTGAGACTGGCCTGGTAGGACTCACTTCCTCATGCATGGTCTCAGAGGAGCCTTGGAATTGTTCACCAGAGCCAAGTCCCACTATGCTCCCCTTTCTGTTATGGGGGTGCTGGCCAGCAGTAAGAATGCCCACCAGGCCTCTCCCTGCCCCTGGCTGTTTCTAACTTCAGATGAGATTTCCTACTTGTGCACTCAAGTTTTCTGACAGGAGTTTCCGTGCACAAAAGAGGAGTGTCCAGCACAGACTGCCCAGAAATGTGGCTATGACAGCTGCAGCCTCTTACGTTTGTTCATACTGTCCTATTTAATGAGGGGTATTGGTTTTGAAGATGGGATTCCACATTTCTTTCTACAATTGGCTGTTTTCCATAATAAACATATAAATCTGAGCTTGCTTTTCCTTTAGGAAATAAAGGTAGTAGACGTATCGCCATCATCCCAACACAGTTGAAGTAGAAAATTCAAGGGTTCATGTGCCCAGAGTTCATACTTCTTAAGACTTTAGTAAGTGTAAGCTTTGACAAGACAAGGTTCATGTGTATTAAAGAAATTTTTTTCAGATAGGAATATGGATAACTTTTCCAGGTTACTGGTATGGCAGGTCTCTGGCTTGCTGAGAAGCCTGGTGAGGGACTTCATCTGTCATGCACCTCTAGTTTGGGGACCATCACCAGGGAAACGGCCCACTGAGCCAATGTGGGGTTTAGCTTTGGCTCAGCTGAAGAGGAAGTACTCTAACCAGATGTTGGGAAGGTTTCCCAGCACTCTTCCTGCTTGCAAATTCAAGTTCAGACATGCACGTATATCTGCAGGCAGGAGTGGGGGTGGGGGGAGCCAGGGAGAGTGAAATCCATCCAAGAAAACTCATTCCTGGCAGAGAAGGATATGCTGTCTCCAAAAGTGTCTTATTCTCAGTGTGTGTGTGTGGTCATGGCTTCTTTAAGATGAAGCAGCAGTTTTTGACAGGGAAGTGGGAGGGCCACAGCACACTAGAGGTTAAACTGGGATTTTGTTATCCCTTTTCACTCTCTTCCCAGGGTCTTTGATTTCCTGTGGGCCAAACCACTTACCCTCCCTCCCTCTCTAAACTGCACCCTGGCCCAGCCTCCTCCCTCAAGAAGGACACCTTGATTGGGTAACATTTCACTTCCCTAACACAACTGCTTGTCCTCTGCACCTGAGGGGCCCCTGTGTCTTAACCCAGGGTGGAAGTGAAACTCCTCTCAACCGGCAGCCTCACAACTGCCAGTCAAGTCCGTTCTTCTGACCAGCCAGGGGGCCTGAGAAGTGGGCAAGTCAAAAGGCGTATTGTGTGAACTATATGCATGTGTCTTGTATGCCTGTTTTTCAAAGTGCTCCCCAGAACACTAATTCTTTGAGTTAATAATTAATGCTCCTAAGGGGAGAAAAGGGTTCTGTGGTCAAATAAATTAAAAACCATTGCATTTTGTCTCTTTCCTGACCACAGGGAAATAATGCATGCTGGGGTAATAAAGGCCCTGAGGTCCAGAGTAGAGGAGACTTTTCAACGTGATTTGCCCTGATTTTTCCAAACTTATTTTGACAATAAGGAACTAGCACCAGGACCAGATTTGGATGTTATATCTTCTGAGCATCCCTGACCAACTGGAAACTCATTTAGCCACGTCATAAAAAGATTAATTTCCAAGACATGGTAGGAAGGAAGGGAGGAGGTAAGGGAGTGAGGTATTCCAGGGTTCCATTTTGGCAGGTATAAATGTAGACACAAGAATTGGCCAAGAGAGAAAGCAAAGACCCTAAGAGAAAGAACAAGAGCCTCTGCTTTCTGCCAGTTCTCAATACCTCCAATACCACCTCCCTCTGGAGAAATCACTGGCCCCAAGCTAAACTTGACCAGTAGCTGGTCTTTGCACAAAATGGCCCCTGCTTGGAAGCCCCATCTTGCTGCCGAGATGAATTGTAGGTGGGTGGGAATTCCAAGGTTTTAGCGCCTTCTTTGGTGATTCCTGAGCCCACAGAGGTCTCAAAAAGACCAAACTGAAGAAATGCACCCAAAGTACCCTTGGCACACCGTGGGGTGACAGTCACTGGCATTGGAGAAACTCAGTAAAGGAGGAGAGCAGGGTCTCCCCATAGAGTCATGCCCAACAGACCAAAGGAAAAAATCAAAATAAAACCAAAGCAACAACAGCAGCTACAACAAACCCCCTTGTTGGCATTTATTTTAAAAATCTTATAAGTAAGGAACCCAAATAAGGTTTAGAACTGGACAGTAATCTCCAGTAAAGGTAAGGTTTAGTTATGTCAACCTGACTACAGTTAAAAATAACTCTACCCTTCTCCTCTACTTGGCCCCACTGACTCCTTATTGAAAGCCTTTTTCCAGTGCAACCACAAGCACCCTGAACATGGCAGCCCAGCCACAAAGCAAACATGCTGCCCTCACCCCAGGGTGTCTCCTAAGAACAACAGCCGGAAACAAGCAGATGGCTGCACCTGCCCTGTGCTTATGGATTTTCTCCACGGACTCTGAAGGGAGCCGCCCAATGCAGCAAACAGCACAAACAACAGGAGCTTTGTGTCTTGTGAAGTGTTCCGTAACTGGAGCTCAGTCACACTCAGCTCTCCTGTGACATTTAGAGACGCTCAGTGGGGGAGTGGTTTGTCCTCTTATTGCACAGTCTTTTCCCAAAGCCCTGCTTATGAATTTAGTTACTCAAGCACTGATAAAATGATAAAATGACAATGTCTTTATACAGGTGGGTGGGGGGAGGCAATATCTTAGGTGAGGACTGAGGTTATTATTAACATTGCAATGTCCATAGATTTCCTCTCAAAAGAAAAACCGAATTTGCTTCGTGAGTCAGACAGCCCCTCCCTAGATCAAAGGTTATAGATTTTCCTGTAGAATTATAAGGAGCTAAGAGTCAGTAGGTAGTTGTAGTTCGGACAGGACCAGCTACATAATCTACACAGCCTGGTGCAATGAAATTCTTGTTCAAAAAAAAAGGAAAAGAGTAGCTTTATAAGATATTAATATACCAAGCTTTTCCTTTTCTCTGCAGTCCCTTTTGACCTGTCATGGTGTTTTTATTTGCTTTAATCTTGCCCTCCTTTGGAAATCCTAGGAGGACAAGGGAGAGCCTCATGAGCACCCCATGGCCCCACCTGTGATTCCGTGCATAAATACATGTGACCCAGCAGCTACCAGAATGAGGCACTGTGCCTTGATCAGGGTTGGAGAAGTTGAGCCAGGCGCCTCCCCTTCTAGTGGGTCCATTGCGACCTCTGACCTGGGATACTGTAGGTACCTCTGGTGGGCTAGCAGATCACCCTTACTGGGTTACCCACTGAACATGCTGTGATGCTGCCTTTCTTGTGCCCAAGACAGTGCCAGGTATTCACGCCCAACCTTGGGCACCTGTGCCCAGGTCCCCCTGGGGGTGAAGGGTGGCAGTGATTGAAGGGTGAGGATGGAGGAGGAGGTTAGGGATGCCAGAGGACAGAGGAGCAGGCAGATCAGGAGCACTCTGTGCACAGTGTGGAGGCAGCAGAAGGAAGTCTGAGCCAAGACTCCTCGGGCTCAGTGCATGCTCCATGACTCACTGGACTTAAAAAACACAAACTCTATGCTGAGTTTAGTCCTCAGAGGAAACAATTTTGAATGCCTTCCCACCCTAAGATTTTCATGTATATATGTCACTCGTATGACACATGCATGTAAGAATGACTTTTGTACTTCTTTATTTCATTTATGAGTTAACCAGCATAGTTGAGAATAAAGTATGGGCTGGGGTTGTAGCTCAGTGGTTGAGCACTTACCTCGCACGCATGAGGCACTGGGTTTGATCCTCAGCACCACATTAAAAAAATAAATAAATAAAACAAAGATATTGTGTCCATATACAACTACAAAAAAGTTAAAAAAGAAAAGCTAAAGTACATTTTCTATTTAAAGCCTTTTAAGTGGAAGAAAAGAAGCGAAAGTGTTAGTAGTATTTCTCTCTGGGTCAAGGTGTAAAAGGTAATTTTTGTATCATTGCAGCATTTTTTAAAATAATGAATATGGATACATGGATGATTTTTATAATAAGAAAAAAAATTTAAGTAATAAAATAAAGATGCTTTACCTGTTGGGAGAGTAGACTCTTCCTTGGACTTTTCTGATAAAACCAGTGTCATCTCTTTATTAACTTTTCTTAAGACCTCCTGGATCATATGAATTTCAATATTTTCCAGAAGTTTCTGAAGCTAAAGTAAGCATAGGTTGAGAGTCACTCCACATTAAGCTTATCCTCTGGACTCCCAAGTCCAAGTCCTGCAGGAGGGTTTTGAGTTCAGTTCTATCCCACACTTATTTTCTCCCTGGGAAGAAGGAGGGGTTCTTTTCTTCAGCTCTGGGGAGTAGATACACCTCTGAGGACACCAACATCTTTTTTTTTCTGGCCCACACCCTGGTTAATAGAACACAACCCTTTTTTACCAGTTCTGTTAAATTGCAAAAAGCACCATGCCAGAGACGACCTCATGTCTTTTGGAGTCTGTCAAGGTGGCCATAAATTTTGTGAGCTGTCACTTCTTTAAGAGCCACCTTCAGGTTTGAAACTCAACTTAGATACCAAGGATGATTTCATGAGAAGACTGAATGCTCCACACACCATGAAGAGAAAACTCTGCTCCAATACACATGAGCCCTCACTCTGTCCACTAAGCTCACAAAGCCTGAAGTATATGTAAAACAACAATCCCCAGGGAAAAGGGGGAACGGCAACCCCCAAGGTGAAAGGAGGACAATGAGTCCCAGGAGATGGAAGGAAAACAATGGGCTCTGGACTTTCACCATTTCCCATTCTGACTGCTCAACATACACGTTCTGCTACGATTAAATTTCTAATGATTAAGTTACACTAAACATTCTGTTATGGTTAACTCTCACTAAAATCTATAAAACTCAGGTACTTATTGTAACCAGTTGCTATTTTCTCTTCTGAAAATGTGCTCCTCAAATGCTTAATAAAGCATTGCTGGTCCATCAAGGTCAAAAATAACCATTTCGGTTATTTTTGCTTTCAAAGTCCACCTGTTTCCTTGTTAGAAGATTCCAGGTGCTGGAGAGGAACCAGGGTTTAGAAAGATAAGCCATGATGCGCTTGGCCCTGGGGCATGTGTGGGGGCTGAATCTACCTTGTGGCTTAGTGAACATCCTTTTTGTGTTGACAGCCAAACAACCAGGGTCTCTGCTTGCCTGTCACAATAAGCCCCACCACAGGGAGCTTGGGTCCCAGGATCAGGCCAAGCAAAGACATGGAAAAGACTTTTCCATATAGATCTTCCAACACACACAGTGGGCTAGTGCACACATTATGTTTTCTTATTTTCAGAAAAAAAAATTTACAAGGAATTATATTCAATATTTCATTTTTGCATGGACACTTGTGTGCTGGATGTCGTGTTTAAGATAGTACTGATTATGTTATTGATATTTCTTCTGAAGGTGCATCTCAATTGGAGAAAAAGAAAATAATGAAAAATCTAAACATATAGAACTGAGACATTAAGAGGTAGTTCTTTGCCTGATCAAAGCCCCCAGATACATTTATTTATTTACTCCCCTCTTTCCCACACCCTGCAGCCTGCCCAATGATTTCCAAACTTTCAATTTACACTGAACTTCTTAGAGAAAATACCATTTGAGTATATCTGTAGTTTTACATGCTAATGCCAAAAAGCAAGCTTTCCAAAGCAAATTTAAAATAGCTCCTGCATACCTGCTGAGTTTTTATTTCAATTTCTGAAGCTCCTTTGGGGGGAAGAATAGACTGGCTATTTATTATAAGTCTTTCAAATTCATCTTCTTTCCCCATCTGCCTAGCTATAGCTTTCATGCTGGGGTAGAGAATGTCAGCTCTATCAAAGAAGAGAGACAGAAATTAGCAAACAAACATTTTTTTTTCTTGTTCTGATTCTCTGGCAATTATTTTCATTCACTTCATATTTCCTGCTGTCAGGTACAAACCTCCCAGTCCATTTACAGACACATCAACAACTAAATTCACCACTCCCTCAGTCAATATTAAATCCTGAGGCCTTTTCCCATTTGGGTACATATAATTTCAGTCCTCATTTTTCAAAATATTGACAAGGCTTCTCATCCCTTGGTTACCAGGAATACTGACTGTAATAACATCACCAGATAGACGATTCCCACCGTGCCAAAGTGAAATCTTCTGAAGCTCAGGAAGGTCTGGGGTAGTGGGTGGATGCTTGTTTGGTCATATCTGTGGCAGAAGCACGTGCCTTTCTTGCCTGTTAAGTCATCCCAGCCAAGGCCTACCACCAAGGCCTGCACCACCTCACACACCTACAGCTTCATGCTACATGCCCATATTACACTCTGCCTTCAATGCCTCAATTGTGCACAGACTCTAATGGGGCCAAGAGAGAGGAGGAGTAACTACCAGCAGCAGCAGTAGCAGGTGTCCATCTAGGATACTATGAGCTTAAAAACCTAAGAGTCAGCACTGTGGGGTCTCTTGATAAACACAAGTTCCTAGGGACAGGTAAAAGAGTGTAGCTCAGTGGAATCCAGCTCCATCCTTGAAGTTAATACAACTCAGCTTTTCCTCTACTGAACTGTCTGTAGAGAATGTTGCCAACTGCCATGGGCTCAATAGAGCTGGGTGTACTAGGATTCATGGACCAAATCTCATCTCCCCATCAAGAGGCCCTTGGGCTCTACTCACTGACATGAATTTCTGCCTCAGCACACTCACTCATAGAGCTCCGAGTACTGTTTGTGGAAGGAGGCAGAGCTGATGTCCTGGTCTCCCAGCTTCAGCTGGCCCCAGTGATCCTTCAGTACTTCCAGCTGCTTCCACAGCATCAGAAATGATCTCAGCAGAGCAAAGGACGTCACCACATCGCACCGGCCCTCCAGTAGCTTGGAAATCTTTGGGCTGCTTTGGAACTGACTTTTGATTCCTGGCACTTTGGACCACTCTGGCTGAAAGCATTACAGAAATCCTTTATTGATGGTGGATAATATGGCTCAGCTTTTTACATGCAGCGCCATGCAAAACAAAATTTTTGTGGAGACTGAATGTTCTCCTCATTTACAGGTCTGTAGCACATGTCAAGCAGAGTGAGGTTCAGAATCCTTCCTGAGCAGACAGTGTACAGAAAGGATTGAAATGTCTCACTGAATCTCAGCTTTCAGATTGGGAATTGAACCATTTATTTAAAAAATTTTCTTACTTGCATATTAAGATTTTATTTGGCTTTTTAAAAAACTAGTCTTTCATGTTTAGCCTCTGCATTCTTGAAAGTGTTCACCACATTTGAGATTCAAGTCAACACCATGGTGGAGCAGTAATATAACTAACTTTTCATTGGGAATTTTACCCAAGTTATGAGCATGGAGATGGAAACTTAAGTTTATCCTATCTCCTGTTCCTTTTCCATTCTGTAAAAGAACATTAGACAGAGAACATTTCTTTTCATTTGAATGTATTACTCAATAGGCAATTTTCTTTAAAATGATGATTTGTTCATTTGTTCACAGATGCTTTCCTTAAGTATTTGTTGAAGGGCTGCTGTTGGTCCTGGAGGAAGGGAAGGGGGAAAGGTTTTAGGCCTCTGTTCTCCTGCAGTTAATAGAGTGAGGGGACAGGGCCACGCAGAGAGGGGCAGACAAAATGGGGACCTGGGTGCAGGTCCTCAGGCTGACCACAATGTCTCAGTCACAGAAAAAGGAGCTTTCCTTCACAGACCAAATGGCAAATCCCATGATTTGAATTAGAGAAGATTCAGGTGACAGTATCTTAGACACTCAAGTTTCCTGCCTAGGAACAGAAAGAGCAACCCAGAGTTGTTGGATCCTAGATCAGTGCTGTTCACATATCCAAAGAAAGGTGTGTCTGCCAAAAGAGTGTTGATCAGAGTACCCAAAGGAGAATTGGCAAGGTAGACCCAGGAGAGACGGAGCTCCCACAGACAGCTGGCAAGCCCTGAGGCTTGTGGCCTCCTAAGCAACCAGCTTGTCCACAGATTTCCAGATTTTTCTTATGCTCAAAATCTTTTCACCAAATAAAATCTTGGATAGTCGCCCAAAGTATCCAACAGAACAAAGCTACAAACAGGGACACTGAGCAGGCAGACTAGAGACCTCATCATTAGCCCCATTTGCTCAAGAAGCCCCAAGGTGTCTCTGAGAAAATCAAGGGCTCCTTGGATTATACTTTAAAAGACCTTGAGCTAATTCATTACCTTTGCTTTGGGGTTTTGGATACTGAAATCTGGAGAGATCACAGCATTGTTATATAGCTGGGCCAGGATTACCCAGGAGTCCTGACTCACAAGGCAGTGTGGAGTCCAGTGCTTCCTAGTGTCTATAAATAGTTAAATACTCTTAAATAAAAATATACCATAAAATAAAAACTAATTAAAATAAATAATAATATTAAAGCAAGCCCACTTCTTTTTTTTTTGTATTTATTTTTTAGTGGTAGTTGGACACAATATCTTAATTTTATTTATTTATTTTTATGAAATTATATGTACCCATTTGGGCACATATAATTTCAGTCCTCATTTTTTAAAATAATAAATAGCCAGGAACAAACCCAGGACCTTGCATGTGCAAGGCAAGCACTCTATCGCTGAGCCACAACCCCAAACCCTAAAGCCCACTTCTTATTAAGAGTTAAGTTGTTTCTATATAAATGACTTTAAGGATGGGAGAAGGAAGAAGAGTCAGGATGGATAAAGAATAAAATGGAAAAGAGTAGGGAGTGTTAGGAAATGATGGTAATCCATCAGAAACAGGGCCAGAAAATGGTAGATAGAGGGAGTGAAGGCCCCTGCATACTTCTTGATCTTGGCCTTAATTTTGGCACTACTTGGTCTACCCTCGGCTCTGCAAATGATCCCTCTTGGTGAAACATCTATTTCTGCTGTAGAATTTAGATGGCACACAGAAAGACTTGTGACTCAGTTTTAACTGAAAAGGCATGAGAAAAAAAAATCTACTGGGAAGCTTCTAGAAAAGAATTTTCTTCTTGATAAAAGGAGAGCTCCTCAAGGAGAAAGTGTGTTTGCTCCTGTTTTTATCTTGCAAAGCCAAGGGAGACATTTTGAGTCATTTGGTAGTGGTTAAGTGGCTGTACCAACCTGAACTGCTTTCTTCTAGTCTCCGTTATGGAAGATCAATATTCTCTTATTTAAGTCATGGCTAGTGGGACAGATGCTATTGTGGCAGGGGCACTCTAATTGGCACAGAGGAGCATCAGTTCAAAGGTGGAGGATCAGAAAAAGTTTCCTAAAGAGAGAGGTTTGGAAGTTGAAATCTGAAGAATAAGGGACTGATTAAGTGATGAGGTCAAAAGTCAGAAGAGAGGAGGTTTTCCACTGGAGAGACCAGGATGCATGAAAGCACAGAAGAGAACATGGTGCATTTGACAAAATATAAGAGGCTAACGGTAGAAATACTGGCAGGAGCCAAGTCATGAAGTTCCAGTTAAGGTATGTGGACTCTGTTGTCAGGGTATTCATAAGCTATCAGATGGTTGTAAGAAGGAACGTGACATAATTAGGTTTTTATTTTAAAATATTACCCTGGTGAGTGGGCATGGTGGTGCACACCTGTAATCCCAGTGGCTCAGGAGGCTGAGGAAGGAGGATGGCAAGTTCAAAGCCAGCCTCAGCAACTTAGCGAGGCCCTCAGCAATTTAGCAATACCCTGTCTCAAAATAAAAAAATAATTAAAAAAAAATCTAAGGATGTGGCTCATTGGCTAAGCACCCCTGGGAAAATCCGTAGTGTACCTGACCTCCTCTCCCCACCAAAAAGAAAAAAAAAAAAAAAAAAAAATATATATATATATATATATATATATATATATATATATATCTCCCCTGGCAAATGGATTGGAAGGACTCAAGATAAAGTATATGGATTCTAGCAGGTGGTCACAATCACAAACATCAACAGATGATGATGATTTGGATGGTAGAGATCTTAAAATAATAGGACTGAAAAACTTGGTGTCTGGTTGTGAAGTAGAATATAGAAAGAGGATTGAGTTTTAGGGGAGTAAAGTAAGCTCAGCTTAGTACACATTGTCTGTGAGATGGAACAAGAGGAGATGTCCAGGAGGCAGGTGAAGATATGAATCTGTGGCTTGAGATTTGGCCTAGACATAAAGATTTCAGAGTTGTTGCATAAGTATCACCAGTAGATCCTTCGCCTGCAGAGAGGGTAACGAATATGTGAGAGCCCTAAGGCCAGACAGTTAGGTTGGAATCAGGTTTCTCACCACGCATGCAGAATTGTTTCAAGTCATGGTATGAGGTGGGTAAGTGGCTCTTATACCTTGGAGGGATAAGCCCAAGGGAGGGAGTGATGGTCTGGGGCCCACAGGTTTAGAGATGAAATAAGAGCACAAGCCTGAGAAGCTCACCTGGGGCTTCTGTCATGACCCTCTGGCTCTTTCTATTCTGGTCCTAAATGAGTGACTCTCAAGGAAAGCACTCAGCTTGAGTAGTTTCAATGGATCTTCCATAACCTGTGTTTTATTTTTAAAATAAAAAAAAAAAAGGAAATACAACTGATCATGGAACTAAGTGTGAAAGAATGTGCTTTGGAGTAGCTTTCACAGCTACCCATGCTTCATTGTTGCTTTCATGTGACATTAGCACAGTCCTGGGGCAACTGGAAAAGGTTATGGGAATGATGTGGTTCTCTCATCCATTATCTAGACAGGAAATTTCTTCCGTACAACACAGCATGGGTTGATTATGTAGGCTGTTCACCAAGAATACCTGTGTATTTTTGTCCAGTATGGCTTGCCATCCAAGGGGATCCTCCATGGTCATATGACAGCTGCTTAGCACATCTTCCATTAGCAGTCGCACACCCACCAGCTCTCCATGAGCCACCTTGCGGTCACGGTCACTCAGCCCACAAAGGCACAGCTAAAAAAAAAAAAAAAAAAAACCTTCCATTTGAAGGCTTCTATATAAACTTCACATGTGGTTTGGGGGAAGAAAAGTAGGTGTTTATAAGCTATCTTTTCAACTATTAGAAAATCCATAAAAAACAAAACACTTGTAGCTTAAAGTCCTGTCCTGCTTGAACATATCAGACATTTGGCTCTGTGCAGAAGTATCAAGTTTCCCAGTCCTTACAGCAGATCTGTATATGGCAAATGCATAGTGTGATACTGATTTTCCTTTAAAACTACACGTACAAATACACGTATATCAAGAAAAAGTACTGTGGGGAGGGAAAACCTCAAATTGTGAACTGCAATTGACTGTTAGAATTATAATTTTTGAACCATTCTTACTTCTGGCGTATTAAAAACCTTTATACTTACTGGGAATTTTGAATGTATAAAGCAAACAAAATAGTTCCCATCACCTGGCCCCACAACCATCAACTTAAAGCCACTCCTGACCCATCCCATTCACTCCCCACACCATATTCTGAAGCAAGGTTATGGTTGTGTATGTGTGTGTGTATATGTGTATTGTGTATGTGTGTGTGTGTACACACCCCCCCTACCCCCCCCCACACATATATCTCCAAGGATCAAAAGCGTATAGGCTAATACTCTACCATTGAATTATATCCCCAGACTATTTTTCAAATTTTATTTTGGGACATGGTCTCACTAAATTGACAAGGCTGGTCTCAAACTTGCAATCCTCCTCCTGCCTCTATCTCCTGAGTATCACTTTTCTATATTTTTAAAACTAAAAATACAGCTGGGCAAGGTGGTGCACGCCTGTAATCCTAGCAGCTTGGGAGGCTGGGCAGGAGGATCACAAGTTCAAAGCCAGCCTCAGCAACAGTGAGGCACTAAAGCAACTCAGTGAGACCCTGTCTCTAAATAAAATACAAAATAGGGCTGGGGATGTGGCTTAGTGGTCGAGAACCCCTGAGTTCAATCCCTGATGCCAAAAAAAACCGAAACAAAACAAAAAAAAAACCCAATATTTACTTAGATAATGAGGAGAAAACATGTGATGATTAAAGGAAACTAATAATTTAAAATAATTAAAAGAAGTTGACAATGAAAAACAAAACAATTAAAAGAAATTCTCCGTATGACTCCTGCCTAAAAAAATGCCCTTCTCACTCGACAGGTCAGGAGTCACACGCCTCTGAGTTGCCAGCCTGGCAGTTTCTCTAAGAGGCCCAGACAGTGGGTAGTGATGGGTGGCCACTCCCCTAGATCATTGGTGCCATGGGAACTTCAGCTGAGTCTACAACCAAGGTCAGTATCTGCTGAGAACATGATTCTCTTCCACAGGAAGAAAATATGACTCACCTTGCAGGATCAGGTTTATAGCTTCATAATTAAGCACCTACTTATCTCATAAATTATTCACCACTGGCTGGAATATGGAGGCTCTGACCTGTGGACCTACTGACACCCTGCCTCTCAGTCTGCTCTCTGTTCTCTTTCCAACAAGTTGTGAGATATACCTACCTGCATATTATACTCTAGGATATCTGGGCTGCTACTTATTACAGGAAATGGCCCTCCATCTTCCAGAAATGCTCTCCAGGGGAATAGCACAGATGCCTAAAAGAACCAAATAATAGACATGGTAAAGCTGTTCTGTAACTCTAAGTTAAAGACATCTGTTTATGAACAGGATTTCTGCATTTGTACTCCAACACACTGTTGGATGATTCATTTATTATGTAGAAATACTTCTTGGTGGAGAATGTTTGATGATGTAGAGGAGAGAGTAATAATAATTATTTTCAATTATTTTTGCAGCAGATGGTTTCGGTGTAACTAGTCAACACTGCTGTTCAGAAGTTCCATAATAGCATAGCACCAATGGACCTATTCATAATCTACAAAAATAAACTTGCTTAAATGCTCTCAATATTAGGAATCCTAAAAAGTGGGCCACCTCATTATTGTGCTCTAATTTTACATATCAACTCAAGACTGATGTCACAACTTATCTCTGTCTTCTCCACATCACAGGATAACAGCCAAGGCATTGCTTATCCCCTATGACATCACGTGTGGCCCTGGATCCAGTGGCCCTACCTATGTAACCCCATTCTACACATCTAGACCTGCTTCTGACTTCTGTCAATTCCCAGAGCTAGAACTGATTCTGGTAGCAAGGACAGGACACTGCATCTACTTCATCCTAGATAACACCCAAAGGCAACCAGAGTGGTCCCAGTGGTCAAGGTCTAACTCTGTCTTCTGGGTCTAAGTGAGAATCAAAGATTGGACTGAGAATCACTATCTCATAGCTTAGAAGGATGGTACCTGCTTGGGGATGATGTGGGCATCATTTATGTTTAATGTATATAATGTGAAAACATTAAGTAGATTTTCAAGTAAAAATCCTGGGCTTGAGAGGTGATTTTAAAGATATATCCACAAATTCTTTGATAGTTCTCCCATCAAGAGATGGGCCTTAATTTCTCTCCCCTGGGGTGTGATTGGACTTAGTGGCTCACTTTTAGTGAATGGAATATGGGAGACGTGATAAGATGTCACTTCTGAAATTAGGTAATAAAAAGGCTCTTACTCCCTCTTGGAGGGTTCGCTCTGGGGAAGCTGTCTGCCATGTTGTGAGAAAGCCTTGTAGAGAAGTTCACGTGAGTAAGCATGGGAGTGGATCTTCTGATCTGTCTACCCAACAGCCATATGAGCGAACTTGGAAGCAGATACTCTTCCAGTTGCACCCTGAGATGATTAGAGTATTGGCATCATCTCGATGGCAGCTTGTAAGAATCTCTGAGCCAGAAGGACCCACCTAAGCTTCTCCCACTTCCTGACCCTCGGAAACTATGTGAGATAATGAATGAATGTTTATTGTTTTAACCTGTTAAACTTGGAGGATGGATTGTTCTGCAGCAATAGATAAGTAATATAGTTTGTAACTTGGTGTTGCCCTGACTCTTCAGTAGTCTGATATCCAGCTTTCCTAAGCCTTGACCCTTTTAGGAGTGGGAGGATACTGTTGTTCCTGCCTAAAAGCAATCACAGTTGTCAGGGTGACATTTGATAACATTTGTTGTAACAAGGGCTATTCAAAACTCAGCTGTTGACCCAATTAATGTACCATAATTTCTATCATTTATTTAATGGGTAAGATTATTTATTTTGCTACAAACTACGAGAAGATGAGCTCTTGCTTCTTTGAGCATTTGCAGAAAAGACCCAGACTGGGAATAACAGCTGGTCATGTAGACCCAGACTGCTCCACTGGGCCAGTGAAAGGGCACCAGCAGAGACTGAAGGGCTTTAAAGAATCCAGACTCCTGCAAAATTTAAACCAAACAGAAACAAAGTGACAAAATCCCCAGCTAACAATGTACCTCTTTCTTATAGGTATAAAACACCTCTAAAACATACCTGGAGGCTCCGTGGATCCAGCGGCTGGGGCAGGCCAAGCTGTGAAGCAAAAATGCTCTTCCTGAGAGAGTTGCTCAGCGGTGGCAGCCCATGACACATGCCATCGGTGACAGACTGGTAGGCGGGAATATTTCCAGCTGCCAAAAATATTCTTCTAACAAGACATGGGGGGACATTTCATTGAAAACGGTTACCAAATCTCCTAAAGCTCAAAGCTTTCTTCAAAGCTACTGAAGCAAGACAAGGTGGGAGACAGTGACAGGTTTCTTCCTCAGCCACATCACCCCCTGCACCCCTTCACACACCACCCTTCATTCACAGAGATCACAGCCTACAGGGGAAGCTTGATGCATCTAGACTGTTGGATAGAACTTTCTACAGTGGTAGAAATGTTCTAGATCTGTACTGTCCAATATACTTCCACAGGTGGCTTTTGAACACTTGAAATGTGACTGCTGTGTCCGAGGGATTAAATTTTAACTTTTATTTCATTTAAATTAATATTAATTTTAATTAAATAACCACATGCAGCTACCAAATTGGACAGTATACCTGCGGCTCTAGAACAAAATTATCAGTGTGTTTGTTAAACTATTTTAAGACCAATAGCTGAGACAACAGTTCTTGATATGTAAAATCAAATTTTAAACCAAGTAATCAAAGTCAGGGGTTATGGAGAGAAAAGTTTTTGTTTTGTTTTAGACAAAACTTGGCTTTGTGTATCAAGAACCACAAACCCTGGAGCCAAGAGCATGAAATTTATACCATAAGTGTAAATCAAATAAAGTAAGGAAGTATGCATGATAAATTAGGATTATTTTCTTGCCCAAAAGGAAATAGGAGTTTAGCAAGGAAGAAAAGACTGTTTCTAGAGTTCTAGTGGATGCCTAAGAAAAGTGCTGACTCAGGGTGGGCTGGGGGAGGGTACCCCAGAGCACAAAGGACCTATTGCCTGGATCCTCCATGAGCATGGCCCAAGTCTCACAGACAGCAAACACCAAAAAAAAAAAAAGGAGATTAGCAATTCCCCAGGGAGGTGTCAGTGCTGATGGAAGTGAGGTGGTCTCTAGAGACTACAGACCCTCGGAGTGTGGGGGAAAGAACTTGGGAGTGCCTGAGCCCCCCATAATGGGTGTCCAGGAAGAACGCTGAATAGTAGGCCAACAGAAGAGTCTGAGAGCAGACCAGCTAACACACACAGAGATGGGCGAGGTAGCTCCTTCTCCCCAACTGCCAGGATGACTTATAAGCAGCCCCAAGAATTCAGATCACCTTTTTTTAGGGGAAATGAAGAAGGAGAGGTGTGGTGTGAGGCAGCCTATAATTAAGGTCCAATATTACGTGCTGCCTTGACATCTGGCAAATCAGAAGGGCCTCAAATGGCCTAACCACAAGGTCCCCTCCCATTCTGCTCCCAGCAGAAAGTCCCCCTTGTCAAATAACCTCCTTATCAAAGGCACCAGGTGCACCTCCTGCTTATCCTCCCGAGTAGCAGTTTCAGTTTCCTGCCAGCGTGTGGAATTACTCAAACAAACCAATCAAAGCCTCCTGCGGGAACCAGGGAGCACCACACCCTCTGGGAGCTCCAGAGCCTGCCTCCCACAGGCCCTGCCCATTCACTCTGTGGCCCTGTGTGGCCTACAGGGCCTCTGTTCCTGGGCTGTGGGTACACATGCTTGATAAACTTCCGTCCATCTCCCCTGCCCACTCTTGGGTATCTCCTGTTTGGCCATCACCACAGGGAAGAAGCTTCCCTCATCAACAGGTGAGTAGGAGGCCATTAAAACAAAAGAGGAGGGGAAGAACTTTGAATCAACTGATTTTAAATCTCAAGATGGCCACTTTTAATTTTCAACCATGACTCAATGACATGGTACTGACAAGTTTAATATTTTTGCCATCAGCAGAAGTAGAGACTTCAAAGGCAAATGAAAGGAGCTCTTTATTTGCACACTAAACAATCACACTAGTGTAAAAACTCTTTTTATATGTTAATGAGTATTAATAATAAATATCTGAGTATTGAGACAATGGATAAAACTACTGATTTGTGATTTTTGGGGGGAGGTTTGCTAAGGACTGAACCCACAGCCTTATGCATGTGAAGGCTGTGTGCAGTTCATGTACTTTGCCACTGAACTACATCCCCGGCCCTAAACCTACTGATTTATCACAATAGCTCAGAGATGGACCTTGGAGTTGCCCAAAGGATATATAAACATTTTCTTCTGCTTCTTTTCTCAAGGTACTCAATGGGCCCTGCTGAGGAACCCATGATTTACTCAACACCCATGTGACTGGTCTATCAAGCACCTGGTGTCAAGGTGCTGTGCTGGAGACTGTTTGAGATGTAAGCAAGAGTCCCACACAGGCTCTGACCTTCCAGCCCAATAGAACCCAGTGAGGCAGAGCTGCTTGTGACCACCCTCTAAATTCCCAACACCTTTGGTATACTCACACCTCTCGGTATGTATGCTTGCTTAAAATGATGGCGTCCAAAAGCAGAACATTCTAACAGAAACAGGCTCACATCAAGAGCACAGAAGTAGAGCATCCTGGCCCAACCTCTCCCCACATGGCTCCTCTCATGTCATTCCTGTCCATCTCTGCCACCAATCCACAGCCTTCTCTCTGTCCCAGCTTCCTCTGGGTCCTCTGTTCACATCTTACTTGCTCACTCTTTGACGTGCTCTCTTATCCTAGCAAATTTGTTCAGAACTTTTAAATGAACAATTGCCAGAAGTGATCACGATTCTCGGCAGAAATCTAGAGCCTCAGGCACAGCTTTGTGCTCATATGAGCTGAAATGGTTTGGATTTGGTTTAACTGTGTCCCCCAAAGTTTCAGTGTTGGAAGTTTGGGCCCCAGTGTGGCAATGAAAAGAGATGGTAGGACCTTTGAGAAGTGGCCTAGTGGGAGGTCAATAGGTCATTGTGGTGTGTCTTCTGAAGGCATTAACATACTTTTTCTCTGACTTCCTGTCTAGTGATGTGATCTCTCCTGCCACTGTGATACCATGCACAACAAGGGCTTCACCAAAACCAAGAAGAAGCTGATGTCATGCCCTTGAACCTCCAGTACTATAAGCTACATAAACCTTTTTTTCTTTATAAAATATCTAACCTAGGGTATTTCAATACAGCAATAAAAATGAACTAATACATTAGGTCTATTAACACATAGATACTTGGAGATTATTAAAAAAATACTATCAATACAGTTCAGATATGAGTGTGACTGTCATTCTGAGCTACTGAATCAAGTCTGATGCACTCTCTAGAAAGACTCAAGCCAGATTATAGGCCACACCATTGATCAAATAGTGAGTTATGCTTCCTTGCTCTCTCAATTCTTATCATGATCCTTCCTAAGATTCACCCCCACTCTACTAGAACTGCTTATTTGAGAACGGTACAATGTGATGCTACATAAAGGAATAGCAAGATGATACTTAACATCTTTAGTACTAGATCCTTTTTGTTGTCTTCCCTCTCTATTGAAAGGTTTTCCACCAAACATCTATTAAGTATTTTCCTACTTTTAAGTCAATTTATGTCAATCTCCAGCCCAAGCTCTGAGCTGCAGGAAGGGATAAAGAAATATGATATGAAGGAAGACACAGGGCTATGGAGTCACACAGACTACAAGAATACAAATTCGACCACAACAAGCTGTGTGTGTGACCCTTGGCAAGTTAGGCGACTTTTCTGAATTTCTATCTCCTCATCTGTAAAAACAGATAAAATAATTCATTTGTACAAGATTGGCACACAGTAGTAACTAAACTAAAGCCAAGTCCTTGCATTCCCTTATCTCATGATGTTCTTATGATTCCAGTTAAAAATAAATAAAAAGATCGTGACATTTTCTTTACCTACAGAAGTTTTAGGTAAATATGTCTTTTTCCTTGGGAAAAAAAAAAAATGATACTGCTCACAAGACAATGTGATAACCCACTAAGACCCTCAGTTGGTGAACCTTGACCTGCATCTTCTGTGGGTGGGGTCTAACCAATGCAGTTTGGTGGCAGCACCCAGGATGCTATGGGAAGCCATAGGAATGAAGGGCTGGCTTTCTGCTTGTGCACCTGCCACAACCAGGCTTTAGTAAAGCCAGGTTTCCCCACAACCCACTAAAATACCTAAATTCCCCATACTGTCCCTAAGCAATAGAGAGACAACTACCAACTGGCTCCTGTGTGACAGCCCTCCACAGTGTGATCTCAGGCAGGCTGGTTCAGGCCATAGGAACAGCTAACTCAAGGGGTACATGCTGGAGTTTTCCTGGAGGCAAAGATACAGCACAACCTGCAGAATGGTGCTGAGAAAGCCAGGGAAAGTTATGGCTTTTTGGTTCTTAGATATTGGAGACTGTGGCCAAGGCCAAGAGCTAGACCTAGCTCCCACGAGGTCTTCTGCATGTCTCCCAGAAACTCCCAGATGACCCAGAGACACAATTTAGCATCCTAAGTGTTCAGAGACACTTTCAACTAGGCAAGCATGAAAATAAGAATAAATTTTAAAATCAAGAGAAACCAGCCAACAGTCCAGGACTGAGAGGCTTGTGCTACTCTGTGGCTTGCCCTTGAGGCCCTCCAGAGCCGGCTTGCTACAGGAAGTGAGAACGCCTTCAGGGTTTCTTCAGTTTTTCCTTCTTCCCCTAATCACTCAGAACATCAGCAGTACATTCTGACCAGAGGCACTTTCCATGCCACATATTTAATTCTGTTCTATGGGTAACTATGAAGGAATTTTTATCCTCCCTCTATTCCTGAATTGCAAAGGAATTCCATCCTTTAAATCAGAGAATGGCAAATTTTTGTTCAAAGGTCCAAATAATAAATACTTTTGGCTTTGTGGTGGACCCTATGGTCTTCACCGCAACTATTCAACTCTGTGATTGTAGTGGCAAAGTAGAGACAACCCACAGATAAATGGGCATGGCTTTATTCCAGTAAAAATTCACATATGGACATGGTGTATGAAATCCATATAATTTTCATGTGTCATAAATATTATTTTCTTACTTATTTTTTTTCCAACCATTTAAACATGCCAAAGCCATCTTTAACCTACAGGCCATGCAAAAACAGGCAGGAAACTATGGCACTGGTTTGCCAATTCCTGACGTAAATAAATGAAACTGGTTAGAATTGCAGCACTATCCTAGCATTTCCCTTCAACAAGAATGACTGTTTCACCTGGCATCACAGATAAGCTCAACCCTCAGGCATTTCTTGAATTAGCTAATAAATACCCCTGCAGGTTGGTGGTCATGCTCAGAGGTCAGTGATGAGCCCTGGACAGTGGGATTCCAACCCATTAGCGGATAGGATGAATTTTCATCAGACCTTTGCCCAAGCTGGCAGAGAGCAGGTCCACAGGGGAAGTGTGAAGTGTTTTGTGCTTAGAAACACGTGTCCATTGGGCAACTCAATAGAGTTGAGAGAAATGAGAGTCAGATTTTTGGTGACTCTACAGGGCTGTTGTCCTTTTGTCCTTGAGTCATATCCTCTTTCCTCTCCCCCCAGTCCATGGAAGCATGTGTTGTTCTCATTCGAGGTAAGAGTTCAGTTCTTTTAAAACTCTAAAGATGTCAGCTTACATAGGCAGAAAGTTCCTCAGGCAAACAGTCTTATTTGCTCAGTCTTGCTGAGCTCTGGGGAGGGCCAGGGAACTTCCCCAAACTTCTAATCTCTTTTGATTATTTAAGGACTTTCCCTTGTTTGCAGGATCAGTGCTAAGTAAAATGACCCAGAGTGATGACATTTATCTTTCTGCTTTTCTTTCTCTTCTGTTTCCTGCCTTCTTTTGGGAGTCCCCTTTTCTACTCAGGCCGCTGCTCAGAATCCAGCTTAGTTCTCAGGCTTTGGAGGGAAACACCCTAAGGTTCTAATTGTCACCGGCTGCTTCCTGGCTGTGCAATTCCAAACACAACCCCAAGAGCTCTAAAGAAGGAGGTCAGGGAAATGCAACAAATGAAGGGCCCATAGGGGTATGTGTGCCGCCTGGGTGGTTCCCTCTGAAAGATGCTGAAAAAAGATACAGGACCCAGTGCCCTCCATTTCTGTGGAAGGAGTGTGCCAGGACAGAGCAAGCCCTGGCAAAGCAATGGCACGGGACAGAATGGCTCCTTGGGAAAAGAGGACCAGACTGAATCCTCTGAGGCTAGAACCCAAGCAGGACTTCTCGGGGTGGGGGGGGGATATTTCTGTTTCTTCACCATAACTAAATCCCTTACAAAGGTTGACCTTGGCCTATGGAATGGGCTCTCCTTTAGTGAAGTCTACCTGCTTCACTAAGCTGCACCTCAGGAGCTGTTTGTTAATATGGAGAAATTCATGTGATTTTTTTTTTTTTTTGGTCCTGCTGAATTTACATCCTAAATACAAATTCTCTGACAGAGTTAAAAAAAAAAAAAGCAGAAAAAATATAGTTCATTCAGTACAACTGTCACATTTCCATTCTTGATGGATGCCCAATGCTAATGACGGGAAACAGTTGTAATCCATGGGCAGAGCCCCTCAATACTCACATGGGGGAATTAATCAAAAGAAGTTAATACATTTTGACGATTTAAGAATAAGCAGAGGGCTGGGGCAGTGGCTCAGTGGTAGCACACTTGCCTGGCATGTGTGAGGCACTGGGTTCAATTCTCAGCACCACAAATTTAAATGAAATAAAGGTCTATTAACAACTAAAAAAATATTTTAAAAAAAAAGAAGAAGAAAAGAAAAGAAAGAAAGAATGAGCAGAAATGCTCAGGTCTGAATCTCTTCCCCTCCCATATAACATTTAACCTAAAAACATTGTAAATCTTAATCTAAACTCAATCCAAAATTCATCAGAATTATGATTAAGGAGACATATAAAACATTCTTTTTTAAAAAATTCAGAGTACTTAACAGGACAGTTACTACAAGAACAGAAGTAGATTTATTTATTTATAAATTTAATTCCATTAGCCAATTCCATTAACTTCAGAAGTGCAGTGAAAATTCTGTCCCTTTGAAAGGTAAATAAAAGTCGGAAAAACTAATAAGACTCTTAGAAATAATCTTCAGAAGTATAAAAATTTTACTCCCAATAAAACAACCTGAACAGTGAAAGCAGGAGTTGTTAAATAAACTGCTTTGGAATTAAATTTAATAAAATCAAAATACAACACCACTGAAACTCCACATCATGTACAACTACAAGAATTTGAATGAAGTATACTTCATGTATGTATAATATGTCAAAATAAATTCTACAGTCATATATATCTAAAAAGAACAAAGGAAAAAAAAAAGAATATTAAGCCTGGCATGGTGGCACACACCTGTAATCCCAGAAACTCAGGGGGCTGAGGCAGGAGGATTGTGAGTTCAAACCCAGCCTCAGCAACTTAGCAAGTCCCTAAGTAACTCAGCGAGACCTTGTCTCTAATAAAAAAATATTTTAAAAAGGGCTGGGATGTGGCTTGATGGTTCAATTCCTGGTATAAAAAAGAAGAAGAAGAAGGAGGAGGAGGAGGAGGAGGAGAAAATTAGAACACATTCTGCAGGGACAGCCTTCACAGCAGGACATGTTTTGTAGCAAGCATTCTGGATCTGGTTGCACCCCAGGCTATTTTAAGCTCATTATCTAATCTTGCCAAGTGAGTCCTCCCTAGATGGTCACTCGGCAAACACCTGCCCAGCTGAACTTACTAGGCAAGAATAGCCCTCCAGCCCTTACCGGATGAGATGCCTCACTGCAGCATCGAATTGCAGAAACATAACATCCCTGCGGAGGAGGAGGGCCTGGGCCACCTGGGTCGGGTCCTGGGGGCTCTTGAGGCTGTCAAGCATTTTCTGCAGCTCTTGAAGCTCAGACCCTAGATGATGGACGTTTGAGTCAGTATGAAATATAGGCTACCATTGCTAACCTAGGGAACCTTCACTCTACTCCTCAAAGTTAACCTGTCACCTAAACAGCCTTCCCTTTCTTTGTTGGTGGATGTACTAATTATATGTTTTGCAAGGTCAGCAAAGCATTGTGCTCCAGAACCTAAGGTCTCCTTTATCTTTCCTTCCTTCCTTCCTCCCTTAGAAAGATAAAAACTTGCTTTGCTTTTTAGCACAGTAAGAACGTGCTGTTGGAAAAAAGTTTAAAACTTACTAGCCTATGGTCTCAAAATAGAATGAAAAAGAGAAATTACAAGCAATGGGAAAGTACAGTCCTCAGTATATCCATCAGGAACTTGAAATTATTATAAATTATAAACTAGCTCTTATTTTCATTGCCATTTCATCCAAATCAGCTTTCTCAGTCACTAGCTCATGGACTAAAAAAAGACTCAAAACCGTTCCAAGCAAGAAAGAAAAATATGCATATATATACATATAAATGTATATACATATATGCAGACACACATACATACCTTTCTAGGGGATTCTAGCCATTTTAGGAATAGGTGTGGAAGACCTCTACTTAGCTACTACAAGAGTAGGTTCCATATAAATACGTCCATATATATTTTAGATGGAAGTTTAGCTTAAGGACCCTTTGGAGCACTCAGTGCCAAGTGAGGAACCTGGCCTGCATCCGGGGATTTCTGACATTGGCACAGGGAAAGAGCTGATCAGACAGAATGGGAGAACACAGCAAAAAATAATGAGCTCTTTGGGGGGTCCACACTTGCAGGGCTACCAGAATGTCAGTTGATATAAAATGCCATCAACTCCCTGTGAGGACAGTGATAGTTCTCTACCCTGACAGGACATCCCTGTAATGGGAAGAAGGACTGAGGAAATTGATCACTATCCCTCAGTAGGCAGCTGAAAGCAGGAATAACAGGGAAGACCCACAGGGCCCTGCTGGAGTTGCCCTACCTTGGCAGCTCATCCAGACCCAAGCCGCCATGTTCCTAACCTGATGGGTACTGGGCCTCCTCCTGCTTTTACCCACTAGGAAAGTGGAAGACTGTGAGTGTGAGGAAGCTCTCTATGATGGCTCAATCTGGGGAGATCCAGGGCTGAGAACTGTCATTGATACTTGCAATGCATTCTCTTGGCTGTAGGAAAAGATGAGCACTATAGATTTCATATCCATTTGGTATTTTACACACAACAGAAAAATGATTTTAGGGTTGTTTTTTTTTTTTTTTTCAGCCACCAAATAATTGAATCCAAGCATCAGATTTTTCTTATGATTCCTCTAAATCTGATGGTCCTATTGGGCTGAATAGAAATGTCTACCAGAAGAAGAGTGGCATTAGAGAAAATTATGCAAGAACTTTTGTGGGAGTTGGTGGGAGGAGGGGAGGTCATTTGTTGACCCACTCCTGGTGGTCACTGTTGAGGTGAGCCTCATTTGCTCAGGGCCTAGTGTGTTTGGTTTATAAGAAATATATACTCTTGTCAGGCTAAATGGTGACCAGAGGGAAACAGTTATAATCCTCTAGAGTGACATTGAGGAAAGAAGAATATAAAATTACACATGCTTTAAAATGCTATAATATGTAAATGTAAAATATATTTGAGCAAGGGCTAGGTGGGAGTGAAGAGAAATAAAAATATTTTGCTTGTGAGATTGGATGGATGATAGGTGATTTTCCTCTTACCATTTCCACTATTGTGCTGTTTATACCCCTTTGCATGTGATCACTTCTCAGCAAAATAGTTATAAAAACTTGCTTTGTTTTTTTAGCTGATATGTGGAATTATCATTAAAATACAATTGCGGAGGTGGGAACTACCTTTCCTTTGTTATTTACTGATTTTAAAATATTCACTCTGAGCCAGGTGTGGTGGTGCACACCTGTAATCCCTGCAACTCAGGAGGTTGAGGCAGGAGGATCGCAAGTTTGAAGCCAGCCTGGGCAATCACAGTATCCCTGTCACTCCATGAAGACTCAGAGTCCAGTGTTCTTTGTTCCTGGTTTATCTTGAGAGTTCCTGAAATCCTAAATTCAGTGTGTCATATGTGGGCTCTAATTGGCCTCCTAATCCTTTACAAAGAAATCTCAGTGTCAACTCCCACATTCTGATTATATCCTGTTTCACACTGACTCCAAAAGGAGTTGCTGGCTTTCAGCGAAGGAGAGAATTTGGCAGGATCCACAGTGGTCCACAGCATCTAAAAGTTGCTTCTTTCAGAGGACCAAAAGATAAAATCCTGAGTATCCCTTTAAGAAATATTTTAAAGCATTCATGTCCACAAAAGTCATTTTATCTACCTCCAAATAGCTCTGAAAAGGAACAGATTCTCACTTCATCTTTTACCTTCATTCTTCCTGCCTCCTCTGGGAATCAGGCCAGGAACTAATTAGCTCAGCCTTTTTAAAAAGATGATTATCTTGGTATGGGATCTCTCTCTCTCTCTCTCTCTCTCTCTCTCTCTCTCTCTCTCTCTCTCATTCAATTCAATATGCACTTTATCTATTTTTAGCAAATCAGAGCATGCACAACTTTGAACGTTTTTCCTGGAGCACGAACACTTTTACTTTGAACATGCCAAGGTGCGCATCTCTAATTGCACATCTTGCAGAGCCTGAGCCCCACATATCTCCATGATTTCCAGGTTTACAGCATGTCAGCACAAGAGAACAATCTCCCTCATCCTGAAGTCCAAACACTGGATACTGGTGGCCCAGAAGGCTCACTTCTCTGGACTGGCCATGAGCAGTCCTGCCTGCAACCTTGGCTTGAGTCTTTTCCTTCTCTTGCTGGGACTGTCCCTCCTATTTTCTCCTCTGATCCATGTCAACTCCTCCACAGGTTGGGACAAAGGCCCCCAGATCATCTTCCTACAGGATCTGCTTGGGCACTCCTTGCTCCCAGCTGCTCGAGGACTTCCTGTGCTGGGACTTCACTTGGAAACAAGGTCCTGGCTCTCTCTGCTTCTATCTTATCTCCATGTAATTATGGCCTCCCCATCTGCAGGGCAGGAAGGACTTTTTTTTTTTTTTTGTGGCCCACTTCCTTTCTCCTACCCCTTATGGGAGGCCCAGCACACACAGCCTCTCAGAAAGTCCCTACGAGGGTAACAGAACCACAGTAGTAGGAAAAGATCTGGAATGCTTTGGAAACTTTCTAATCTTTTGATGCTTATCTTGAAGACTTGCTAGTTCTTTTGAGAGCTTATCAGTCTGCAACAATTCTGTGTCTTCTGCTGAGGTGACACCAACGCCACCCTTGTTCGCCACCCCTCTTCTTGCTGCCTCTCCTCAGATGGGTGTCCATCTTCTTCCCAGGTCACCACTCATGTCCTTCTCTGTGTCCCACGTGACAATGTTTACAAAGTCTGTTGTCTGTTAGCACAATGCAGATCCACCAGCCACCAGCTCCATGGTTGACCATATTTTTTTGTGTTGCACAAAGGGGAATAAAATCAGATTATATTACACTTGTTTTAAAACCACTAGGTTTAAATAGGCCTATTATCTCATTTCTTAGGCCTTTCTCTACCTATACTATGTAATAGTATTCTGCTGTTAATTGATTAATATTTCTCTGCTTCTGGTAAACACCACTTACAAGATGCTATTTTGTAATATCTTAACATCCTAGTAAGATACTACATTTTATAACCTGGTGCGGAGTTAGAGTTCACTGATTAGCAGGACATATGACACTACAGCCTCAATCATTCTTATCACAGAACTATCAGGTGGTTGTTCACTATCTGGGGCTGTCAGCAAGCTTCTTAATGATGAGTGCTTGGCTCTGACCTTACACTGTGAGTTCACAAAGAACAGGAAGGAAAAGAGAATGAGACAAAACTCATCTTTACTACAACCTTATATATCCTTCTAGAATGTTATAGACTTCAATCCAGAGAATATCTCTATGAGACAGGCATTATCACCCCATTTTATAGATGGATAAACAGAGACCCAGGGAGTAAAGTAATCATTAGCAGAGGCAGGGTGCAAACCTGAGCCACCTCCTGACTTCGTATGCTCTATGGCTTAGCCCATAGATGTGGGCTTCATCAGGTGAATGTGAGTGTGGAGACAGTATATAAGGGGACTTTTCCTTTGCCCTTTCTTATCATTGCTGTTTGTGAGAAAAATGTTATAGTTCTATCTTTCCAAGTATTAAGAGCATTGCAGAATTCCAACTGAATATTGAAGGTGATTTTAACCATCATTTATCACTTACCAATGTCCTCTGTTCCTCCCCAGTCTCCCCTCAAAGGATCAGGGCTTACAGGAAATTCAACGCCTGCTGGACAATTGCCAAGTTGAACAAAACTGAAAAGGTAGGCCACAATGTCATGGAAGGAAGCCATCAACTGTAGTGTTAGTGTTAAGGCTCTAAAAGCTTCCTGTGGGGAAAATCAGCACAAGAAAAGAAGTTTCAGGAAGTTTCTAAGAGGCATATAAAATATTTGAGTATGATGGGAACAGTATCTTTAAACGAGATGCATGCAGTCAACCCCCAGAATCCACAGGGGATTGATTCTAGGGCCCCTGTGGGTACCATAATGTGCAGATGCTCAAGTTCCTTATAAAAATGGAGCAGTATTCACATATAACCCAAGTACATGCTCCCATAAATTCTAAATCATCTCTAGAGTACTTATAGTACCTAATACAATCTAAATGCTACGTAAGTAGTTATGCTGTGTCATCCAGGGAATCAGGACAAGAAAGAAAAACTATATGTTTTAGTACACATGAACAAGAATATTTTTTATTAGTTCTTGGTTGAATTTTTGAATCCACAGATGCAGAACCTGTGGTCCAGAAGGCCCACTGCATGTAAATAAACATTTTCACAGTGAACACAGGATAATATCTGAGAAAGAAAACAATAAATCTATTCATAAGCCAGGATTATATGTTTTGGGACAAGGGCCCTCCTGTGAGGGGTTAAAGAAATTTGTTTCTTTTTGTTTAATGTTACTGGTGGCCATGAATACATCAAAATGTATTTGAATGACCATCAATGAATTATAAGGCTCACAAACAAACTCATAACATTGTCCTGAGTGAATACCTGTAAGCAAAACATAGATCTTTTCTCTAAACAGGGTTTCACTTACAAAGAAAAATCAGAATATTTCTGACATGCCATTTCCATCATTGCACTTTTATTTGGCAAATGCTTACATGTTTTATGTGTTTCTATACTTACTTCTTTTTTATATGATTACCAATATTATTATCTTATCAGTAAGTGAGGTGTATAGAACAACCCCTCAAAAAACAGTAAGCAGCTGAGTTACTGTGTGAACCCAACCTTTCATTAGCTTCAGGGCATAAAGGTGGGGTTTTACTCAAGGATTTGGGAGGAAACTGAAGATTAATAAGGAATGTCAGAAACCTGAATTAATATTCATTAATGACCAGGGCTAAAGAGAAATCATGAAATAAAAAGGTTCAAGAAAAATTAAAATAAAGTAGTCAGAAGTATTAGTCGTGAAAAGATTTCTATTAGATGTCTTTGAAAAAAACAAGAAATGTTCTCTCCAATTAATGTGCTTCACACGAGACATTAAAAAAAAAAAATAGCCAGTTTCCATTCCGGTGCACGAAATAATACAAACCTTTTCTGGCAGAGTTTTGAACATAACCAGCACTTCGGAAGGATGGGGGATGTACCATAAATTGAGGAGGACTTTTCCATCCGCTGACAGCAAATATGGAGGCCGGGGCTGAGAACTCCTGTGGCATTAGAAGAAATCAGCAGAAGCAGAGCATTTCCCTCTAACCCAGAGGCACCCTGAACTGTTCAGACCATCACCCACAGACCACACATGACTGTCACCACAGGCCCAGCGTCCAAGCCAGAGGCAGCAGACTCCTTTTCCACTGGCTCCCAAGTGGCCAGAGTTATTTATAAACAACTCAACAGAAGAGGAGCAGTTGGGCTGATTTTAGCCTGAGCTGTGTGGGAGGAAGGCGTGGGTATGGAGGGCGGGAAAGGTGTGGTAAGAAAAGAAAGGAAGGGCAGGCATCAGACCGCAGGCACCATCCTGGGTGTAACACATTTTGTGTCACTTGATGCTTCTGACAACCTTACGATGGATCTATTTTTGTTCCTATTTCACAGCTGAGGAAATTGAGGCTTTGAGACGTTAGGGAGGTCCTGCCTACCCAGCTCCTAAGAGATGGAGTTAGGATTTAAGTGCACATCTGTCCATCATGTTTCTTGCCAGGTTCCCCAGCGTCTGGTCTTCTTTTCTTCTTTCTCTGCTCTCCTCTAACTACTGAGCACTTGTTAGGCAGCAGTTTTGCTGTCTCTATAGCATTGCAGGCCTACACACAAACACACCATCCATCTATGTCTGGCTTAGGGATTCACACAAGCCCAGCATTCTTGAATACCTCCCTGCTGGTCCCCAGAGCAACCACCTGACATGAACATTAGTGAATGCCTTGCTGTTCTTTGTAGTTTCACCATAAATGGACACACCAGTAAGAGATATTTTGCTAGGTTTTGCCTGTCTTACGACTTCCATGCAGATGAAAGCTCTTGAACTGTATACCACAGCCCCAGGATGGAGGTGGTCTCCTGACCTGGTTTTTGTGTCATCTCAGAAGTGAGGCAGCCCTGATAAGCCCACTTGAATGGCTCCGGTGCCATCAAGTCTAAACAAAAAATAAATAGGGCGGGGGATGTGGCTCATTGGTTAAGTAAGCACCCCTGGGTGCAATCCCTGGTACTAAAAAAAAAAAAAAAAAAAAGAGGTAGTGGTGCTTTACAAAGTTTGTTGTTATTATGCTAATGTGGGGGGTGTCTGGCATCTGTGGCCAGGGGTGGACGGGCCAAGGGACGCACATGGAGCTCTCAGAGAAATTGGTTAGGAACTAGGGACCTGAACGCATTGAGAGGATGGCCTAGAATTGAGGAGTATGCAGGAGGACCAGAGACCAGTGCCACCTCAGAGACAAGCAGCTGAGGCAGTGTGCAGTGAGGGTGGAGGCCCTCCCTCCCACACCACCCCCACCCAGGGCGTCTGGGGTCAGCAGTGGACGTGGCAGGGAATAACGATGAGCACTTGGTGCAGGGCCCTCAGCTCCAGAGATGCAAGGTGATGCAAGGCCACAGACTGAGTCCAGTCACACTTCTGCGTTGCAGCAGCCAGCCCAAGGCCCGCAGGCCCCTGGGCTGAGACTCAGACCTTTGGGCTTCTTAATTTCGATATTCAATGTTTCTTTTGGATTAAGCTGGATTTAATTTGTTCCAAGACTGGAATAATCTGAATGTCATTATTGAGAAAAGGAATTCTCCAAACTAAGACTGTTCTTTATTCCTGAGCTGAGAGTTAACTGATTAAAATCCTGAGACTTGAAAGGTAGACATAAGGCCAATGTTTTGTTTCAGGATGAGTTTTAATGATCTAACAACTCTCATCTTCAGAACATTTGAAACTGAAAATATTCAGCGCTTAGTTAAAATGAGCTACATTTTGCTTCAATAAGTGAGAAGGATCATCTGAATATCTCCAAGAGACCCAGAAGTAATTTTATTCCTCATAGGCAATTATCAGACAAGGCAACAAATGTCCCTACAATTTCCAAGGTGCTCCCTAGAAGGTGAGACCCTCCCATTGAGTCTGGCTATGGACAATGGATATGGAATGGAAATTAAGTACAAATGTGAAAGAGGCTTAAGTAATGGGATCATTAGGGTCTAAGGAATAAGGAAAAGCAAGAATCTACAAACGATGCCCTGACTCTGGCTTTGGGGATGGGGGTTAGAAATTGTGTGGTCCTTTAACACAGTGGACACAGGATTGGGGCAGAAGAGGCGAGGAGCTCAGTTCTTGCCTTTCTTGACTGAGCTGGTCTGAGGCACTACCAGCTAAGGCGAAGCCAGTTGAAGCTCTGGAGCTGTGGGGATTCAGAAGTCATTGGCAAATGGACCTTAGCTACTGTCAGCAGAGTGATTGAAATTGCTCAGGACTGTGGGGGAGAGTGAGCAGAGTGCAGATGGCAGAAGATTCAGGAGGTTGGTGCAGGCAAAGTAGCCTGACTCTCAGACCCACAGGGAGCCTTGCCCCTCCCTCTTGTGGATGGCCCAAGGACTACTTGGCCTGCTCAATATGGTCCTCTATTACCTTTAGTTACTCTCAGCTGTCCACTCCTGGGCCACATCCTAGACTTTATCATCACCTGGAGCCATTTCACTTCCAAAGCCTTAGCTTTCGTTTCCAGCGTTCTCCCTCATACAGTGCCATTAAATCTGCTTGTCCCCATAAAATATGCTCCTTGACATCACCCAGTCCTCTGGCCTCCCTTTCCTGTTGTCAGTTCTTTTCTGACTTCAATCCCTTCCCTTCCCAGACTGGATCTGACTGTCCATGAACTACATGAACTACTCTCTTGCCTGCACCTTTGATTCTCTATTTCTTTGTCCTCGTACCCCATCTACCTAGCAAAGCCCCAACTGTGGGTCCTTCCAACTCCTCAGCTTTCTGCCTCTACTTGCACACTGCTAAACACAGCTGGAGGAAATCACACTACTAATTATTTAGATGCACCAACAAGAAAATGATTTCCAGCTTGAGCTATGTCACCCTGGGACAAACCTTTTTTTTTTTTTTTTTCCTTTGATCAGTTGTCATGCCAATTTCCTTGTTCAGTAATTCCAAGTCTTCTTTCAGCCCCATAACCAGTTCCTGCCAGTAAGTGATGACATAGTTTGGTATTTCGCGATTGAACTAAAGGCCACTAGCTAGAACTCCCTTCACTCCCTTCTGACCCATTCCCTTCCCAACCCCCCATCCTCCCTTTGCATCAGGGTCAAAGTCAGAGAGGCACACCTGGGACATAAAATGAAAGACCACCTCAAGGATCTTACATTCCAGAGACAGCTGGATGTGCAAACATGACACGATGGTAGAGCCTGGCACAAGAGAAATAGACCAAGGAGCAGACAGCATCCAGAATAGATAGCCCCTGGGAGCCTGGGAGAAGAAACTGACAGCTGAAGCCTCCGAGCTGTGATTTATTATCTCTTCCACATCTCAGCACTGCCCTTTGCTTCCCATTTAAAGAAAATTGTGGTAAAATTCATATAATGCCATTTTACCATTTTCCATTCTTGAGTGTATAGTCCAATGGTACCAAGGACATTCACATCAATACTACATCCATCTCCAGAACTTGAAAAAAAAATCTTGCCAAACTGAAACTCTGTACCTATTAAACAATGATGGCACTGCTACCCTTTTATTTGCCCAAGCCAGAGTCTCTGGAGGAAATGCTAGACTCCTTCCTCCCTCATCAGTCTGGCTCCTGGCCTCACTGATTTCACCTCCTAAGCCTCCTGGTTAATCCAATTTCAGGAACTTCCTAAGTAGTGCCACTGATAATCATGTTGCTCCCCTTCTTACTGTGACCTAAAGGACAAACACCAGTGTTCTGGATCTTGTCCCATTTCCCATCGCCGTCCTTACACTGAGGTCCACAAACCATCTCACATTTCTGTGCCTTTATCCATGCAGCTCTTCCAGCGTATCATCCCTCAGGACCGGGGTTAAGCATCCCTCTTCCCTGAAGCTCTCCTAGTTCCCATCCTGTTTCCCCAATCCTTCTGATAATCCTGTTTCCTGGTGGTGCTTTCATTAAACATTTACTTTATTCTGTTCTTCATCGCAGTGCACTGTTGCTGTCTGTCTCTTTCCCCTTGTTGGACAAGGATCTTGTCTATTACATTGTTCTACAGCACTTGGCACCAACATCACCATGTGTTGTGCCTCCAGGCAACCAGCAGTGGCCAAGAGCCAGCCTGTACCTTTCCTGCCAGGCTCTGCACCCTTGTGTGGAGCTACACCTGCCCCCAGAGGAAGGGTTGTCTTCCTCTAATTTGCACAAAGTAGCTGTATGTGATGACAGCGGCTCTGCTTGTCACATGGCAAGGGTTCAATTAATCGTAGTGTTCTCTCTGGGGGCTCCCTTTGCTCTTTTAGCAGCCAATGCTGATGCCCCTGGGAATGCGGCTGAGAGTCATCCTAGTCCTCTGATTCTAGCCTCCTCTGGAGTCTTGAAGGGAAAGGAAGCCTCCAGGGACTTCTGAGAACAGAGATCCCTCTGGCTCCTCCTCTACAGGGGCTCTGGTTTAGGGCAGAGTCTCTGCTAAACTATTTACAGTATATTATAATCTTCCAGGAATTAAGTTGCATCTTAGCATTTTAAATCTATAGAACTTCTGGAGCTCTTCAAGGGATGGCAAACACACACAGGAAGGCTACCTTTCTCCCTTTCCTTGACATGGCAGACATTGCCAATCAATCGCCACTCTCTCACAAACATGAAATGTCTCAGAATCCTCAGCAGGGCCACTAAATGGTTGGAACTGACATTTCAAATAAAACTTACTTTTCTTCAATGTAGCCCAGTCTGTTATTCTGTGAATGAGATGAGAGCCTCTTTCCTCCATGACCCTTGCTCTCAACTCTGTGCCTTATTTCTAGTTAACTTCGCTGTAATGATCCCATTTAACACTTTACAAGCTGTCTTAAAACTGGCCCCTTTTGGGAAGTCTTTCCTCAGCAGTCCTATTTCTTAAAATCATCCTTTACATACCATAGCACTAAGATTCCTAATGTGTTTAACTTCAGAGAGCTGCTTCAATGTCCTCACTTGAAAGAAACCAAAGTCCCAAGTTTTGAGATAAGTGATTTGCCTAAGACCTCAGTTCAACACATGACTGAGCCAGGGGAAAATCCAAATATTCTAACTCCAGGCTGTGGTTTTCTCTACGAGGACACCTTCTTGTGACTCACAGCTGTGATTTGGATATGGTTAAGGGTTCATGTGTTGGAGGCCTGGTCCTTAGGGCGGTACTACTGGGAGGTGATGTTTAGTGGGAAGTCCTTAGGTCTGCTGGAGGTTCACCTCTAAAGGGATTATAGGTCTCTCTCTGTCTTCATTTCCTACTGTGGAGAACTAGGGATTAACCCTGGGGTGCTCTACCATTGAACTACACTCCCAGTTCTTTTTATTTTTCTTTTATCTTGAGATAGGGTCTTGCTAAATTGTTGAGGCTAGCCTCCACCTTGTGATCCTTCTGCCTCAGCCTCCCAAGCTGCTGGGATTACAGGCATGCACCACCATGCACTGCTGCTTTTGTGCTTTTTGATGTAAGGTCTTCCTCATACACGTACTCCTGCTATGATGTGGTGCTGTGAGAGGGCCCTCACCAAAACTGTGCTGTTGGTGTCGTGCCCTCCAAAACTTGAGCTAAATAAATTTCTTTAAAAAATAAACTTAGACTGCCTCAGGTATTTTGTTATAATTACACAATACATTTATTTGTTTGTTTATTTATTTATTTATTTATTTATTTTTAAATCAGTAGGTACCCAGAGCATGGAACCAGACTTTGAAGTTAGAAAGAATCCAATAGTACTTTTACCAAAGTTTCATATAAGAAAGAAGTTCCTTTCTCTATACTCCTATAAATATTCCTATAAATGAGTATATTAAAAGAGACATATTAATATCCAGAGAGTTTAGGAAAAGGAGGGGATTCAGTGGAGAAATAGTCTACCAGTCACAGCTCATCCACTGGTCACCCATTTTGCTCACACCTTCCTGGCCCAAGGTTCTACCCTGATGTTATCACACATCAACCAACCAGATAATTCAGGGACCAAGGTTCTCCAGAGTAAATGACTGTTTCCCTTAATCTTTAGAAAACATAGTCTCCTACAAGAAACAATAAAGAAATAGAGCAAGATCTAAAAGTTAGATTTTTCCTCCTCTTTGCATCCTGACCTTCTTATTTGGTTGCTGCAAATTAAACACATCAAAAACAAAAATAGGCTTCCTAACCCATTTCATCATAATCACATATGCATCGGATTAGATTTCTGGAAAAAACTTTAAAAGTTTGATCTCAAATGTAGATTAGCTTTATAAATGGTCAATGAGGTAAGAGGGCGACAAAATAATGGAATTAAGAACACTTAAAGGATTTATCTATGACACTTTGCATGACAAAAATGCTTTTCAACCTTACTGAGCAGCAGATATTCAGGCAAACCCTTTAGAAAAATAGCATCTTTGCCCCACTGTTCTCTCCAATGCATTCTTCCATTAGGTAAATCCTGTAATCTATGCAAATGAAAGCATTGGCTGAGCTCATAGAACAAAACACTGCTATCTACAAACTAATCCGCCTTATAAGTATGGAGATGGACCTGGCCACTGTTTGGCTGGTCAGCTGTCAGTCAGTCAAGAGCTTGAGGATTTCAACCTCTTTCATTCTAGTCTAGCCGTTACCATTCCGTTTTCTTGGGGAACTCCAACATTCCTGTCCATTCCTCTTTGAATTCCTCCAGAGGCCCTGAGTAGTTAAACATTCCCTCATAGGTCTTTGTACACACCTCTAATGTGTTATCTCTGGAGTTACTTGTTTGTTTACACAGCTTTTCCCAACTAGATGGAATTTATTGCCAGAACCAATGACTTATCCTGTAAATGCCAGTGCCTGGCATTTAAGTAAACACGGAATAAATGATAGTTGAATAGCACATGCATGCATGAATGAATGAATGAATGAATGAGTGTGTGAGTGAGTGATCTGATACAAATGATCTCTTAAATCCCTTCTATCTGTCCAGTCCATGATCATATTTTAGTATTCCTGTTTCTCAAACTCCAGAAGCAGAAACAGAAGCAGAGGTTAAGCTCACCCTATAAGGGTGTGTTTGCTTCTCCTTGGAGACTGTATACTATATAACACACACACACACACACCCTTTTTTTTTTTTTTTTTTTTAAGGAAATGAGGTTACTAACTGCTCAGGTATGCTAACTCCTCCATCCAGGAAGGGGGTGGGGGTGAACTCTTAAGCAGGCTGAGTTAAAGTCTTTCAGAAAACCAGATAAAGCCTATATCTACTGTCACTATACCTATATCTACATCTGTATCTGTATGTCTGTCCCACCAGAGGAAAACAGGACACTTAATTTGTCCAAGGCACTGGCATATCATTGTTTTTTCTGAGTATTTCTTCTAGATTATTATTATATAATTATATTATTATTATAGAATATGTGAATCTAAGACAGCTCAAAATCAAACTTACTTTTTTGTTGACTTATTTTACATGCTAGCTATGTAAATGGTTGTGACTAACGAAAATGAGCTCCCCAGGAGAAAGCAAAACTATACTGATGAAAAAAGCAGTCAAACAGCTCATAAACAATGAACTTCTTTTGGATTCAAATACAAAAATGCTTTTTTTCTCAGCGTGCTACTTTTTCTTTTGTGCTTCTAGACCAGACTATCAAAGTCAAGTACAGTAAAAGGAGCAAAAGTGTCAGTAAGATTTTCATTACTTAGCAAACACCTAAGATAAACAACTTATAAATAGAAAAGGTTTATTTGGGCTTAACAGTTCTAGAAGTTTCGGTCCATGAACAGTTGGCCCCATTATTTGGGTGAGGCAGTGAGTCTTGTTGGAAGCACCTGGAGGAGCAAAACTATTCACCTCATGACCAGGAAGCAAAAGAAAAAGAGGAAGAGATCAAGATTCCATATCCCTTTCAAGGGCAAATCCCTGTTATAGTTTGGATTTGCAAGGGCTCATATGTTGAAGGCTTGTCCCCAGTGTAGCAAGGTTCAGAGGTGAAGCTCTTGGAAAGTGATTGATCTTGAGGGCTTTAACCTCACTATTGGATTAATCTGTTAATGAACTGATAATTTGATGGCATTACTGGGAGATTGTGAAACTGTAGGAGACAGAGCTGAGTTGGAGAAAACAGGTTACTGGGGATGTGCCCTGGAAGAGAATATCTTATCCCCAGCCCCTTCCTCCCTCCCTCTTTCTATCTCTGCTTCGTAGCTGCCATGAGACGAGAGCCTTCCTCTGCTGTGCCCTCTGCCATGATGTTTATACCTTGGAGCCGGCTGATCATAAACTGAAACCTCAGAAACTGTGAGTCAAAATGAGTCTTTCCTTCTAAGTTGTTTTTCTCAGTTATTTTGGCTCATACCCCCATGGCCTAGGACCCACGCGACACTGGAGAGCAAGCCTTTATTACTTGGACCTTTGGAACACACTTAAGATCCAAACAATAGCAGCAAAATATTTTCATACTAAACACACCTCTTCCTGGAGAAAGGTGGGGCCTTGGAAGTAGAAAGACAAACTCTACTTTGTCTCTGATTTTACATACCTGGGGTCAGCTTTGAGGCTCTCCTTGGAATCACTTGATCCCTTCTTTTCTTGTGGTTGCCCCACCATGAAAAAGGTATCCCTGATAGTAGGAAAATCCTCCAGGAGGGCTCTCAGGCTATTACAGTGTGCCATGATCTGACTCCGAAGAGCATAGTGAGACATGTGGCGGTTAAACCTGAAAGTCAGAAGAGATGATGTCCCAAAGGAAAATCCAAGTTGTTTCCCTTCTCATCAAAGTTTCAGCATCTACTTCCCTGGAGGAATAGAGCATCTGTGTCAAAAAGAAATTTCCATGTGGTGTTGCTTGAAAGCAGAGGTATGAACTTCTTCAAAGTACTTTAAAGTGTTCTCTTGGTCCTTTGCATATGAGAGGTCAGTTTAACTTGATTTTATCCAATAGCCATGTGATTTATTTAAACAAAACCAACCTCACTTTTTGTCTGAATTTCTGCATAATACCACTTACTGATTCTTGCATTCAGAACAAATCAGCATGTGTTATCACATATACAATACTTACTTTTGACAATATTCAATTATAACATCCCTCTTGAGTTTTCCAATTTCATCCTGTGATAAAAGAAAATGATAGTTCTTCTATTAGATGGTTGGCTATAAGCACTACCCAACCTGGTACATGTGTACAAACAAACTTCAACTTTAAGCAGGAAAAGGCCACACAACTGAGACATTCTTTCTGGAGGTAAGCTTATTGGGATACCCTCTTCTCTGTGTCTCTTCTATCGCATATTTCTAAGTATGTCAAGAATGCAAGGTCCTGATCATTCTACCTGGATCATTTCTCAGGGTTGTGTTTGCAGAGAGCTGTCTTAAGGGATGAGTTAATGTCTCCTTCTAGGAAAATTAGCAGGCTTGCTATAAAAGAGGTGGGTTCCCCAAGCTTAGTGTTTTCAACTATGACACAAACCTAGTGGGCACGTGTAGGCTCCTCCTAGTTGTCCCTATGGGATTTGGGAGGTAAAGACAACTGACACAAATATAGAACTCATGTTACCTGCTCTGCTGTAAGCAATAAAGTTCTTTGCCTCTGACCTGCAAGTCTTGTGTCTTCTGCTAGCAGGCTAACTTATGAACATGCAAGTAGGCTAAAATCCCAGATCCTAGCAAAACTAACTGATCATTATATTGCATAAATTATTTTTGATCTGTGGGTGTTGGATAATGCTGAAGGATAGTTAATGTTATATTTTCACTCTATCACTATTTTTTGAGAATTGCTTATTAGAAGGGGCCCTTTGTCTCCATGATTATTCATCAGTAGTTAAAATGTCTGGCCTTCATCATACCCATTTGCAGAAGTAGGTTAGGCAAATTTAATTTTTTTTTTTTTTTAGTCACAAGTAAGGACAAAGCCTAGAGATAAACCTCTCATTTCCCACCATAACTATTCATAAGCATAATCATTTCCTCATCAAAATGAATGAATAATAAAATGCTATTCACAAAATTAAGCAATGGTTTTAACTAATTAAAGGTTTGAATTTTATAATATTTTTCAACTGATTAGAGTAGTATGAAAACTCTTAAACAGTAACATGTTGGAAGTATCTCAAAAACCAAGATAATAAGTATCAGAGCCCTTACCCACCTTACCTAAGCCACCCAAACCCAAAACCTACCTCAGGAGTAGATAAATGTTTCAAAGCACGTGCTGAAATGAGCCCGTTTAGAAAATGACAAAACAAAATGTGGCCTTGAAAAACTGTAAGCATTTTTAAAAACCTGACTATAACCTGCTTGAATTTATTTGATTTCTATTGGATTTCCTTTATCGGTTCCTTGTATTTTCAATAGTCCCATCCAAATAGGTTGAAAGCCACAGACCCCAAGTTCAGAAATTTTATTTGCTCAAATGCAAAAGGACCAGAACTGTGGGGAGCTCTTATCTCTGCGCACTCACAGGGCTGTTCATTCTGCCGGCCATGGTCTGTTTCCTGAGGTGAAAGGCGGTCAGCATCATGTCCCGCAGCCCCACCTTTTCTAGTTGAATAGACACAAAAGCCTCTGGAGCCCTGAGAAGTGAACAGAGGCATCTGAGCCAAGGTGGGAGGTAAGAGGACACGTGACACAAGGACAACTCATGTTCTGGGTGTCACAGCAGGAGGGCTCCATGGTTCTCTCTTGCTCCAAGTGTTTCTGATTGTTCACCAAAGATGTTGATGTGCTCCAGGCTTCTTGGAGACATATAATGCCTAAACCATATGACAGCCGTCCCTTCTTGATCCCAAACATCAAGCCTGGCCCAATGTGCCCTTTACCTGAACTGAAGTGGTCTCCAAGGGTCCCCTTGACTAAACACACTGATCTTAATCTTCTATCCACACATTGGGAATGTGGACTGAAGGCACTTGAACTCTGGCCAAGTCAGTGGCATCTTGAGTAGTAGAGTTGCTTTGCCTGTTTTTTTTTTTTTCCATTCTAAATTTGCCAGTGTCTAAATTTGTGAGTGTCCTTGGTATGGCTCCAATAAAATACTCAGAGTAATCACAATTATTACAGAATGTAAGCATCATTCTTTCTTTGTCATGGTGAAAAGAATTCAAAACATAGCAGGCCATCCTGATTTATAGACATATCTCTGGAGACCATGCCTTTGTGACCAGTTACCATCTTATTATATAAACAATAGCAAAATCTTTGTTAGAATACAGAGGGAAGTTCTGGGCTTCTCAATTTAAGAGAGTTACGGAAAATTTAGAGTGTCCTATTAATAATGTCTTGCTTGCAAAAAGAGTATAAACAGGGATAGGGTTGTAGCTCAATGGCTGAGCACTTCTCTCACATGCATGAGGCACTGGGTTCGATAATCAGCACCACATAAATAAATAAATATATGAACAAAGATATTTTTTAAAAAAGAGTATGAACAATTACAGAGAAAGAGGAGAGAGTGAAGGAAGGGAAGAGAAAGAGAAAAGAGGAGAGAGACAGAGAGTTAGAGGGACAGAGAGTAAAGAAGAGGCTTAAATTAAGACCAGGTGACTTTCTTTCATAGACTAGGGTATACTGGAAGGAGCTGAGCCTTCCCAGTGTTCACACAGGTCTTCATATGAGGTTCTTAAAGAAATAAAACACATACTAGTTACTCTGGGAGTTTAGGCTTCTTCAATCCCATAACACAATATTATCAATTGAATTAAAAGAGGATAATTTTATTATCTTAAACAATCCTCCCATAAGGTACAATACCTTTTGGTCCTCTGAAATCTTTCTGAAGAGTGCGTAAGGTTATTTGGGACTTTTGGAGTTGGGGATAACAGTAAGCTTTCGGTGTCATTCACAATTCTGGAATTTCTTCTTCTGGTTGGACTCATTCTGCCATGATTTTTCAGTTCTGCACTTACTTCCTAAAACATTTTAAATCACAGTGAATTAAATTGGTTAGATGTGTAAGTGCTCCCTATAAAATTACATCACAGCCACAACTGACCCCAAGCACAAGTAATGCCTGAGTAAGTGGGAGAAGGAGAAGGGGGAGAGGAAGAAGAGGAAAAGAGATACCACTTTGCACAACAAAGGGCTGAGGCACTAAGGAGGACTATTTTCAGAATAGACTACTGTTGTCTAAAGTGCTATAAGAAAATTCTCCATTCTACAAAGTGGTTAGGAGTAGTGTGCTATGTGGAATAACCTTTCAAGAAATAATGCTGATGGATTTCACAGCTATAAGATCTGGAAGATTCCCTCAGGGCACCTAAGCAAATGGAGGTGGGATTTAAATGCTGCCTTGCCAATCCTCAATAAATGTTGGCAAGGATATGGTAGAAAATGTACACTCATACATTGCCAGTGGGACTGAAAATTAGTGCAACCACTGTGGAAAGCAGTATGGAGAATTCTCAGAAAACCTGGAATAGAACCACCATTTGACCCAGTCATCCCACTCCTCAGTTTATACCCAAAGGACTTAAAATCAGAATATTACAGTGATGAAGCCACATAGTAGCTCAACTCACAATAGCTAAACTATGGAACCAACCTAGATGCCTTTCAACAGATGAATGGATAAAGAAACTGTATATACACAATGGACTATTACTCAGCCTTAAAGAAAAACGAAATTACGGCATTTGCTGGTAAATGGATGGAACTGGAGAATACTATGCTAAGCGAAATAAGCCAATCCCAAAAAACCAAAAGCTGAATGTTTTCTCTGATATGCGGATGATAATTCACAATGAGGATGGGGGAGAATATTGGTGCTTTGGACTAGACAGAGGGGAGTGAAGGGAGGAAGGGGGCATAGGGATAGGAATGATAGTAGAATGAATCAGACATTATTACCCTATGTATGCACATAAGATTACATGACCTGTGTAACTCTACATCATGTACAACCAGATGAATGAGAAGTTATACTCCATTTATGTATGATGTATCAAAATGCATTCTACTGTCATGTATAACTAATTAGAACAAATAAAAAATATTAAAAATTAAATAAATGCTACCATGCACCCGTAGCTATGAAGGAGGGAAAGAAGAGGTGAGGGAGGGAAGTGGAAGGAGGGAGGGGTGAGGAAGGAGGGAAGGAGGGGTAGGAAAGAAAAAAAGGAAAATGAGTATCTTCCAGCTCCATTTGTTATGGAGCTGTGAGGCACAATGAACGGTATAGTTTTCTAAACTACTGGCGAAAGAAAAAAGCTAAATCTTCAAAGGAAAGTCCATTCTTCTTCTATGGAAGAATCAAGGAGATTCCCTATATCAGAATTACTAAAGGAGACGGAAGAAGAGTGAGGCAAAAAGAAAAAAAAAAATCCTAGGTAGAACATCTTAAGAGTTTCCAACCTTATTTTTTTCCCCAAAATCCTTGGAGTCTTCCAGTCTGCGGGAAATAGGAGTCTCTACCAGCTCAGGAAACTGGGGAGGTCCTACAAGGTTGTGAGTGGGAAGAGAGGGAAGAGTCCTTGCTCTGCAGGAGATTCTGATGCTGGCACTTCGCAGGTGACCCTGTCTCTCTTCCTTCCCCTCTCAGAATCTGCTTCCTCACCTGGAACCAAACCCATCCCATGGGGCTGGAGAGGATTCCATGAGCCCACGTAGTTCCATCACTTAGCTTCCTGCCAGCCTGCACCACAGGAGCTCCTGATCTCCTCACGGCACTCTCCCTTCAGTTCCATCTTCAATTCCTTCCTCTTTTTCCAACTCCTTCCTACAAATGTGTCCACCTCTCTCATTGTTCCTTATTTCTCCTACTCCCTCAACTTTCCTCCTCAATTCTGACCAAACTTCTTAAAGAACTGCTATGGGCTGTTTGTGTCCTTCTAAAATTCACGTGTTCAAGTTTTAACCCCCAATAGGATGGTGTTTGGAGATAGGTGGAAAATTTAAATGAGGTCATGGAAGTAGGGCCCTAATCCAATAGGGCTAGTGCCCAATGACAAAGGGCAAGAGACCTCAGCACTCTCCCTTCCTTTCTTCCCCCTGAGGCCAGGGGACAAAAAGATAGTCAGTGTAGGGAAGGAATGTTTGGGTCAGAAAATTACCTCCAGAGCACTTCCCCCTCCTCCTACTGTTGCCAAGGTGACCTGCCTCCAGAGAATTGCGCCTCCTTGCAGGGAGTTGTAGAAGTTGTTAATTAATGCCCCCTGGGCTGCTCCCTTCCTGCCTGGATCAATCCACCTTTGGCCCACCTTCTGGTCACTTGTCACTTATGCAGGATGGTGGGAGAGAGGCCATGAAAAGAGGAATTCTAAAATGTATAAAAGGGGCAGGACACTCCCACTTCCTCAGACAACCAGCTCTGGGGTCCCTTCTCCGCAGAGAAGTCTATCTTTGTCCCATCCTTTAATAAAACTTGCGTTGTACACTTGCCTCTGCATTTCTTAGGTGTTCAGTCTTCACATCTGGGGAAACAGGACTTGGCCCTGATGGATTCTCCTCACCCGCATCACTACCACCCTCTTCACTCCTTGATAAGAGAACACAGCAGAAGGCCACCATCTGCAAGCCACAAAGTCAGCTACACACCAGAAACCAACCATGATGGCACTTTGATCTTGAACTTCTCACCCTGGAACTGTGACAAGGTAGATTTCAGTGGTTGAAGTCACCTAGTCTGTAGTGTTCTATTGTGGCAGTATGAGCAGACTGATGCAAGAGCCATAAATACACACTCCTTGGACACTTCTGTCAGCCTCTTGCTCCTTAACTCTGGCCCTCTCTGGAGCTTTTACTTCAAACCAATTAGTAGACTTGCTCTGGAGTTAGTAGAGCAAGTGACCTTTTGTGAAGGTTAATGACCTCATTTTAATCCCTAACCATCTAGGTTTTACCTCTCCATTCAAACTTACAGAATTATTTCTTTCTAAAATAATAACTTTATTGAGAAATAATTTACACTTAATAAACATCACATGTTTAAAGTGTAAAATCAGATAAGTTTGGACAAATTTATTCAACTGTAAAACCATTATCACAATCAAACTAATCACCACAGCCATCCTTCCCACCTGCTCCCTTCCCTGGTCTGCTTTCTTTTCTTTCTTTTTTTTTTTAAATTTGGTACTAGGAATTAAACCCAGGGATACCTTACCACAGAGCTACATCTCCAATGCTATCTATCTATCTATCTATCTATCTATCTATCTATCTATCTATCTATTTTTTAAATAGTTTCTCAGTTGTTGAGGCTGGCCTTGAACTTGTGATCTTTTTGCCTCAACTTCCCAAGTTACTGGGATTCTGACACATACCTCTGCACACAGTAGCTGCTCTGCCTTCTGAAACTTTAGGTTCAAATGAATTTCCTACAATTTTGCATAAATAGAGTCATACAGTAATGCTCTTTTTGGTTGGACTTCATCCATATTTTTGTACATATCAATGATTTCTTTTTATTGTCTACTAGTAGTACATTGTAGGATGTATCACAATTTATTTATCCATTCCACCATTCATGGACATTTGAGTTCTTGGCTATAATGAATGTAGCGTCTATAAACATTTTTTTTTTTTTTGTACAGACACATACACTCATTTCTATTGGTTACATACCTAGGGATGGAATGGCTGGATCACATTGTACGTTTATGTTTAACTTTTTAAGAAATTGCCAAACCATTTTTCAAGGGAGTTGTACCATTTTGTTTTCCTACTAACGGTGTACTAGAGTTCCAGATCCTCAACATCCTTGCCAACGCTTGAGATGGTCAGTCGGAAACCTTAACCATTCAAATGGATGTGAAATGTTTCTCAGTGGGTTTTAATTTGCATTTCTCTAATGACTAATCATGTTGAACATCTTTTCATATTTGTCACCTACATCTTTGGTGACTCATTCTTTCTTGAAATATTTCCTTTGATTTTGTGTTCTCTCTCTCTTTTCTCCTCCTTCCCTTCCTTTTGTCCCCTTTTATTGTATCCAGAATTTATTCCTGCTGGTTTTGTCACCACTCCCCTTCTTGTCCTGTGATTATAAGAGAAGCTACACACATATTACCTGCGTATGTTATGTGTGTGTATGTGTATGTGTGTATACACCCCCACACACACATTCACAGTATACTTTTATGAAGGAGTCACAAAATTCACTTTAACAGAATTAAAATAGACATGAACACTTCCTGAAAGAAGTAATAACTGGGTTGAGTTGAATACTGGAGGATGAGTAGAATCCTATAAATAAAAGCAAAGGGGCGGGGTAGGGAAGATAGACTGTTGAAAGGAAAGGAAAAATATTATGGGGAAATCTGAACAGAACCATGGAGATGTGAAACAGCATAAAATATTTAGGGCCCTTAGAGTGCAGGGGAAGTGGCAGGATTGGAAGCTGGGGCCGGGTAGTGAAGACCATGCATACATAGCTAGGGAGGCTGAGCTTTACTATTTGGACTACAAAGAGTCACTGAAGGCGTGGATACTTTGGTCACTGTGTGAAGGGGAAATCTGACTGGAGGCAGATATGGTGGTACAAGGCAAGGGCCCAGGAGGTGGAGGCTAGTTCAAAGGCCATTATAACCATAAAAAATGAGATAATGAAGGCTGGGGATATAGCTCAATTCGAGTGCTTGCCTCACATGCACAAGGAACTGAGTTCAATCCCCAGCACCACACACTCACAAAAATAATGAGAGTTTAACCTAAACTGGAGGGAAGCAGGTATAATGCAGATGGAGAAAAGGGGCATATTCAATCAATATTTACAATATGATATTGGTAAGAGTTAGTGATCGAGTGTATGATCCAAGGTCACTTAACCAAGAATGGAAATACTAAAGAACCATATGGGAGAGAAATGAGTTCCCTTTGTACATGTTGAATTGAGATGCCTATGGGATACCCCAAAAAGGTTGTCTAGCGGGCACTTGGACACCCAAGTTTGGGGCTTAGTAGAGAGATTCTATGAAGTGATGTATTTTTGAAAGTTGATCATGTATTGGTTTAGGATATACAGGTTTTAAATCTCAAGAGGTGATGAGAATAGCCATGGAGGACAGGTAAAGGAAGAGCCAAGGTGTTCTGAGGCACAATAGAGGGAAACACCAACATCTAAGAGCTGGGAGAGAAGAGAGGTCCCACTCCAAGAGATTGAGAAGGAACAATCAAAGAGACAGAAGAGAGCCAGGAGACAGTGGAGTCAGGCAAGCCGAGGAAGGAGAGCCTCAAGGATAAGGTGGTAGTCAACAGCATTAAATGGAGGGAAGAAGTCAGGTCAAGTTGCTAAACGGCATCTTCTGGGTTAATTAATAAGAAAGTCAAGGCTGAATCTAGTGAGAGGGGTGATGGAGGAGGGAGTGCAGCTATAGTAAATGGGGTGTTAGTACAGGAAGACAAGGAGTTAAAAACTATCTTTTCAGTAAACATAAATGTGAAGAAGAGATCCTAATCAGGGTACTGGCGAGAGAGGCACATAGAAGGACAAGGACAACAAGCTTTATGGGAGAGGATGAAAACAGTTCAGCCTGTCCACAATTGGAGAGTTGAAAGTGAAGTCGAGAAAGCAGGTAGCTGATTGTAAGGAGCATCTTCCATAGACATTCTGGGACATGCTGGGACTCACTAAGTTGGTGGCCATAGGAACAGCAGCCATTGAACTGCTTAGTCCTGTCTGCTTGTAATTGATGAAGAGCTGTGAGGGGCACTGGCCATAGACATGCTTAGCAATGACTGGTTACAACTGATAGGGAGCACAGCTCCGTGGACATGCACAAAGAACATGTCCAACTGCAATTACATCACCTCACTGAACATAACCAATGGACATTGACTTTCACTATAACCAATCACCAACATACACCACCAACTTGGAACTGTATTTAAATTGCTGGTCCTGCCACATCGAAGAGTTTTGCTCCAAGGACATCAGTGAGGCTGGCTGTCTTGCTGTCCATCTCTGGACTGGCTCCACCCTTCCCTGATGTCCAGCCATTGACTGGAAAGAACCACCAGACAAGGACAACATCTGCTCCTTGGCTAAAAGAAGTTGCATGGCATCGGAGGTATTTTGGGACTCTTAGTTGCCCTGGGATTGTGTGATTTGCTTATAGTGTTTAATTAGTGTGCTTTGAATGCTAGTTGGGGTGCTCCTGCACACCCAACACTTTTTGCATTAATTGTTTATATTTAATGATTGCTGTGATTAAATATATGCTTGCATTTAAAGACAATCCACCTCTGAATAATTATTAATAGCACCGCTCGCCATACTGATGAAGCAAAGTCTCAGAAGAGTTGGGAGCAAATGAATCAAGAATATACCCTACAGGTAGGGCCCAGCACATGGTGCATGCCTGTAATCCCAGGGATTTAGGAGCCTGAGGCAGGAGGATCACAAGTTTGAGGCCAGCCTCAGCAACTTAGCAAGGCCATAAGCAACTTAGTGAGACCCTGTCTCAAAATAAAAAATTAAAAGGGCTGGGGATGTTGCTCAGTGGTAAAGTCTCCTGGGTTCAATTCCCGGTACGGGAAAAAAAGAAAGAAAGGAAAAAAAAAAAAAAAAAGAATCTAGGTGATAAGGATCCAACTGGCAAAAGAAATACTTGAAACTCAGAAGGTGGAGGGAAGCAGGTATAATGTACTCAAACTTGGGAATGTGGTTGTGGGAACCCCAGTTTGTAGCCAGTCAGCCAGAAGTTCTGGTGGTCCAGACTTGTGACTGGATCTGAAATGGGAGCAGTCTTGGGACTGAGCCCTCACCTGTGGGATCTGATGCTACATTCGGGTAGATGGTGTCAGAACTGAATTGAATTAGAAGATGCCCAGCTGGCGTCCTCTGCAGAATTCATTGCTTGCTTGCTGGTGGGGAGAACTCCCCACACCTTTTGGGGTCACAGGGTGATTTTTCTTGTGAGTATATAGGATGAGAAACTGAATCTAAGTTTGTTTTTCCTACACAGAGAAGAAAGAGGAAAAAAGGGACTAAGAGGAGAAAGGGAGGAAAGGAGGGAGAAAAGGAAAGAACATGTCCAGCTGCAATTACATCACCTCACTGGACATAACCAATGGACATTGACTTTCACTAAAACCAATCACCAACATACAAAGAAGGAGGGAGGGAGGGAGGGAAAGAAGGGAGAGCTGGTGATAGCGGCAGCCTGAGTCTGGCTTCTGCATTATGTAGGCTGACCTTGACATCAGCAGGACAGCCCACTGTCCTGTGATAGAAGGATGCTTGTTGAACTGCCACCATCAAAGCATTTTTCTGAGCAGCTTGACATGCGAGGGTCACTTGCATATTTTCCACTTCAGACTGGGACAAGAGCTGAAGGAAGAAAATGTGAAAGGCATTAGGAATTGCTTCCATAAATCGGCGAAGTTGAAGGTTGAGATCATCACTTATTCAACATATAAATTCATGTATGAATTTTAACTGCAGGATGAGCTGGGATCCTTGTTCCTCAGCCACGAGACTGAGTCTGCTCTCTCCCCAACAGCATTTCATCCCAGCAAGGCAGTCCCTAGGCCTGGTTTGTCCTGTACCGGGACACCATGAGGTTTCCCCAGTGGTCAGGAAAGGATGGGCAGGCTCTGATGAAGTACAGTGGTGGGCTCTGGTAAGCCAAGATTAGATCCATGGTAAAAGAAAAGAAAAGAAAAATCCAAAAACACATAGAGAAGCAAAGAAATCCAACTGTTGGGGCAGGGAAAACCCATCCAGTTTAAAAAGGTCATATAAAAACTCCAAATAATAAGTGTATATTTTAAAAGCCTGATGCAAAGATGGCCCTCTACATGTGCTTCTTTTTTCTATCTAAAGAAGCCATTATACACGTGTTGCAGTCTACATGGTTCAAACCAGGTCAATGTGCAAAGGACAAGGCGATACCATTGTTATTACCAATGAAGTAAAGCATTTCTTAAAAATGGAAGTCAATATATATGAATTAAATATTGATTTAAAAACACATAAGCAAATTCTTTATTTTGCTTCAGTTTCTTTTGGAAAAAATAAATAAATAACTGACCTTAAGGATGGCTTCTTTCGTATAAAAACTAAATTTGCCAACTTGGTTATCATCCACCTCAGAGATGGCTAAGGCAAGTGTAGTGGGAGAATATCTGCAAGAAGAAATATGAGGTTGTTTTGATGTGACATAGTATGTGTCATGAGATGCCCCTTCGGATGGCACAAATGGCACGAGATCAGATCTGGAACATCAGCAGCACCAGCAATTGTGGGTTTTATATAAGATATTTCAACCTTAAAACTGGAAGGGCTCACCAGATGCAGTGGTGCACACCTATAAACCCAGTGGCTCAGGAGGCTGAGGCAGGAGGATCGTGAGTTCAAAAGCCAGCCTCTGCAACAACGAGGCGCTAAGTAACTCAGTGAGACCCTGTCTCTAAATAAAATACAAAATAGGGCTGGGTGTGGCTCAGTGATTGAATGTCCCTGAGTTCAATTCCTGGTCCAAAAACCTGTAAGGCCTCTGGAGTCTTTTCAGTCCTTACTCTGCAGTTTGGTCGTGGTAACCATTCCATGTTTGAAATTCTTTTCTCCTGATCCCTCCTATTTTCCTCCCACCTTCTTGACCGAGCCTGCTCAGGACACCTTGCTGACTTCCTCCTTGGAACACACTCTCTTGTGGTTCCAAAAGTCACCCAAATATTCTTTGCAGTCACATTTTCATCTTGGGACATGGTCTATTGTCTATAACTATGAGATTTTGTTGGGTAATTTAATATCAGTCAATTTTGTTTCCTCCTGTGTAAATGAGGATATTGCTCATCTCATAGGGTCATGGAAATACGAAACAGAGTAGTGTGCGTAAATGTGCTTTTTAAAACGGAAGTCACTATTCTCATATCTGGCATATGCAGTTGTTACAGTGGCCCTCCAAAGTGGTGGCTTCATGGAATTAACATAGATAACATAATATAAACTCAAGACACAAGTGTTCTAGTTGCATGCACCTCCCCCCTGGTGAGTCAGAAGGCTCCTCTTGTCTTGTAGCATCTCTGGATCATCACTGGGAGGACCAATCACCACCTGACCAGAGCACAGAACACTCAGGCAGTTTGTGCTGATTGGTGGATTCCAGCTGAACAAAAAGGTCTCCTATTTTCACAGCAGGAGGCCCTTGAGGAACCGGTAGATAGCCTGGCTTCCGACTTGACTTTTGTCAGTTGGAGACCTGAGCCTGACCACACTTCCTGCCTTGGCTTCTGTGGCATAGCTCTGTATCGTCAGTGCATTCTGGGTTTGGTTTAACTAGTGACAAAATAGAGTCAGGGAGATTTGCCTCCAGGGCATTATTTGGCAATGTCTGGAGACATCTTTGATTGTCAGGAAGAGCCAAAGGGTGGGGGTTGGGGGAGGATAGAATATGTGGTGGGGGTACTACTGTCATCTAGTGGGTGGAAGTCAGGCAGGCTCCTAAATTATCTAAGACACACAGGATGTCCCCCTCCCCCAAGGAAGACTTATCCAGTCCAAAATTTCCACAGTGCCTTGGGTAATCTGAGGGTATTGTATTCTACCATCCTAACCCTTTTTGTTCCAGCCACACGCTGAGGAGTCCTTTAGCATGTCAATATAATTAGAGCAGTGATCCACATTAGCAAAACTAGGGTGATTCCCTCCTGGGAGTCACCTTTGCCTTCCCTGGGGCAGAGCTAAAACCAGAAACCTCCAGGGAGACAGCTGGGACCCTAGGGGAAAGGGCAGATTAGCAGAGAAGGCAAGAAGAGAGAGGCAGAAGTTTCTCCTCCCCACACATTAAAGGCTGCCTCTGTATAAGGAAGAAGATTCCTTCCCCCAACTCAGTAGATTCAAGGTCTGTAGCTGATAAACGGGGGTTTCTTTCTGGCAATGTGCTTGACATGGCAGATGGGGCATAAGAAAGAGAATTTAGAAGTGCAATTCATCTTGTTTGTCCATGGGTGAAATAAATTGTCCCCACTGGTTGTTTATTCCACCATTATAGTAAAATTTTTTTTTTTTTTCACTCTGGCCCTCCCAGGCTCACCTGTCTAGCCGACCACTGTGCTCCAGCAGAGACGTTATAAAGGCAGGAGGTGGTTGGTCCATTTTGTCCCTGGGTGATGCAAATTCAAAGTGAACGGGCCTCAGATATAAATGGAACTCTTCAAACCCCATCTCCTCAGCCAATTCCTTATAGTGCCTAAAAGAAAAGGAGAGCCAAGGCCATGTGTTAATATTTTCTCCTGAAGGAAAGTAATCATAATAAAACCAAGACACTTAAAAAAGCACAAAAGCAAAAAAATCAAACAAAAGTTGGCCAAATACAGTGTGGGAAGTGAATGAGCCCCCCCCCCCCCCCCAGGCCTTGCGTTCTGCTCTTGCTGTGACCACTGCGGGCTGCAGAACACAGTCAAAGTAGAAGGAGATGCACTTGGGCACTTCCACCACTCTCATTTCCTCCAGGTTGGTTTCTGTCCCCAGAGCCCTCACGAGGTCACCAATGTCACTCCCCATTCAACATTCACCATTTTCTCGCGGTGCATTTCCTGGCTGGCCTCTCTACCCTGTCCTTGAAGAAAACATCTGTGCTGTCCCAGATCCAAGATCACTATGCTCCTGCTCCTGCCCAATCTTTCTCATTTTCAAATTCTGGTGTTTCCTGAGTTCTAGACCTGACCTTCTTCTCATTTACTGCATCCCCTCCTTGAGCCGACTATCCAACCCCAGGCCCTAACATCACCCCCTCTTGTAAGACTCTGTGACTCCCATGTCTAACTTGACTCAACTCTCAGCCCCAGTCCCAGGTTTCCATGGCTTGCAGTGTGGCAGATGCCAGGTGGCCCTCTGGCATCTCAGCCTTACATGTCTACAATGTTCTCCCAGTCTCCACACCCCTGTTCTCACACATTTCTCATCTTGAGAAGTTGATGCAGGAAGTTCAATTGGCACCTGTGTCAGTTTGCTCAGGTTGCTGTAACGAAGTGCCACAGAAACACACAAAGTGCTTAGTAGCTTAAACAACAGAAATATATTGTCTCAGAGTTCTGGAGAATAAATGTCTGAGATCAAGGGGGACAGTGGAATGAACCTGGCACAACCTTCTGATGTACATACATGAATACACCACAATCAATCTCCATATTATGTACAACCACAAGACTGGGATTCCAATTAGAATAAGATGTACTCCATGTTTGTAAAAATATGTCAAAATACATTCTACTGACATGTATATCTAAGCAGAACAAATTTTTAAAAAGAAAGAAAAAAATGGAGTTCATATGAGTATATAACTCTACATCATGTACAACCACAAAAATGGGAAGTTATACTCCGTGTATGTATAACATGCCAAAACACACTCTACTGTCATTTATATATATATATTAATTGTTTTAAAAAGATGCCTGGCAAGGTGGTGCATGTCTGTAATCCCAGCTTGGGAGGCTGAGGCAGGAGGATCATGAGTTCAAAAGCCAGCCTCAGCAACTTAGCAAGGACCTAAGCAATTCAGTGAGACTCTGTCTCTAAATAAAATATTTTTTAAAAGGGCTGGGGATGTGGTTCTGTGGTTAAGCACCTATGGGTTCAATTCCTGGTCCCCCCCCCCCCCAAAAAAAAAGGCCCTCATCAGATGCAGATGTAGCCTCTCAACCTTGGACTTCCCAACCTCCAGAACCAGGAGAAATAAATCTCCATTCTTTATAAATTCCCAAGTCTCAGACATTCTGTTATAGCAGCACAAAACAGACGAAGGGACCAGGTAATGGGATATCATGGTAAACAATGTGGACAGGGCTTTTTGCATTCAGGGAACAGATGCTAGCAGAAAAACTGGTAAACCAGTATTAAACATCAATTAAAAAGTCATGTGCTATGGATGGGTGCGGTGGCGCATGCCTGTAATCCCAGCAGCTTGGGAGGCTGAGGCAGGAGGATCGTGAGTTCAAAGCCAGCCCAGCCTCAGCAACTGTGAGGCCCTAAGCAACTCAGTGAGACCCTGTCTCTAAATAAAATACAAAATAGGGCTAGAACATGCTAGGTGATCACTTTAGCCAATTAGAACACTCATTCTGGGGCAAGGCTTATAGATGGGGAGGCCCGGGCCTGTCATTTATTCCCCTCGTTTTGCTGTAATGCTCACGTTTCACCTGGCTCCTTGGTCCCCCTACTAACCGAGCTAGGTGTGCACTCTCAAGACTCATTGCGATCAGACGGTGGCGGAGGGTCAGGAGTTCCAGAAGTTTGGAAAATGTCTCCAGGAGCAGCATGTGAGGATGTTGGCCCTGTTTCTGTCCTTCGTCTGTTGCGGATGTGAGTGCAAGCAGGCCTGTCTCTTCCACGAGAAAGGGATCTCCCATCACTCTAGCTGAAAACAGCTGAAAGAATGCAAAGTACCTTTCAAAACACACACACAAAAAAAGACTTCATTTTTTTTTTTTTGAAATGCTGTCATTGCATGGACTCTGGGTCCAGATTTCCTGAGCTCAAGTCCCAGCCCTGATACCATCTCTGTAAAGTAGGGATAAAAATAATAACAATATCTACTAGTTACTACCAGATAATAACTACCTAATAGAGCTGTGTTAATGTATACAAAGACATTTGTCGTTATCATTATTATAAATGTTTTCAGTCTAAATAAAGACAACAATAATATAAATAGAAAAATAAGTCCCTGATCTTAAAAATTATTTTGGTGGCCAATAATTTTTTATAAATCCCTCTAATTGCAGTTTCAAAATTTCAAGTATTTACACACATATTAACTCATTTTTATTTTTGCCAGACACTCTCCCGCCCCAGGAATTAGGCACCACAGACACCATTATCCACCTTTGCCAACAAGGAATCAACAACATTGACAGCACTCATACACGTTGGCATCCAATTCTCTAGTTGCATATTTTTCCCATGTATGGAGCCTGTCACTTGATGTCTTACCATAATCTAGTGCTTATAATTAAAACATAACTCAGTAATCTCTCTCTTCTCCTCCCCTCTATACCAGGCCCAGGGTATCTGGAGTAAACTGAGCTTCCTAATGCCGTGTCCAACAGTTTGACAAGACACCCAACTGTCCTCACAGGACTCCTTCCCCATACTTAGAGCTTGCCATAGGTAATCTGTGAAGTAACAAAATGTCCTTTAATGCCATGTGGTACCTCCCTCATGGGTAACTCTGCTCTGACATCTTTGTTGTCCCCTAAGGTACCACCCCCAACAAGGACTAAGTTTGGGGACTCTCTATCTGCCTTTCCTGGTTTGGTCCCCCAAGGTACACTAGCTTCCTCATCTACCCACTTATCTGCCAAAGGATGTTGTACTCAGGATGTCTTTCCTAGACCCTTGATGTCCTTTAACAGGATACCAAAGAAGTATTAAATTCTTGTATGTCTTCTAGGCGTAATACTTCCCACATTTTTTAACCTAATACAAAAAATCTGGCTGAATATTTAGCATTTCTAACTACAGATTTGAACACATTTCAAAAATGATTATTAAGGGCTGGGGGTGTCACTCAGAAGGTAGAGCACTTGCCTACCATTTGCAAGGCCCTGGGTTCAGTCCCTGGTACCAAAAATAATAATGATGATAATAATAATAATAATAAGGTATCAATAGGAGACTAGACAAATATCCCAGATATTCATTATGATTTATAAGAAAATTTCAAATATATTTTAAAAACACAGCACCATAAGACAATGTAGAAAGAATCTTCAGTAAATGATAGTAAAATAAATGGCTGATAGTTTGAAGAAAAACTCAATTTTGATTCATACTTTACACACACACACACACACACACACACACACACTTGAGTGAAATAGTAAAGGAGTTAAATATTTTAAAAACAAAAGCAAACCTGTAAAATTAGAATAAAATAAGAAAATTTGAAACATCTGGAGAAAGATTTTCTCACTGCATCTAGAAGGATAGAGGAAATCACAAAGGAAATGATCAACAGATTTGACTAAATGAAAATAAAATTTTTCTGTTAACAGACAAATGGGGGAAATATTTGCAGAAAATATGATAGACATATGATAGAAAAGCTCATGTAAGTGGATAGGAATGGCATTAGGATTCCAACAGAAAAATGAACAAAGAACAGAAATGTTGCAAAGATTATAACTAATAACCAAACATTTGCAAAAATAATCTCAATAAATAGCAATGTAAATTAAAATCATATTGTCACTATACGTTTAGGTTAGATGAGCACATGCATTGCGTGTTTTCACCAAATCCGGCCCTCTGTTGGTAGCAACATAAGTTGGCACAGCTCTTTCAGGAAATAATCTGCCAATTTGCGTCCAAAGATTTAAATTTCATTTCAGCAATTCCACTTCCAAGAATCTATCAAAGGAATCAGTTCAAAATTCGGAAAAATCCCTAAGCATAAAGATGTACTTCTTGGTGTTTTTAATAATGATGAAAAACTGGAAGCCACTCAAATGCCCATCAGTAGGGAAATGGGTAGAGTGGTCATAATTCATTACATAAGAGAATGATGTGGTCATAAAGGTGAGTGAAAAGACTAGTTAGTAACACGGGAAAATATATAGTATAATATTCACTAAGAAAAATAGAAGATAACAGTGTATGAAAGATATGTTTGTAACTATGTCAAACAGGCATGTGAAAAATACATGAACTCAGAAAAATATTGAGTGTATTTGAGTGGTTAAATTTTGTTTTCCCTCTTTTGCTAAATTCTCTTTAATTTTATATTATTTTATTTTATTATTTTATATTATCTAATAAATTTTAAATCACATCAAGTCTTAGTTTGGGAGGGGGAGGATAAGAAGATAAGACAGAAACATGGAGCAGATGTTTTTCTATCATATAGCAAGTGCCCCACAGAGTAACGTCAAATTGGAAACCCAGGCTCAATCTTGATAGACTTAGTAGAAAAGAAAAGAAAGAAAGAAAGAAAGAGGATTAAAATTCAACTAAGGATACCATATAAATCATTAGGCCACAGTTAGAATCACTGGGCATCAGAAAAAAGGACTTTCAAGGTCATCAAGCTTACCTCTGTTAATTTCTCCCCAAATATACAAACATAAAATTTCAAGAAAAGTAGGGCTCAGAAAGGCTAAAATAGTTGCCCAGACTCAGCAGGTTAATGGTAGGATTCAATGGGGAAGTCCAAAAACTTAGTATTCTGTCTCCTCCACCAGAATTTGACTCAAGACAAACAGAGCAAATTCTAAGAAGAGTCTTAGAAGAAAATATGTAATTTTTAATAAAAACATGTTTTGTTGTAAATAATAAACCGGAAAATATTTTCCCATACCTACATAATCTCCATTTTAATTTTAATTGTAGCAGCAGTCTTATAAACTAGAAACTTAGACCAAAAAAAGAAAAATCACATAAAATTATTGGCAAGGCCTAGCACTGTGATCTATCTCTGGCCAAAAAGAAGGGTATAGAGCCAAGCAGAAAAACAGAGCTAAACAGTAACATCTGGAAGGAAGTGTTCTCTTGCCAAGAACCCAAACTACCCCCTGCAGAAGGAACCCACATCTTTCTGGAGCTGTTCGCTGTACCAATTCTCGGGCTTGGTTGGCGCGAGCCACAGGTTCAGAGCCAGTTGCAGGATGTGTCGCTCCAGCGAGGCGAGGCCACTGGGTGATGTGGGCCTGCAGGTGCGGCAGGCCTCACTGAACAGGTGCTCCAGGGCTTTGGGGACCAACCCTGCCAGGCCCAGGGAAGGGTGGAACTCCAACAAATAAATGTTTTTCAAATCTGGGCTTAAAGAGAGAAAAATTGAATGGTAATCTTATGCAACAAAGATATTTGAATTTTAGATTTTTAAAGACCAATGATATAGCTTCTATAGATCCAGAGCATTGTAAAGAACTAGGAATCCAGAGGGACCTCAGAGGCCATCCAGGGTTACATATATTTTCTTTGCTTTAACAGAGACCCTTTAAAAGGGAAATAAATAGGCATGTATTCTAAAAGCTCTAAAAGAGTAAGATTATATATGATCCTGGTGCTGTTTTGTGCACTGATAGTCCCAGGACTTGGAAGGCTGAGGAAGGAGGATCACTTGAATCCAGGAGTGCAAAACCAGCCTGGCCTATACATAGTGAAAGCCATCTCAAAATAAAAGATATCAAAATTGTCAGCCATTCAGTCATCAATATCTAGTCAGATATCTGAAAACAAAATAAAATTTAAAAATAATTTTCATGGTTATAAGTTTCTCTTTTTCACTTGAATTTTTATCTTCCCCTGCCAAAAATGTTAATGGACAAAGACAATTTTAAACTTTTGTATTCAACTGCTGGAATTATTCATACTTGTGGCAAGAATGTTATATTTCAGAAACAGAGGCCAGAAACAATAAAATGCTTATCTGTGAGTTATTACTACTTTGGAAATAAAGGCTCTAGTACAAGACATTTACATAGAACCGAAGGACATAAATGTTTCCCTTTAAACTCATGCAAATGGAATTCTCCTTAGTCCTGGATCTTAAAAAAGACAGCCCCAAATCCAGAAAGGATCCTCATCAGACAAGTAACATTTGCATCTGAGACGATTCTGACAGGTTTTAGTATCCATATAACCTTAGCCAAAAATCATTTCCTGAATGGTAGATTCTCACCATAGCAAGCTGTATACACAGCTGGAGTCTCAAGTTCATTACAGTGAAGATATCAGTCCTGAAAAAGTACTAGGGAGAAAAGGCAGAGTTTTGCATCCGAAGCTCCCAGCTGTTTCTGAAGAAATGAGGTTAGAATCTCAGCTATTAATTCCCTCGGTACTGTGCCTGTGCCCAAGATGATACCATAGCCCATTATGGCAATTTCTTACATAAACTCTGTCATTCCTATAGACACCTCCCAGGAGCCTAGGGCTATGCCTGTGCTCACAGCTGTGTCCCCAGCTCCTGGCACACTGCCTGGTGCAACAAGTCTTTGTTGGATGTTGAGAGAAGCTAGACAATTTCTCCACCCATTTGAAGGCAGTGGAGAGACTTTGATCTATGAATATACAGGTCAACTTGTGACTTGCCACCCAGTTCCCTTTACCCTCAAAGACTGGAGGGCAGGAGGAGAGAGGGAAGAGTCATAGGGAGGAGGAGACAGAATGTGCACCCTCTCTGAGTAGTCTCAGGAAACTGAACTCTGCCTTAGTGAGTTCGCCATAAATGTTGGCAAGGATGTGGGGGAAAAGATTGACTTATACATTGCTGGTGGGACTGAAGTTGGTGCAACTACTCTGGAAAGCAGTATGGAGATTCCTCAGAAAACTTGGAATGGACTCACCATTTGACCTGGTTATTCCACTCCTTGGTATATACCCAAAGGACTTAAAATCAGCATCCTACAGTGACACAGCCACATCAATGTTTATAGCAGCTCTATTTATTTATTTATTTATTTATTTATTTGGTCCTCAGTATTGAACTCAGGGGCACTCAACCACTGAGCCACATCCCCAGGGTCTCACTGATTTGCCAAGCACCTCGCCATTGCTGAGGTTGGTTTTGAACTTGCGATCCTCCTGACTCAGCCTCCTGAACTGTTGGGATTACAGGCATGCACCACCGCACCCAGCTATAGCAGCTCAATTTAGAATAGCCAAACTATGAAACCAACAACCTAGGTGCCCTTCAACAGATGAATGGATTAAGAAAATGTGGTATATATACACAACGGAATATTACTCAGCCATAAAGAGGAATGAAATTATGGCATTTACCAGTAAATGGTTGGAACTGAAGCTATCCTGCTAAATGAAATAAGTCAATCCCCCAAAAACAAAGGCCAAATGTTCTCTCTGATATTTAGATGTGCTGACATACAATAAGGGGAGGAGGGAAGAATACAAATTCAGTGGATTAGATAGAGGGGAATGAAGGAAAGGGAGGGGAGATGAGAATAGGAAATATAGTAGAATGAATTGGACATAACTTTCCTATGTTAATATATGAATATATGACTAGTGTAACTCCACACCATGTACAACTGCAAGAATGGGGAGTTATACTCCATGTATGTATAATATGTGAAAATATATTCTATTGTCATGTATATCTAAAAAGAAGAAATAATTTTTTTTTAAATGGGGTAAGTTCAGAGGTCTCTGCAGTGACACTTGTTAGAAGAGAAAAATTCCTTTTGAAAAACTTTCAAGCACATCCAAGTCAGATATGTAGGCTTATGTGCATTTCAAAAGCAGCTGCCTTTTCCCAAGGACTTTACAAGGGAATGGTGATTCTGTACCTAGTGACCTGCTTAAATCCCAGCCACCTAGTCTTTATTATTTACAAAGCAAAGGGACATTCAATATTCAAGGGAATACCTCTTCTGTGGCTTTTAGACATATATTTCTCATCTCCTCAAATACCTGAGAGGTGCTTCCTAGAGGAGTAGATTTAACATTATGCCCTTCATTAATCTACATTAAATGCAAAATGTAAAGACAACACCAACTTACCAGCTGTTGTTGATGGAAATAAGTTGCTTACAAATGATGTTAAGGGGAAGTCCAAATTTTTTGCGATCATCTGGATGATCATCTCGCCAGAGCCTCTGTAAGTACTCCCGCTGGCACTCCATCTAAAATGTAGCGGCGTAAAGTGCCACAATGAGAAGAGTTAGACTTTCCTGTGGATGTGAGTTATGAGCCTTCACAGGAGAAGAACATCATCCTTTTGTGTCTCTTTATCATTTGACTAATTTTCATCCTGACATTATGAAGACTCATTGCGATGAGACATACTGGTCTCTCTGTCCAAGCCAAGGAAAGCACAAGCAACCATGGTTCAGAGGCAAAAGAAAAACTTCTTTAGGTCAAATATTTCACAATTTGGAAAAAATTCTACCCTTTGTTTCCTGCTTGCTTCATTCCCAGCTTTTCCCTAGAGGATGTACAATGGGATCATATCTTTTGGTGTCCTAAAAATAGTCACAAAAATTTTAAATAGACACCATATTATATGTCTTGAAAAAGATGTATCATTAGTTATTTCTGTATTGATAAGCTTTATGATCTCATGAAAACTGAGGCACCCAATTAACAGTAAATAGGATTAAAGACCACCCTGTAAGACCCTAATTATGCCAGGCATTTTGGCATATGCCTATAATCCCAGTGACTAGGGAGGCTGAGGCAGAAGGATGGAAAGTTTGAGGCCAGCCTGGGCAATTTAGTGAGGCCTTAAGCAACTTAGCAAGACTGGGTCCCTCCATGCAAAAAAAAAAAAAAAAAGGCGGGGCTGGGAATGAAGCTTAGTGTTAGAGTGCTGCTGGTTTCATCCCTGGTACCGCAATAAAGAAAAAAATAAAAAAACCTGAGTTATGCTTGGAATTCAGCAATGCAAATGAGCTTACAAACAAACATGCTAGAAAGCCCAGATTCTGCACCAGCAATGAAAGGAAAACATTATCTTCTGGTTCATGTTTTCCATCCCCTTTTCATATGCAATATTTAAAACCCTACTCACCTGATGGTTAAGGAAGCCCTTTATTAGCTGCAGGTGAAGCCTCAGGCAGGTGCATTCGTCTTGGTAGGCCTTAATGAAATAAGGGTGGCCAAGATCAAACTTGGGGCGCCGATGCATAATGTCAGTCATCGCTTGTGCTAAGGCAAACCTTTCCTCAGGGTCCAACGTGTGCTGGTAGGCTTCAAAGTAACTATCAAGAAGCTAAAAATAGGTGAACAGTCAAGAAAGAGCAGAAGACCCCTATGGGCCAGCAAGAGGGGAATCTCCTCCTGGGGCTTTGGCAAGTCCCAGGGCCTCAGGAGGAGAGAACAGTTTGAACATCAGAATAGCCTGTGGCCCTGGTGTGGGCAGATGCAGCATCAACACAAGCTGGTGTAGTGAGTAAATCTGTAAACCAAGTCAGGGAGGAAAGGGAAAGAACACAGGCTCCCCTCGCCCCCTCTGATACCAGGGATTGAACTCAGGGAAGCTTAACCATTGAGCCACATCCCCAAAACTTTTAATTTTTTATTTTGAAACAGGGTCTTGCTAAGTTGCTTAGGGCTTCATTAAGTTGCTGAGTCTGGCTTTGAACAGCCCACCAGGAATCCAAGCGTTCTCTATTAAGAGATGCCCAGTGTCTGAGGACTCAATGCCAAGGCTCAAGTAGGGACAGCCTGAGGTACTTTATTTAGTGCCTGATTTTTACGAAATACTTTCTTGGGAAATATTAATCTAAGGAACTTTGGATCAGCCTCGATATGAAAAGGAAAGCCCCAAAGGAGACTAAAAACCCAGGTCATGGAAGGCACTCCACAGGCTGGAAACCCTCATATCACAAGTGTACAGAAAAAAAATGAAGGAAAATAATCCCCTTGACTCTAGGTGAGTTCAGGGAAAAATGAATGAAGCAGTGTAACGACCTAAATGACCTTGCTCCATGAACCTCAGATCAACCCTAGAATAATATTCGATTATTAAATAGCAGAAGGAAAAATAGAAATGAAGGGAGAATGACTTGATGGAGTAAGAAGGGTGTCACCCAGTCGCCCCAGGAGAGGATTAGGAAAGAAACAATGACTTGTCTAATTCATTCTGGACTAACCTGAACCCTTCTGGCTGGGTCAGGTCAATCCCAGGAGCTGGTTTAAATAGTATTGATACTTCCTTGACCTGTTTTTGGACAAAGAGCCCAGTTGTTTGGTTATTTGGCAGGAGATGCTCATAAGGAATTGTGGGGAAAGCTCTTGCTGGTGATTTTAATCTGGTGAAACCAGCTTGCTGAGGCCCACACTAATTGCACGCCATTGCTATTGATAAGGTTGTCAGATTTAGTAAATAAAAACATAAGATATGCAGTCAAATTTGAATTTCAGATAAATAATAAATACTTTTTTTAGTATAAGTATGTGCCAAATATTGCAGTATCTCATCTGATAGCCTTAGTTGTTTAAATTGATAAGTCTTCAAATTTTGAACAGCCTTGAGAAGTTCTCAGGTGGATCCTTGTATAATTTTAGTATGAATTCTTTCCCAACAGGGGTGGGACATGATTTTTTTTTTGCCTCATAGGTTCTATTTATTATCTGTTTGCTAACTGGCCCATTTCCATTTAAATCTGGGCTGGTATTTGTCTAAGAAGTCTTCCCAGCCTGTCAAATGTCACCTGTGTGTGTCAAGGGCCAACTTACTGGCAAAATAATATGCTGTACACACTGATAGTAGGCATCAAATATTGGAGAAAAATAAGAAATAGACAAAAATGAATAAACTGAACCCTTCCTGCATTTATATTATTTTTATTTCAAACTTTTTTTTTTTCTTTGTAAGATTTTTAAAAAAGTTTTAAATGTGTTTTAGATCAACTGAAAGTGCCAAAACAGAAAACCAATGCTAGGTTCAACTTATCACAGAATTCTTTATTTTCTTTTCAAAAGAATAATGCATGAAAATCTTTCAAGTGCTGCATATGCTAATTCAAATTATCTTCTGAGTGTATCTCTGGGGGACTATCGAGAGAATTAGCAGAAGATAGCATCACTTAGGAGCTAGTGCAGCAGATTTGGCTTCTCTGTGCCTTTTAATCCACTTCAATTGACACCCGTTTTAATATGATGAATCTTCATACATAAAATGGTCATTTTAAAGGTTTTAAATAACCCAATATGTTCAAGCAATTCGTAAGTAGTGACACCAATATACTTAACAATCAAAAACAGCTGGGGAAACTTGGCAGTGGAATCAGTACTGGGGGGAACCAATTGTATTCAAGATAGAAATCTGGCTTAGCCATTGAAAATGGACCCTTTGGACAGAATCTCTGGCATGGAGGCCATATTTTATAGTGTTGGCACAGATAACTCAGTTTCTATGGTGAACTTATTCTCAGGGTAGAAAGGAGGGAGATATTTTCAACAATTGTTTTAAATTAAAATAGTTTCATTTATTCTAGAAAGAACTAGTGAATAGCCCTGAGAGCTTAGCACAGAATGTACTGTAGGTAAAAGTGTGGAGATGGCTTGTTTTTCTGTCCTCTCTGCCCTTCTATTCTTCTATTGCCTTTGAATTCAAAGGAGGTTAAGAGGAATAGAAAGGGAAGGTGGGAGAGAAGAGCAAAGGAAGCGGGTGGGGCATTTAAAATGCATGCCTAGACCAATACACTTAGGGAGGTAGGAGTTCTGTCCTGTTTACATTTAATACCACCTTTCTAATTACTGCACTATGAATCTAAATTTCTCATTTACTTAGTTGATCAACATAACGTTCTAATTGGCAGTTAATGGTTGCAGACTAACTCTTACAAAGATAACAAAGTGTTATCTTTGAAAAGAAGAATATTTTTTCCCCCAAGGCTCAAGACTTGCACCTCTTAAGCCCAGCCAGTTGTTTATAAAATAAAAATAAAAATCTGGTGACTTTCATCTCCACAAGTAACAGAGCAAAAGAGTAGGTGAAATGGTGAACTATCTATTCTACTAGAAAAACAATTCAAAGAAAACACTCCACTTCCCTATCTTCAGACCACATCAAAGTGTACTGCAGTCTGGCTTCCACCCCCATAGCTCTTCTGAAAGAGTCCCACTCAGCAGCCAGTGACCCCCTGAGTGCTGACTCATTGCTGGTTTTGAGGTGCCGTCTTTCTCAATGGGCCATGGGGCTCCACACCAGCAACCATCCCCTCCTAAGTAAAACTCTTTGTTCTGCTGGTTCTCACTATACCATTTCTTCCCTGCTTTTCTCCAATCTATTTGTCTACTCCTTGTTCCATGAATTTCCCCTTGAATGTATTACTCAGGGACTCATGCAGACCACTCTAGCTTTTCCTGCTTGTATGGGTTTATTACTGGGGTTCAACTGCCACATTCACACCCCCAATTCACAACTGCTATTGAACTTCAAACCTATAGCTCCCCACAGGGCTGGGGTTGTAACTCAGTGGTAGAGCACTTGCCTAGCATGTGAAAGGCCCTGGGTTAGCTCCCCAGTACCACAAAAGAAAAAAAAAAACCAGTCTAGTCTATGGCTCCCTACAAAACACTCACACCTGGGTTTTAGCAAACCCCTCTCAAATGCCTTGTGGCCTACTCAATATTATCTTCTCCTTTAAGACCACCCTCCTTTCTCCTGTGTCCTGTTTAAGTTAAGAGCCTACTCCCTGACCCCAAGGAAGTCCTAAAACCCACCCTTACTCCTCACTCAGACCTAGTCTTCAAATTCTGCTATTTCCACGTCAAAGTTTTCTCATGTCTGCTCCTCCATTCTGTTCTCACTGCTGCATCCTCAGTAGAGGGCCTCCTCCTAATTCTTTTTTTCTGTAAATTTTTTTTATTTATATATGACAACAGAATGCATTAAAATTCTTGTTACATATATAGAGCACGATTTTTTTACATCTCTGGTTCTATACATAGTATATTCACACCAATTCATGTCTTCATACATGTTCTTTGGATAATAATGATCATCACATTCCACCATCATTTCTAACCCCATGCCCACTCCCTTCCCCTCCCACCCCTCTCTGCCCCATCTAGAGTTCATCTATTCCTCCCATGCTCCCTCTCCCTATCCCACTATGAATCAGTCTCCTTATATCAGAGAAAACATTCGGCATTTGGTTTTTTGGGATAGGCTAACTTTGCTTAGCATTTTCTTCTCCAACGCCATCCATTTACCTGCAAATGCCATGATTTTATTCACTTTTATTGCTGAGTGATATTCCATTGTGTATATATGTCACATTTTTTAATCCATTCATCTTATTGAAGGGCTTCTATATTGGTTCCACTGTTTAGCTATTGTGAATTGCGCTGCTATAAACATTGATGTGGCTGTGTCCCTGTAGTATGCTGTTTTTAAGTCCTTTGGGTATAGACCGAGGAGAGGGACAGCTGGGCCAAATGGTGGTTCCATTCCCAATTTTCCAAGAAACCTCCATATTGCTTTCCATATTGGCTGCAACAATTTGCAGTCCCACCAGCAATGTATGAGTGTACCTTTTCCCCACATCCTCACCAACACTTATTGTTGTTTGTATGCATAATAGCTGCCATTGTGAATGGAGTGAGATGAAATCTTAGAGTGGTTTTGATTTGCATTTCTCTAATCACTAGTGATGATGAACATTTTTTCATGTATTTGTTAATTGATTGTATATCATCTTCTGAGAAGTGTCTCTTCGGGTCCTTGACCCATTTATTGATTGGGTTATTTGGTTTTTTTTTTGGTGTTTAGCTTTTTGAGTTCTTTATGTACCCTATTGATTAGTGCTCTATCTGATGTGTGAGGGGGAAAGATTTGCTCCCAAGATGTAGCTCTCTATTCACCTCACAGATTGTTTCCTTTCTTGAGAAGAAGCTTTTTAGTTTGAGTCCATCCCACTTATTGATTCTGGATTTTAATTCTTGTGCCACACCTCCTCCTAATTCTTTAGGTCACCATTGTAATAACCTCCCCCCCCCCCCCCAAGGACTTTCTGTTTCTGTCATGAACAAAGCATGATCATGCTGTCAGCTTTGGAAGTTCATCATTGATGGCTCTTCTTTGCTTTTATGATAAACTTTTATTTTATTTTTTTATACTGGGGATTGAACCCAGGGGCACATGACCACTGAGCTACATCCCCAGCCCTTTTTATTTTTATTTTGTGACAGGGTCTTGCTAGGCTGGCCTCAACTTGCCATCTTCTTGTCTCAGCTTCCTAAATCACTGGGATTAGAGGGGTGGGCCACCATGCCTGCCTTAAACTTTAAAATGGCATGACTCTCAGGCTCTTCACAGTCTGCACCCAAAACATGTTTAGAAGGTTTCCCAACATGCCATAGCATTCTACCTTGGGTTCTAATGAGCCAATCCCACATTACAACTCCCTGGCATTATAAGTGCTGTTTCATCTGCTTAAGAATCTTTTTCTTTCCTCTGCTGGACAACATCTTATTCATAATTTAGTAATAAGGTTAAATGTCTGTTCTTCTGGGAAGACTTCCTAGCATTTCCTCCATTCTGACAGCCACCACATAAGATAGATCTCTCCCTCTAACCGGGGGCCCAGTGTTACATGTCCTTAATGCCACGAACAGTATCTGGCAGAAGAAAAACTTAATGTTTGAAGGATAAACTCCTAACAATTGGTGATTATCAAAAGAACTATTAATTCAAGCTAAGGACACAAATGAAGAGCAGAATATCTGCAGTGTTCCATTTATTATTGAGATAGGAGCCATTAATGATATGGTTAATGGTTTAGTAGCTTGCTATTTCACTGCTTTAAACTCCACCCCATAACTTAATGCACTCAGCACTCCTTGCCCAATGGCAGTCACCCACCCTCAAGTGGCATATACTTCTAAAGGCCATGATTGGGTCAGTCAGTTTATCTTGTATTTAGCAAAGTGAGCTTGTCCCTATGACTAGATAATGAGTGTCAGAGGAATCATCATTCATTCTCACTAAAAGTATACATATTATTAGAAAGACCTAAATTATAAAGGCTTCTAACAAATTATGCCTCAAGATAAAGTGTTCTTGCCTGGTGTAGTGGCGCAGGACTATAATCCCAGAGGCTCAGGAGGCTGAGGCAGGAGGATTGTGAGTTCAAAGCCAGGCTCAGCAAAATCAAGGCACTAAGCAACTCAGTGAGACCCTGTCTCTAAATAGAATTCAAAAGAGCTGGGGATGTAGCTCAGTGGTCAAGTACCCCTAAATTCAAACCCCAATAACCCAAAAAAAAAAAAAAAAAAAAAAGTAAAATAAAAAAATAAAGTGTTCTTCACATTTTATTTTTGTGACAAAGAACCAAAGAAAATTTTACTACCCATATTCTTATGATTTGCTGAGATTATTTACATAAAAATATTTGCTTTATTGAAAACTTGACTAAAAGTCCCAGTGGGTTCAGAAGAAGAAGGAAAAGGAGGAGAGGAAGGGGGAGGGAGAAGGGGAGGGGGAGGGAGAGAGGAGGGAGGAGGAAAGAGGAGGGTGAAGGGAAGGAGGGAGGGAGGGAAGAAGGAAGAGAAGAGAAAAAGAGAAGGAGGGAAGAAAACAACTGAGTTTTATAAGAATGATTTTTAACAGATGCTTTATTTTTGGGAAAAATACCTGACGTTTGTTTTCTAGGAGAGCTGCTTCCCATGTCCATATGTCATACAGAACAGCAAATCTGTCCACACCTGCATGGGTCCATCTCCAATCCTGGCCACTCTTTGACTTGCTGCCCTCTTTGAGACCTGGGAGAGGGGGTGGGAATGATTAGAACCAGGACTTTCAAAGAAGCTGTTTCTATTAGAAGCGCGCTTTTGGATTACCAGCTGCCTCGCAGAACTGGTCATACTGAACCAGTCATTGGGATTCTTAAAAATGAACTAAAGAACCATTGGCAAAGATGAGGCCCTGAAGTCATACTTGTTGACTTCTAATTTGACAGGAGTTTTGAGTTTTACTTTCTGATTTTAAAGAGTAATTTTAGAAATAGAAAAAAAAAATTCAGTTATGCTCAGTTATATATATTAAAGGCAGAACATACATTTTTCCTTTTATAAAGACTTGGTGATTAACAAATTCAGTTTAATGTTAGCTAAATCAAAAACTTTCAGGGAGTGTTTTCAAGGTATTCCTTAATTATGTTAACTACTAACTTAGGTCCATAAAGTTAATTATTGTCATTATTGAGCTAAAATATTTACACTATGTCGATGTTAGTTTTCACTACCAGTATTGTTATTGCTTTAAAATTTTAAGTGGCCTCGTTCAGGAGAAATGTTAGAAGGGAAGAAATTTTCAGTGCTGAAGTCTAAATTGAATAGTTATCAAGTATATGATGGGTACTTAGCAAGATAAAGACTTTGATCAGGAATTTCTCTAAGACCTGTTGGGAAATCACTTCATAATTGGTGACTATACACTTCAAAGCTCAGTTGAAAGATACCAATGGGTAAATGACTACTGACTAAGTGTTTCGATCAAATTAAATCTTTAGCAGCTAGAAACAGTTGCATGGTATTATAAATTCATATGGACAAAAATGATGCATTAATATATAGGATAGCCTGTAAAGTTAAAAGCTGAGCGTTGAAATTAAATGCTCTGGAATGTTGGATGATGCTATCACTGTGCCCCATGATTCAGATACCAATGGTTGTGACAAGGATGGGGCATAGAGTTCAACCCTTTGTTAAACTGATTCTGTCTGGGATCTGAGAAGTTAGTTGTCAAACATTCTTCAAGCAGCATTTTATAACTATATGAACATGAATTATCCTTAATTACAGTCTGCACACATTACAAAATAACATAAACCCTTGCTAAATTTCCCTGTAGGTGTTGCAATGTGTCTAGAAACTCTAAGCTCTTTCTTTCCAGATGTAATGCTAGTGCTATCATATTATTCCAAAAGAAATACTCTTACCTCATCTACTTCTAAAATTGGAAAGGAAGAGAGAATACAGATTATGGGTTACTTGATTAACCTGAGTAATGATTCCTCCCTCTGGAGCTTGTCTGGCATTTTCCTAGCCAGATCTTCTTGCATCCTGGTGGTTTCCTGTTAGGAACCCTGGGATGTCTCTGCTTCTAAATGCAGTTTCCTCAAGGTCAGTTGCTTAGGGGAAAAAGGTGTTCATTTCACTTGTTTTCATTCTGCTTCCTTCAGGTCTCAGCACCATATCCGGGGCCCCCAGTAGGTGACACTGAAATGTCCCTGGGCCACAGAGTCTAAGCAACAGCAAGAGTTACAACTGAGCCCTGAAAAAGGAGGCACAGTCTCCATCAGAAAGGGAGACAGAGCAGGAAACACTATCTTTTCTAAAGTGAGCATGTGTTGGGTGTAAGGGGCGGGGTACGTGCTTACTGAATGCTTAGACACCATTAAATATGAGTTTATATGTTGGGATGGAGAGCATTAATTAGGGTCTTTAGGTGTTTTTATTTATTTATTCTATTTGGCCAGTTGATTGATTGATTGATTGATTATCAGGGATTGAACACAGGGACTCAACTACTAAAGCCATCATCCCCAGCCCTTTTTATTTTTTTATTTTTTATTTTGAGACAGGCTCTCACTAAGTTGCTCAGGGCCTTGCTGAGTTGCTGAGGCTGGCTAGGAGCTCGATATCCTCCTACCTCAGTCTCCCAAGCTGCTGGGATTATGGGCATGCACCACCATGCCTGGCGTGGCAGTGGATTTTTTTTTTTTTTTTTTTTTTAATGTGCCTTCTTACCTTTTTCTTTCTCAATGTAATGGCTGGCCACAAGCAGCAGCTCTGCCTCGAGTTCCTCCAGATCCCTTAAGGCTTCGTCGTACATAATATGCACCCCTTGCTGGTCCCGGGTGTGGATACTGCCGTCTTCTGTGCTGTAATAGTAATCCTCATACTCCACTTCGGAGAACTCCATGAACTGAACACTGTGGACCTGGGGAAAGAAAGCCAAGCCCAGAAGTTCCTGGAAAAAGGGGGAGCTATATTTTGCCAGTCCAAATGGACCAACCAGAAGGTCTCTACTCCTACACATGGGCTGTTAGCCTGGAGCTGCAAACATTCTGAATGTATAAAAAGCTGTATGCAGATAAAAATGTGTGGACAACAAATGTTTATGGGGAGAGGTGGTTGCTAAGGCAGGTAACTAGCTGATTAATTCATTTTTTTTCTGATAAATTTAAGAGCAACTGGACAAGGGCAGCCACTTGAGCCTAGTGTTAGAAGTGGTCTCTAGAGGCTGGGCGCAGTGGTGCATGCCTGTAATTACAGGGACTTGGGAGGCTAATGTAGGAGGATTGCAAGTTCAAGATCAGCCTGGGCAACTTAGTGAGACCCCCATCTCAAATTTAAAAAAGGGGGGGTGGGCGGGGACTGGGAATGTAGCTAAGTGGTAGAATGCTCCAGGTCTGGGGTTCAATTCCAAGAAAACACACACACACACACACACATACACACAATCTCTGAAGTCAAAGTGCCTCTTTTAGGTCCTGGCTTTGCCAGGATCATACCCTGGGCCGTCACTCAGTTTATTTTAGCCCCCACAACTATTGTAGTTGACAATCATAGTGTAGTGACACTACACAATCAAGGTACTTGGAATCTATAAATGCCAGCTGTTAATACATTTTGTTTTAATTGTATAAAAAACCTTTTAAATGAATTAGCACAATCTCATGTCTTAGTGATATACTGGGTTGAATAGTGTCCCTCCAAATTCATGTCCACCTGTAAATGAGACCTTATGTGGAAAAATAGCCTTTGCAAATATAATCGAGTTAAAATGAGATCATACTGGATTAGGGTGGGATACCAATAAATAGTGTCCTTATAAAACAAGGGACATTTGGAAGACAGACTTTTAGGGGAGATGACCACATGAAGACATTAGCACAATTCACCAGGTCAAGGAGGGCCAAGGAGTGGCAAGCACAGACAGCAACTACCAGAAGCTGGAAGAGATAAGGAAGGAAACTCCAGAGCCTTCCATGAAAGCATGGTCCTGCCTTATTGATATTAATATTTTACACTTATTTGTGCTATTTTGGGCCAATATTTGTCTCACCCACTGGACTATAAAATACTAAAAGATTCAGTAACGTGTCTACTTTTGTTTATCATTGTATTCCCATTGCTTTAGCAGAGACTACCACATAGTAGGCACTTAGACAATACTTGTTAAATAAAAGAGTAGATCAATGTACACATTTTAAAAATATTTTTACACATAGGTTTCTTCAAGTCTAGGCTTTTTATGATCTCTGCTTGTACTTTAAAAATATATCAGTCAAAAAATATATCAATCAAAAATTCTGGGCTTTATTCTTATAAATTCTGACTTTATGCCACTCTACCCTGATACATCATTCTCTATGAGGGTTATCATGATCAGGGTTCTTAGGTGACAAAAATAAAATCTTATTCTCTTTATATATAAAGCATAGATAGATGTATCATACATAAACAAACATATGGTATGTTTCTGGTATTAACGTTTTTTGGAGAATGGTGATTAGGGGGAAAATGTCTAAAAAGAGTATTTGTGGGGGGATCCATTATGAAAGAGAGGTTAAGAAACATAGGCCCATGTTTTATAAATTACACACACACACACACACACAAAAATATATATATATGTAAAATACATAGAGCATAAAATTTACCGTCTTAATATTTTTTAATATATTGTTTTAGTTGTAGATGGACACAAAACCTTTATTTTGTTTATTTATGTGGTGCTGAGAATCTAACCCAGTGCCTCACACGTTAGGCAAGTGTTTTATCACTGACCCACAGCCCCAGCCCCATCTTAACATTTTTAAGTGTGCAATTCAATGGCAGTAAATGCATTCATACAGATGTGCAACCACCATCATCTTGAAAAACCTGTATTCACTAAACAAAACTTCCCACCCTCCTCCCCCAAGCCCCTGAGAACCACCATTCCACTCTGTTTCTATGAATTTGACTACTCAAGCATCTCACTTGTATAAATAGACTTGGCAGTATTTATCCTTTTGTGATTGGTTTGTTTTACTGAGTACAGTGTTCTCAAGGTTCATTCATGTTGTAGCACATCAGAATTTCGTTCCTGTTTAAAGCTGAATTATATTCCATAGTATATATAAGTTACATATTGTTTATTCATTCATTCATTGATGAATACTTGGGAGTATTTCCAATTTTTGGCTATTTTAAATAATACTGCTATGCGGGGTGTGGTGGTACATGCCTATAATCCCAGCAGCTCGGAGGCTGAGGCAGGAGGATCGTGAGTTCAAAGGCAGCCTCAGCAAAAAGTGAGATGCTAAGCAACTCAGTGAGAACTTGTCTCTAAATAAAATACAAAATAGGGCTGAGGATGTAGCTCAGTGGCTGAGTGCTCCTGAGTTCAATCCCAGTACTAAAATAATAATAATAAAAAGAAGAATAAGAATGTGAATATGAATATAGGTGTACAAATATCTGTTTGAATTCCAGCTTTCAATTCTTTTGACTATATAACCAGAAGTAGAATTTCTGGATCATATTGTAATTCTATTTTTAATTTTTTGAGGAACCTCCAGATTGTTTTCCACAATAGTTACGCCATTTCACATTTTAACCAATAGTGCACAACCTTCTAATTTGTCCACATCCTGGTCAATTCTTATTAATTTTAGAGAGTTGGTTGGTTGGTTGGTTTTGTGTCACTAGAGATCATTTAAGCCAGGGCTTTGTACATGTTAGCAAGTTCTCTCATTGAGCTATATCCCCAACCTTTTTTTTTTTTTTTATCCCCAGACCTTTATTATTTTGAGACAGAGTCTTAAAGCAAGTGCTCACATCCATGTCTGGCTCTTTTCAGGATTTTTTAGTATCCATTTTATATTTTAAAAAAATAAATAACTTGATTTTCTAAGTGTCATTCATGAGTCATTTAAACTATAAAACCAGTTCTCCCAACTTTTGGTCCCAAGCCTATTTATTCTTATGACATAAAAACTTTGCTAAAGAATCAATTGTTGGATATAATGTAAGAATCTATACATTTTAAGCAGTAATACTTTGGTTCTCCATTGATCTGTCAATGGATTTATACATACAGTGTTGTCTATTATACAAATACAGGAACCCTTCTGGAAACATCACAAACAGGGCAGATTATTCTTGGCTTAGATGGTTAACTTCCGATATCGGAAAGAGGGACAAGGGCTCTCTCTGAATCCATATGGTTCTATGGATCTACAATTAGTTTTTATGTGCTGTAAAGTTCTAGATTCTCAGTCACTGAAGCAGAAAGTGAGAAACTTTCCAATAAATAAAAATGTGAGCATTTCTAAATAACAGCTATCATTTGTACTATTTCATCAAGAGGGAATTTCTTAGTTAAGCATTCCTCTAGCAGGTGGTGGTTTTTTTTGTTTTGCTTTGTTTTTTGCTGTTCTTTAGTCATAATTTTTTATATAATCAGGAGCTCCCTTTGATTAGAATTCAAAAAGTTAAATCACGGATTTTCACAAAACTGATTAGTACCTAAGCATCAGTGGAAAAAAGAAAAAAAGTCAAGAAAATGAGAGGTTGCATATAAAAATTAACAGTTTTCTTAGGTTTACGAATTACCATGTTGGATTCTATTAGCATTTAGCTCCTGTCTCTTATTATGCAAAGTGGGTTCTCCTTTAGGGAAAAAAAGGGGCGGGGGAGGCACACAACTTAATATGTTATACTTTACCCACTTTTCTGGAAAAGACCTTTCCCAGTATTCTTGTACAGGGGAAACTGTACGACTTTAAAGAAATCGCTATTGAATTGAGTTCTGAAGCTGATGGAGAGCAATAGTATTGTCCAGATGCTAACTCTAATGCTACTGTCTATTTAAATCCTCATTTTCCTGCTCTCCTCACCAGGCTCCATTGTTCAGACCCTTTAAAAGGCACACTTATTCTTTCTCTTTGGGCTATGCTTTGCTCTTTTTCTCCCCCATCCCCTGTCTTTGAAATGTGCACTTGGGTCCACAGGAGATCCACTTTGAAGACCAAACAGCCAAATTGCTTCCTGCAGGGTTATGGCTTAGTCACTACAATGTTTCCTTATTTCCTTTTTAACTTTTCCATGGTCCCGTGAAAGACTCTCCTTCTAAAGGTTTTGTGGTCTGGAGAGTTGATTCTTCAATATTATGCTTGGAGGAGTGGCAGGAAGGGGAGGGCAATAATTATCTGAGTAAGAAATAATATGACCTTTGGAATGATTCATATGTGATTTTAAGTCTGAAAATTAACTCACGCCAAGATTACTATTTGCTGAAAAAAAAGTAACTACAGGAAAATTGGTGGCCCATCACTGACTTTTCTCCCTAGAGACTACTGCCAGCACTCAGTAATGTGTATTGTAGGCCTTTTGGCAGTGTAAACAATGCTTATCTGACTAGTTTTCTTTTCCTTAATCATCTTGTATTAATTTAATAGTAGTTCAACCTAAGAATCCAATCAAAATTGTTTGATAAATGACTCAATTATTTTGCTACAATATTTTTTAAAAATGATCAAAGCTATCTTCTATTTGACACCCCCCCCCCCGCCAGTCTGTAGAGTATAATATTGTTACTGTAATTAATTGTTCTGCTTTTGGCGGCACTTTTTGTTGTTGTTGTTGTTGTAATTTTGTTGTTGTGTGAACAACACAGAATGTACCTACACACTCGTAGATAGTATAGACTGCTACTATATGGTATAGCTTATTGTTCCTAGGCTCTAAACTTGAACACTATGTTACTGTGCTGAATATCTGTGTATCTAAAAATATAAAAGGAGGTTTGTTCACATTTCCATCACCACGAGCTCATAAATAATGCATTGCATTATGCCACTATAATGACTATGATGTCACTAGGCAATAGGACCTTTTCCGCTTATAGTTATAATTTTATGGGAATACCATTGAATTGCAATTGGTCATTGATCAAAATGTGGTTATGCAGTGCATATGGTCAAGTTTGCTTAATGCAATAGCCTCCTAACTAGTCTCTCTGTGCCAGCTCTAAGTACCTTCTGACTGTTCCCACTATGGCAGCATGAATGTTAAAATATAAGTCAAGGCCGGGTGTCATGGCTCACACCTGTAATCCCAGGAGCTAGGGAAGCTGAGGCAGAAGGGTCACAAGTTTGAAGCCAGGCTCAGCAACTTAGTGAGGCCCTAAGCAACTTAATAAGATCCTATCTCAAAATAAAAAATAAAAAGGGCTGGGGATGTGGCTCAGTGGCTAAGCACCCCTGGGTTCAATTCCTTGTAACACCCCCAGGAAGAAAAATCACTGTTATCACTCTTCTGCTTTAAACTTTCCCGGGACCCCCTTCCCACTCAAAGTCAAAGCCAAGTTCCACACAGTGGTCCACAAAGCCCTAGAAAGTCTTCCCCCACTTCTCTAGCTTTATCACTTACTGCTTTGCCCTTCATTTACTCCAGTCACTCTGAACTTCTTTGTTCTTGCAGCCCTGCTGGCCACAGTCTTGCCTCAGGACCTATGCACTGGTTTTCCTCTCTGACACTCTTTTCTCAGACGGTCATGTGGGTTGCTTCCTGAAATTCTCCAGGTCTTAACTCAGGCAGTCCCTTCTCCGTAAGGCCTTTCCTGACCACGCTACCATGGCAACACCCCATCACCCCTACACCAGTCTCCACTCTCCTTTTCTACATAGTTTTTCTCCACGTAGCTATTACCATCTTTATTTGTCCACAAAGGCTAGGCAATTCTGTGATAAACAACCGCCAAGTTTAGTAGCCTAACACTTACAATGAATTTCTCACTCATGCAAAACCCACCAAAGGACCGAGACTCTAGGCTGCCACCTTCTAGCAGCAATACAGGGATCCAGGATGTTTTCATCTTGTGATTTGATCATCTCAACTTGTGCCTTCCACTGGCTAAAGCAGAAGAGGGCCAGAGGCTATGCACCAGCTCCTGAGTGCTTTGGACTGACACTGACATAGGCTGTTTCTGCTCACAGCCCACTGGCCAAAGCTAGTCATAGGCCACATGCAACTGCAAGGGCTAGGAAGTCTGGGGAAGCCTTGGTGTCAAACCCCTGACATTCTGCATCTGTTATAAATATGTTTGTTTCTCTCCACAGGTAAGTCCCATGACAGCAGGAATTTATACCAGTTATGTTCACTGCTGTATCCCCAGTGCCTAGGACATTTAATAGACAGAATATTTGTGCAAGGAACGGATGATGAATGATGGACTCACACGGCTTCAGGGAGAAGATAAGCTGATAGTCAAGCCAGCCATATGCTGAGTGCTATGCTGGAAGCAGATTCAGGGAAGAAACAGCGCTGCACAGAGATGGCAAGGAAGGCTTCCTTAGAGAGGAGATATTTGAATGAACTCTTGGGTCACAGTAGGCACGTACTAAGGAGAAAGGAAGTGAGGGACAGAGGGGTCCAAAGAAGCAAGTAGTTCTGCCCATTCCAAGAAGTCCAGGCCCAGCTTATTGACATGGAAATTTGGGGACAGCCCAGGGAAATGAGGTCTCAGAGGTTCACAGGGGCCAGATTGTGCTCAGCCTTGTAAATGTCACCAAGGAGCCTGGGCTTTATCTTGTGAGAAACAGGAAACCCATGTAGGATTTCAAGCAAGGAAATAAGTGGGATTACATTTGGGCAAAGATCCCAGAGAAATTTACAAAGCAATTTGGAGAGACAGTCTCCTATTTAAAATTCTTCTCTGTTCCCTACCAATCTTGGAATTGGTCCCACATCCTAATGAGAGCCTAGGCCTTCATGGTCTGGTCCACTCTTCTGTGCAGGCTCACCTCTCACCACTTCCTCTCAACATCCCCTGCGATCAGCACACAAGTCCCAGCAGACCCTGAACACCAACCACATGGACCGTCAGACCTCACACCTGAGGAGTCAATCTCAAGGCCAGACAGCCAGGGTTTTCTGCTCTTGTTTGGGGCTCTTTCTTTCACATGCCTTTAAGTAGACTCATAAAGCAGCAAGATATCCATGACAGATTTTTAAGTGCCTTCTTTCTTCTGTATTACTGTTGAATGAACAGTCTTTAATATTAGCCCCAAACTTTCCTTGTGGGATCAAGCACACTGGATGAAGGGAAAGGGGGTGGGGAAAGGGTCTTCATCCTAGGAGCTCCTCTCATATCTGGTAAGCTCAGAGGTCTTGCTCCCAGCAACCTTGTCCCAGCCAGTGAGATCAACCCAATGGATTAGCATTTGCCCTGCCCTTTCCCTACATGGGAAAATCACACCAGTCAGGCCTGGATAAACGCCACACCCACAGCAAGTAGCTAAACCACATGGTCCCATTAAAGTCTCTGACAAGTCTTGAGTGTCTCACACGGAAGTAGTAGCAGCTGGTAGCTCTTAGGGATGATGTTATCCCTATCACTTATGAGAAAATAGTAAGGAAATATTGCATTAACCCGAGAAACTATTCTTCCAATCAATGGGGCAGGATAATATTTGTGTCCCTTTTCCTTTATTTCTACTCCTCACCCTCACCCCAGAACAAACAAAGTGGGACAGGACTCTTGGGCAAGAATTTTTAAAAAATCAATTAGCATAATAATATATCATAGCTATGGTAAGATTAATAATATTAGTAAGAAAAAGATGTGTTTGTCTTACAAGGGTTTGTTTTGGGAATTGCACCTAGGGGTGCTAAACCACTGAAGCACATCCTCAGCCCTTTTTTAATATTTTATTTAGAGACAAGGTCTCAGTGAGTTGCGTAGGGCTGCACCAAGTTGCAGAGGCTGGCTTTGAGCTCATGATCCTTCTGCCTCAGCCTCCTGAGCTGCTGGGATTACTGGAATGTAACACCAACCTGGCTGTAGGTTTGTTTTAAAGTGTCTTAACCCTCCTCTCTGGTTCCACTGAGGGGTGAGCTCGCTGGGCTTGATGAGCTGGGATCAAGAGAGGAGGGCAGAGAGGCAAGGGGTGAGGGAGTGAGGGGAGATTGGAGACATCTGTGTATAGTAGGGGATAGGAATTTGGGGTGCTTATTAGGTAAGAAGATAAAAAAGGGAAGGCTGTCTTGGGTATAAGGGAAGGTAGGACTCTAAATGACTGGGTGGCAAAAATACTTCCCACCATCTAAAGCTTAACTGTTCAAGATCTCTAGTCACATGTGACCATTAAGCCTTGAAATGTGACTTGTTGGAGCCAAAATGGGTTTTTCGTATTAAATAGAACCAGATTTTAAAGACAATACCAAAAAAAAAAAAAAAGGTGTAGTATCTCATCAGTGTTTCCTTAGTGAAATAACTTAGACCCTGTTTCAAAATAAAAAGGTCTGAGAATGTAGCTTAGTGTTAGAGTGCCCGTGGATTCAATCCCCAATACCCAACCCCCCAAATTTAAGTTCATATGTGTCTTTGAATGTTTTTAAATGTGACTATTGGAATTTTAAAAATTGTGTGTTGCTTGCATTTTGCTTCTGCATAGGCTGATCTAGCATGCACATAGGAGCAACGGTTCACAGTAAGGTTTCACACCCTTACAGATATGACAGGCACATTAGCTTAGAATATGATTTGTTTGGTAGTTAAGTAAGTTTTATTTTTCATATTTGTCAATCACTGTCAAACAGTGTCTTTTAAGAGTATTAAATTCATGGGCTAGAGATAGAGCTCAGTCGGTAGAGCCCTGGGTTCAATCTTCAGCACCAAAAAAAAAAGTATTAAATTCATATTAAAGCCCATCTTTAGGAATAAACTTTCTAGATTTTGAGATGGAAAATTTGCAAGAGACTTACAATAGCCCACCAAACCATAGGAATGCTCGACTTTGTTTCCGAATAAAGGGTCTTTTGTTAGGTAGGATTGAAATTTTACTTTTTTTTTTTTTTTTGGTTCCAGGGATTGATCTAGGAGCACTTAACCACCAAGCCACATCCCCAGACCTTTTTATTTTTTGTTTTGAGACATGGTCTTGCTAAGTTGCTGAGGGCCTCACTAAGTTGCTGAGGCTGATCTCAAACTTGCAATCCTCCTGCCTCAAGCCTCCTGAGCTGCTGGGATTACAGGCGTGCACCACCATGATCAGCTAAGGGATGGTTTTCAATGCAAAGAATTAAGAGAATGTTTTGTTTTGTTTTTGGTACTTGGTACAGGGTGGGGGTGGGTGAGGTGGATTACAAGAATTCACATGCCTGACTCTAGGATTGAAGTTCTAAAGAGGCTATAGAAAAATATGTTCAAGAGACATCAAAAGCACCAAAGGGCAAACAGGCTTTTTGAAAGAATAGAAATTTTTGTTGTTGTTTCATGTTTTTTTTTTTCTAATTTTTCTCTACCCCTCCCCACCTTTTTTAAAATTCTATTTTTACATTCAGGGCTTAGAAAACAGCAAAGGGTCAAAATGGTACCGCTAGCAATGTCAAGGGGAAACTTGTAAGAGCTTCCTTGTAAGAACATGTGGTTCTCAGGCGAGGAAAACAGATAAAGCACCATATGCTCTCTGTTCACGATGCATCAACAATTCAGCATCTCAACCTTTCTTTCCATGGTGGCCTTAGAGCTGCTCTTAGGGTGCTCTCTATCTGGCTCTTGCCCTCAAGTGGACACTGTATTTTATTGTGGTTAGATACATATTTTCCCTTTTACTACAATTTTTAAAAAACAAAACCAAAAACCATATGCCTAAGAAACACCCCACTACTCCACCATGTTAACTGATTTGAATTGCAAGAAAAAAGTTGACTTAGGAGACAAGGTAGTCAAGGAATAAAAACTCACAGCAGAGCACCTCACCTTGTGCTCAGCAGATGTCCCATGGACATAGTGGTGAGCTCCCAGGCCTTGCGAGGTGCCCAAGCCTCCTTGTGTCACATTTACCCAAGAACTATCTTCCATAGTGGGGACCAGTTTCCCTGAAACCAAGGTAAGGCCTGAAGTATTGATTGTCAAAGTTCGCTCGACAGATCTGAAATAGTTCAGAATTCCCAAGCAGGTACGCTGAAACAAAGAGAAGAACAGAAATCAATGGATGTGTAACTGATGTGATTCTGCAATCTGTGTATGGGGTGAAGGTGGGAGTTCATAACCCACTTGAATCAAAGTGTGGAATATGATATGTCAAGAAATTTGTAATGTTTTGAACAACCAACAATAAAAAATTTAAAAAAAAAAAAGAAAAGATCCTGCCCTTTGCCTTGTCCCACCCTACAGAGTGAAACTTCAGGAGGTGATGGGGTGGCAGGCCAAGCCTACTGTGGAGAAAGGAACACACTGCCTCAGAAAGGGATTGGTTTCATGTTAAAAATAAATAAATAAAAGAATAAAGAGCAAAAGCATAGAAATGAATTACTACTGAAGAGCAGAGAGCCCCCTTTCTAGACAATCAGACATTTCTGATACCTGAAACCAGTGTGCCGGGCCATCCACATACCTGCAGCGACCTGATTCGCAGGTGGCGCAGACACAGAAAGGACAAGTAGGCCCCTTTCATCGAGACAGGGTTCCCATCACTGAGCTCGGCTTCATCATCCAAGCCCAGCACTTGTAGGGCCATTGCATAGTTGTACCTTTAGTATGCAAGAGAAATATAATAAATTTTTTCCATCTCAAAGGAGTTCAACAATTCACATACAAATCAAAGTCATTTTATTTAACATAAAGAAATTTCACAATAGCTTCCCTTTAAAAAAAAAAGCACTGGAGCGGAAATAATTACACTGTGTATAAATATAAAAAGAAATTTCTCTTAGCAATTACTCTCATTAAAAAGAGTCCTAGGGTGAAACATTACTTTAGTTGTATGACCTTTTTAACATTCTTGCTTTCATTCCAACTCCAAATATTTTTGAGTTAACATGTAAGCTACATATTAACCAATCACTCGATTTTTCCCAAAATTTTTAATCCATTTCTTGAGTCACCAATAAAATGATTTATGGTTTAATTTTACCCTGTCTCTTTTTTCTGCTTGAGAGGGCCATCAGCACATTGACTAAGACTTATTCGTGTTAGCACATTTTCATTTTGTTCCACTGAAAGGTCATTCTCCTTCATATTTGCATTCTATCAAAAAAATGAGCATTAGTTCAATTACATAAAACATTTGCAACATTATTAACAAAATCATAACAGGTTCTTATAAAATTAAACCTCATGATCCATATTTAGACGCATTAGTGGAAGAGCTCCTTGAGCCATTTCAACCTGACATATGAAAATCTGGAGGATCACTGTTTCAGTAGCTAAGTCTTTGTTTTATGAAAACATTCACAGCTTTTAAATAGTAGCCACCCCCCAAATTATTGCCTTTTGCATGATTCAATTTATAAAAAGTCAATACATTTTTCAAGAATATGTGTGTCTGGAACCTTGGACCTCTGTTCTTAAAGAGAGATCAATGAATTTAAACCCTCCTTCTACCCATTAGCTATATGATCAATCATTTAAAGTCTTGCACCTGAGGGCTGGGGAATATAGCTCAGTTGGTAGAGTGCTTGCCTCACATGCACAAGGCCCTGGGTTCAATCCCCAGCAAGAAATAAATAAATAAAGTCTTGCAACTGTTTCCTCCACAGTTGTCAAATGACATGATTGTGGGAAATGGTATATGTGAGAATTGAATGACAGAATTATAGAAAGCCTCCAGCTTAGTGCCAGGTACCTAATAGTTCCTCAAAATGCCAGTTCTCTCCTCCATGAATCGTAGTCGTCAGCCAGACCTGTGGGATGTGTCGTGGAATTCATGGTTTGCATTTCCACAGTCATCTTTCCTGATGCTGTCATACACAGCATACACAGGGGCCCCAGGGCAAACTGTGAAGAAGGCGATTTCTGTGGTCCTGCCCCTGGTTCTCTAGACAGCCTCTTCTTGGATGCCCTCTTTACCTGTCCCTGGGCATGCACCCCATTCTTTTACAGTGGCACTGATCCCCACATTAAGTACTGAGTGGCAATGACTGAGGTTCCTCTCTGGGTTCTAACAGTTGATTCTTGGAATTTCAACAAGTCCTTATGGCAGAAACTACTAGTTGTTCCCCAGCAGCAGCTCTTTCTCTCTTTTTCTACAATAAAATATCTATCTTTTCATTTGGCCACTCAGATAAAGATGGCATTTCTGTGAGATAATAAATTACAAAAAAAAAAAAAAAAAAGCATTCCCAAGCCTCTCTCTCTTGGTGTAGCTACATGACCAATGGACTGGGGAAATGTGCTAGGTTGTATCTTCTAGGAATATCCCTGATGAGGCAGCTTGCCCACCCCATCCTCCATCCTGCCGCTTAGAACATGAAGGTGACAGCTGGAATTCCATCTCGGGCCAGGTGTTGATTTCCAATAAGGAGGCTACACTTGTTGGAATTTCTGGGACAGACTGAGTTGAGGTGCCTGAGGACTTCATGGAGCAGAGCTGCCATGCCAGCTCTGTACTTCCTACTTCTAGATGTTAATCAGAAGGCAAGAAAGAGAAATTTCCATCTTTCCTGAATGACAGAATGTATAGAAAACCTCCAGCTTAATCCTTAATCTTTAATCTTCTGCTATTTTGTTTCCCTACAACCAACAGCCAAACCTAATCTTAATGAATATGGTCCCCAGGGCTCTGAAGACAGACTACCAGGCTTCATGACTGGCAGTTGGATGGACAATTTTGATAGGGACCACAGGAAGAATAGGTGAGTGAGAATGTTGGTTATCATTGGGTGGTTGCCCATTGTACCGGGGGTAGAGTCATTTCCTGTGTATTGCGGGTCAGTGTACCCATCAGTGTATTCCTGGGTAAGTATATCACAGCCCTAGGACTATGACATGGTACACTATGACATGGACACACAAGATCATCATCCCAACATGAAGAAAAATCTCTATTTAAAAAAAAAACTGCATGAAAATAAAAACTCTCTGAGGGAGCTGAAATTTTACAATTCTCTAGAGTTTGCGGGGAGAGGGCTCCTCTGGAGCCTTTCGCCAGCTGGGCCTGTGGTGTGCTCAGGCTGCAGTTCAGCCCTGACCTATGTGGTCTCGGAGCGAAAACTCTGAGCCACATCCTTTCTCGGATGGTATTGTAACTTTTTCAGCTGCTTCTAAAATTACCCAGAATTACATAGGAAAGAGCAGAAAGTGACATCAAGTGACAGCAAAAGACGTTTGAAGGAATGAACAAACCACAAAAGTCTGGCTAGCGAATTGCCAGGAAGAAAGGAAGGGGGCACAGACAGGCTGGGATGAGGAAGAAGATATAGCCCAACATCCTCTGGGAAGAGGGAATCAACCACAGCCATGAAAGAAAACTGCTTTGGAAATACCAAAAACCAGGAATGTAAGCAACAGTGCAGGTAAGCAGCAAGCCGCCCAGAATCCAGAATGTCAACACCTTTTGTGCGCACACTTGCTTCATGAGTAGATATACCTTTGACTTTTATTGACCTTTACCCTGCCTGTAGCTGGGTTCTTGCCAGCATGACCAAATTTATGTATTTTCAGTTCTGAGATTTCTACTGATTGCAGATCTTATTTCCTTTTGGGAAGTTGGCAAAAACATTGGATGGGGAAGTTGGATAGGAGGAATGAAAGGAAAAGTAAGTCTATTATGTATTTCCCCATCCCCAAATGTCTCCACGATTTAATGTGTGTTTATCCCTGGACAAAAAGAATAGGATATATACAAAAGGTTCACAATATTGTTGTTATTTTAGGTGATAAAATGATGTTTTTTTTTTCTTTCTTTCTCATAATTTTCTATGTTTCTCACATTTTCCATGATAAATACATGCCACTATTATCAAAAACAGTTTTTTTAAAAAAAAAAAAAGTAAATGCCACATTGAGCCTGGATATGGTATTTCTTTACCACTTACTCCATAGGGTTAAAAAATAGTGACTGATTTAAACCACATATTTATAAATACCATGGTTAATAGTAGATTATAATGTCCAAACATAGCCATTTTAACAAACAAGTGCTTTCTTAGTGGTATGGTTTGAACATGAGGTGTTCCCCAAAAGCTCACATGTGAGACAATGCAAGAAGGTTCAGAGAAGAAATGATTGGGTTATGAGAGCCTGAACCCAATCAGTGAATTAATCCCCTGCATTGGGGGAGTAGCTTTGCAGTATATTTCGTATCTGGTGAGTGGAGTCTCTCTCTCTCTGTGTTTTCTGATCATCATGTGAGCTGCTTCCCTCTGCCACACTCTACTGCCATGATATCCTGCCTCACCTCCATCCCCAAGGAATGAAGCCAGCTGTCCATGGACTGAGACCATTGAAACTATGAGTCCCCAAATAAACTTTTCCTCCTCTAAAATTGTACTTGTTGGGTATTTTACTCACAGTGAAAAAAAAAAACACTGACTAAAATACAGACTTAGCAGAATCCACAAAGACCTCGCTAGACCATTCCTTGTCCTGACCAGGACAATGGCTAAATATGTATATTTTTTAATTTTCAAAGGAAAATAAAAGTCTTATAGTCCATTTTGACCAGAATTATCTCATTTTAGTTATGCCTGATCTTGAATTAATAATTGGACATTTAAAAAAAATTTTTCTATATTCCCCAAACCCAGATCTTTAAGTAAATATAGAATTAGAATTTTGCTAGAAACGAAGGTCCAACCTTCAATTAAAGCCCAATTTGAAATCTGATGGAAACATTACAAACATTATCAAGTTCAGACAAACATCTCCAGTGTTTGTTCACAATAGTTGTAGGAAACAGAAACCCTCATAAGTTGCTGGTGCGGGGAATGGTTTAAACACCTTGGCAAGATTCATGTAAAAGTTTTTGTGCATATTCTGTGACCCAGAAAATCCACCTTTAAATATCTACTCTAAAGAAACACACATACAAGAAAGTTCAGTAGGACTGCTTTTTACTAGAAGAAAAATTGGCAGCCACTTTCCATGAAGACAGCTGTCTAAGCTGTGGCCTGCTATAAAATATGATATAGCCATTAAAAAGAGCAGCAGGACAGATCTTCAAGACAGATTGTTGTACAAAAAAAGCAAGTTATAGACGGACATTCTCATGGTGTGACATGTCATTTATACAGAAAACTGAAACAAAATTATTCTCTCTCTCTTTTTATGGGAATATACAAATGCATGTACATGCATTGAAAAGGCAGGAAGTAATACTAGTGTTTACCTCTGGGGAGATGGAACAAAGAGGAACACTTGGGGAGAGGGTAGTCAAGGAGGAATTTAACTCTTGACTTATCTTTTTCATCTTTTAGGGTGAGGGGCATATGGGAACTCTTTGTACTACCTTGGAACATTTCTGTAAATGAAGAATTTATTTACTACTGCCGTAGTTTAAAATTATTAGTTTTTAAATTCCTTAAAAAGAAAAATGGTAACTATATGGAGAAACCTGGCAAACATCACCAGCTGAACCTAGTGAACAAAATTAGCTTGACTAGTGATGAGTCCTATTGACTTCCCATTCCCTGGTGTGATGTGATGAGAGGGGCATTTTGTCACTGTTGTACTCTTTCACTTAAACCCATAACCCCAGCAGAACCATGAGAAAAACATCAGAAAAAAATCAAATTAGGGATCTGTCTATAAGTCACCTGGCCAGAACCCCTAAAGACCGTCAAGTTCACAATAAACAAAGGAAGACTAAGAGACTATCACAGACCAGAGGAGACAAAGGAGATGTGATCAAATGCACTGTCATAACCTGTATAGAGTCCCAGAGCAGAAAAGAGAATATTAATAGAAAATTTGGTGAAATCCAAATGAAGACTAGTTAACAGTCATGTACCAATGTTTGTTCCTTAGGTGTGACAAATGTACCATAGTGATGTAAAATGTTAATAACAGGCAAAACTGGGGCAGGGCTCTACAGGAACTCTTTGTACCACCTTGACAATGTTTCTGTAAATATCAAACTATAACAAAATAAAACTTTTATTAAAAAAAAAAAACTAAGGAAAGGTTACTGGTAAACAGCATTCTCCTGGAATTGATCAGAAGCTGTTCTGTGTTTGCGTAGTAGGAATTACATTCTGCTGTGGCTGTCAAAATGTCAGTCTGATGAGATTTGCTTTCCTTTGTGCAGAAGGCGCTTAAGAAAGTTATTTGTCATGGGATGTTGGTTGCCACTTGCCAGCTTCAGAACCAGAGTGCTGACCAGCATACAGATGCTAAACTTGGTACTTGACTGCTACATGCTTGTAAATCAGTAACTGAGCTTTAAAATTCAGAGCCACATTCCTGTGCCTCCTCCCAGCTGCCACATTTTTTTTTGCTTCATCCTAATCTCATCTGACTAGTATTCAACATTCAGAATGGCAATACACTACCACTGGGGCTCTGATACAGTGTAAAGTGACAGAAACGCTTGAAGAGGTCACACATTATCACCCACAGGAAAATGGGAAGGAAGGTTAAAAACATTGGTTTTTGCCTCAGAGCTTTTTTTTTTTTTCTTTTAGTACCTGGAATTGAAACCAGGGGCACTTAATCACTGAGCTACATCCCCACCCCTTCTTATTTTTTATTTTGACACAGGGTCTTACTAAGTTGCTTACGGTCTTGTTAAATTTGTTGAGGCTAGTCTCGAACTTGTGATCCTCCTGCCTCAGCCTCCTGAGCCACTGGGATTATAGGCTAGCACCAATACACCTGGCTCAAAGCTGCCTTTCTTAAACCCAGTGCTATTTTCTGTTCCCTTCTTGGAAAGCTGTTCTCCAGGCTTTTTACATGGCAGCTGCTTCTCAACCATTAGATGTCAGCTCAAATGCCACCTCCATCCCTACCAAGAGATCTTGGCTACCCTCTACCAAAGCGTGCCCCTTTCTGCCCATTGTTCTCTGCCCCTGTGGTTTCTTTGTGGCAATCACAAGTTAAGAAATCTAGATTTACTTCTCTGTTCACTTATTTATTGCATGTTGCTCCAGGGGCAAGGACCTGTCTGTTTCATTTCCTGCACCCAGCATAATTCCTGGCACAAAGGTAGTATCTGAGTAACAATTGCTGAAGGAATGAATGAGTCAGACTAACATGTAGGGTGACTTGTGTTCCTTATCTGCCTCCCTCGTGCCCCACCTCTGGAATCTAAAAATAAACAGGTATTCTAAGCTCTTTATGGTCTATTGACCATAAAAATCAACTTGAAAATACAGTACCCATGTTTTTCTCCCTCTGGTCAAATCCAAGAACAACATTTATGTCAGTAAGTAGTAAGGAGAAGTGGTTTTCTTCTTTCCTCCTCCCTTCCACTTTTTTCTTTCTTTTTCCTTTTTTTTTTTGTAAACATTTGGGCATCTGCTTCAACACAGACATTGATGACAGCATAGACTGCATCTGTTTCGTACCTGTCTTTCCAACCCCTCTGCTGGTGGAAGGAAGTAGAAACGAAGAAAGAAGCATCAGTTCTCCCTCCACTGTGTGACAGGGGAAAGGCAGGCTGGGACCTTCCACTTCGATTCCACCATGGCCTCTCATGCTATTGCCCTAACCGTGAGTTCCTACCACTCGATACCTACCTGAGGCCTCATCTCCGGAAGTCCCTGTGAACCTTCTGCTCTTCGCTGGCATGGAGGTCCCACTAAGTGCCCATGGGAACTACTAAACTCAGTGACCTGGTGGCCAGGCAACACCCTGGATCCTATGCTTTCCCACAATTTCAAACATAAAACTGTTTATAAAACTCCTTCTTCCTTTGCCTCCCACCTCTTCCTCACTCCTGTTCCCCTCCTTCAGTTCCAATGAGCCCCCTAAGAGTTTGACTCCTCCTACTGTCCCAGCCAATGAGGAACATAGATTTGTGCTGATGGCTGTCAGACATAAGTATCAGAACTTGGGGTAAAGCATGATCATTGCATCAGCATCAGAGGCAAACTGTCCAGGACTCTAGAAGCAGAGAGATTGTTCAAAGTTACCAAGGGCTGACTCTGCCTCCTCCTTCCTTCTCCACTACCCTCCACCCTCACAGTTTAGTTCAATAAGTTGGATCATAAATGTTTTAAAATACCCCTTGGTTAGTATAAGTTCCTCCTTAATGGTGACATATACCTCAGTGCGAAAGGCTGACAGTATAAAGAAAGTGTGGCTATTTATTTAACTCTGGCAGGAGACTAAAAGCATCACTGGTATTGCATGCCCCATCAGAAAATTGGGGAGCCAGAGAGATAAATGCTGCCTCTGCTCCTGACCTGTGCGGCCAACTCATTCCTCATTAGATTCTCTAGATCTCATTCAAATAGATTTAAAAGTTGCACAAGAGTGTTGTGTTTGTGTGTTCATGCTTGTGTGTTTGCTTCCAGCCACTCCACAACTCACCTGACCACTTCAGGTCTCAGTCACCACATCCCTGGCCTGGGAAGATAGGCCAGGAGAGGCTCCTCTGTCCAGCAATCTACTCAATCAACTTCCCCACACCTTTGACTTTAGACAATTTTCAGTTACTCTATGATTACTGCTAGGGTTGAAAGTAATAGAATTTGTGGAAAATGGGCTCACAACAAATTCATGTCCTCTTGCTTTAAGTGGGGCCTCTTGGCTATGTGCTCATCTCTATATTCTTCTCTCACTGACTGACCCACCTTGCCACAGGCCACTCTGAAATTCCGACCTCACTAATGCTGACAAACTGTGCCTCCTCTGTCTCTCTGTCTCTCTCTCTCTCTCTCTCTCTCTCTCGTAGCCAGAACCAGGCATCAGTGCCTGCATCTTACTTTTTTGCACCTAAAAATTCTCTATCTTATCCACTTCAAGGCAAGTGATATCATTTTCCCTTTTTCAAAATTATTCCTCTACCTGGTTTCTTCATCCCATCTCCTCCTCCTCCTCCAGAGTCATCTGTCTCTCCATTTCCTCCACCTCTTCTTGGCCATTTCCCCTCCCTCACAGACCATAAACACATCAGGGTCTTCCCATCTTAAATAAGCAATCGATAGGAAACTCTTCCCTTTGAGTGACAAATAAATAATAGTAGATTATACCTTCAAAAACATGGTGGCACTGTGAAGACAAACGCCCACTAGCTTTGTGCGGAAACTTCCTTTCACTACCAAACTTCATGTCCATCCTAAACGGCAGCTACCTAACTGGCCTCCTTGCCTTCGGCCTCTCCCTCCATGAATCCAACTCACACCAGCTGCCATATGAATCTTCCTAAAAATTATGCCTTTGAATATGTCACTTTTCTTATAGGATTAAGCACAAATTCCCTCATCTGGGATTTATGGGCAAATTCACAACCTACCTCTGTTTCTGTCTCTCCCAGTCCCTCCCCCACAAAAAAAGGTCTCTTCATTATATTTCCTCATGAATCTTCTACTCGACCAGCTGGACTGGAACATGTGCCATATTTCCTCTGCATCATCTTTCATGGTGCCCCTCCTCGAATGCACTCCTCACTCCCCCGCCCCCCCGCCCCCCACGGATTGCCTAAGTTCCTCACTTGCTTCAAGCCTGGCTCATTACCTGCTCCTCCAAGAGGTTTTCCCCACTAGCACCAGGCCAGAGGGGACTGCCTCCCCCCAGACACTCTCAATAGTTAATAACTGCCCAGCTCACTGGGGGCTGATCATCAGGATGTGCAGTCTTGCACTGGTATCATCAGCTGTAGTCTATGTCCTGGCAGAAATATATTATATTATACCTCTTTATATTCCTCTTTTCTATCGGCACTTAATCTTTCTTATAATGAAAATAAGCCTGGCTAGGTAATAGAGCTTTTCATAGAGGGTCACAGAAAAACCATCAATGAACATTTCTCAGAACTGCAAACAGGTTGAAAAGGAGGGCCTATTGATTATTTCATCTTCTTCTTCTTCTTCTTCTTCTTCTTTTTTTTTTTTTTTGATACTGAGGATTGAACCCAGAGGTGTTTAACCAGTGAGCCACAACCCCAGCCCCCACCCTTTTAAAATTTTATTTAGAGACAGGATCTTACTGAGTTGCTAAGTGCCTTGATAAGTTGCTGAGGCTGGCTTTGAACCCATGATCCTCCTGCCTAAGACTCCTGAGCTGCTGGGATTACAGGTATGTACCACCACACCTGGCATATTGGTTATTTCTTTATCTGGTACCTGGTAGAGGTTGACATTGCTATAAATGTTCTCCCAGATCTGGTCATAGTTGCACTGAGGCGAACTCTGGGAAAACATGAAAGACGGATGGTGCGGAGACAGCATGATTATCTTGGCAGCATGATCCTGGAGTACTTGCATTACTCGCTTGGGGTTAGAGATCTTAGGTAGAACAGAGAGGAGAAGGAATTGTTAGCAGAAACATTTTCCCCTTCTTCTCAGCTAGCATTTGGTCACACACACACACGAACAAGAAATAAACCCTAGATGGGGCTTTATTCAATTAAAAATAACATTGAATTTAAGCATCACGATTACCCAAACATGTTCATTCACTCAACATAAATATTCAAATATGCATAGTAACTCATTTAAAATTCTGTGACCACCCCCAAGGCAGTATCAGGTAGCATTTGCACAAGTGTTGTGGCACCAATGAAATGATAACATTTATCAGTTCTAAGTGAAACTCTGTCCACTGAAGGAACTGCTATGAGATGGAGGAGGAGCAGCAGAGAAGCAGAACAAGAAACCAGACATAGAACTGGGCTTATATCCTTCCTGGAATCGTGGCTTTTCCACCTAGAACAGAGTATGTTGACCTAATAAGAAGACTGGGGATCTCTCCCCAGATTCTGGAGGCATGGAATTGAATAATGGCCCCAGAATTGAACATCAACTTCAGGGATACACGTATTACTATATCATTTTAGTATCACAAAGAACCTCAAAAATCCCAGAAAATAACAAATGTTGGTGAGGATGTGGCAAAATTGGAATCTTGTACACTCTTAGTAGAATTATAAAATGGTGTAACAGTTATGGAAAGCATTGTGGAGCTTCCTCAAAAAAAATCACAAATACAATTAACATATGATTCAGCTATTATACTTCTGGGTATATATCCAAAATAATTGAAAGCAAAACCTCAAAGAGATATTTTCACACCTCTAGCAGCATTTTTACAGTAGCCATGAGGTGAAATCCACCTAGATGTACATCAATAGATGAGTGGATAAATAAAATGTGGTATACATTTATAAGAATCTTTAAAAGGAAGGAAATTTTTACACATGTTCTGACATGGACGAATCTTGAAGATATTGTGCTAAATGAAATAAGTTAGCCACAAAAAGACAAACACTGTATGACTTCACTATATGAAGTATCTAAAGTAGTCAAGTTCATAAAAACAGAAAGTAAAATGATGGTTGCCAAGAGCTAGGGGGAGAGGGGAGTGGGGAGTTGTTCAAAAGGTATAGAGTTTCAGTTCTGAAAGAGGAGAAAGTTCTGTTGTGAGCAGATGCTCACAACAATGTCATTACATTTAACTCTACAGAAATGTATACTTAAAATGGTTAAGATGGTAAATTTTACGTTAAGCATTTCTACCATAATAAAAAAAGATCATTTAGTCCAATATTTGTATTTCACAAATAAGAAAACTAAGGCTCAGAGAGGTTACATGACTAGACTAATATCACACAGAGACTTGACAATAAATCTGTGCTAAAGTCTAGCTCCTTTGACAATTTTTATTCTCTACTGAAAGCTAACAGGATTTTTAAAGTTGGATGGATTAGAAAGTTCCAAATACAGCCTTCACTTTGAATCCATACTAACATTTTTCAAAAGGGAAAGAAATTTCCTTTTTTTTTTTTTTTTTTTGAGGATGAATTTTATCTACAAGAGAACCTAGTTCTTTTCTCACCTTCAAAAACTTTGCTTGGAGTTGCATTAACACATCTATTCTTCTCCTTTCTTTTAGTTTGGTCAACATCTTCTTCTGCCAAGGATCACATTTTGGTTTGATCTAGTGGACAAACATATTCACATAAAGTTTCAACCTAACAGGATGGTTCTCAGTAAAAGCTGCAAACAAAAAGATTCAAAGACTTTCTGAAGTGGGATCTGGCCTAGGTACTAGGTTTGCTAGAACATGTGAGATCCTGGGAAGGGTCTGCTTGGGATCACAAATACGCAGAAGGAGATAGCAGTTCTCTGTCTGCAATACATAGTCTATGAGCAGGAGGCACCCTGACTCCATCACGGTTGGGCATTGCACTTTATTCATGAAGTAAGAGAAAGAAGTTCACCCATGGACTCCTTCCAACTCCATTTTAAAACATCATGTTTCACATTAACAAATTGTATTTCAAAAACTAGTTCTGTTGTCCGGTGCAATGGCACATGCCTGTAATACCAGTGGCTTGAGAGGCTGAGGCAGGAGGGTTGCAAGTTCAAAGCCAGCCTCAGCAATTTAGTGAGGCCCTAAGCAACTCAGTGAGAGCCTGTCTCTCAATAAAATATCAAAAACGTAGTATATACACAAAGGACTGAAAATCAGCATATTATAGTGATGCTGCCACATCAATTTATAGCAGATCAGTTTCACAATAGCTAAACTATGGAACCAGCCTCAGTGTCCTTCAACAGAGGAATGAATAAAGAAAATGTGGTATATATACACAATGAAATATTACTCAGCCATAAAGAGAAATGAAATTAAGGCATTTGCCAGTAAGTGGATGGAACTGGGGAATAACATGCTAAGTGAAATAAAACAATCCCCCTAAAAACAAAGGCTGAATGTTCTCTCTGATATGCAGATGCTAACACACAATGAGTGTGGGGAGTAGGGAAGAATAAAAGTACTTTGGATTAGACAAAGGGAATGAAGAAAAGAGAGGGGAGAATGGGATTAGGAAAAGATAGTAGAATGAATCGAACATGACTTTCTTTTTTTTTTTAAATTTTTTATTGTTGGCTGTTCAAAACATTACATAGTTCTTGATATATCATATTTCACAATTTGATTCAAGTGGGTTATGAGCTCCCATTTTTACCCCATATACAGATTGCAGAATCACATCAGTTACACATCCATTGATTTACATATTGCCATACTCGTGTCTGTTGTGTTCTGCTGCCTTTCCTATCCTCTACTATCCCCCCTCCCCTCCCCTCCCCTCCCCTCTTCTCTCTCTGCCCCCTCTACTGACATTCATTTGTCCCCCTTGTATTATTTTTCCCCTTCCCCTCACTTCCTCTTGTATGTACTTTTGTATAACTCTGAGGGTCTCCTTCCATTTCCATGCAATTTCCCTTCTCTCTCCCTTTCCCTCCCACCTCTCATCCCTGTTTAATGTTAATCTTCTTCTCATGCTCTTCGACCCTACTCTGTTCTTAGTTACTCTCCTTATATCAAAGAAGACATTTG